AGGACAATTCTTTGAAATGAAGTGTGTTTTTGATAAGCATTAAAACATTTAAACAATTAGCACTGGAGGCTTCCTGTCCAACTCTGTTTAAGTGTGTTAATTAGTTTCGTCCCAATGAATAGCATTCAGCCGATTAAGCTGTTTTGGCTCAGGTTAGAGATGCAGACGCGGTAATGAAGGGCTGTTGGGTGCTGGGACCCCGATTCTGGGGTTTTGGATTTTGGAATCTTGGGAATTTTAGCATAGCAGCCTCTTGACTGGCAGTGATGGCAGGATATATCGGATCAAGCTGGGAGATTAGCACAGTCTTACTGGATTCAGTTATAACCAGTAGGTCTGCTTCTCTCTCTCAGGGCAGATGCACACAGAGGTCCAGCCATGTGTTTTATACCAGAAAATACTGCAAATAGTGAGATTTATGGATGACTGTACTCAGCATGTTTGCTTGATATCGTTTTCGGTCCATGGCTTGTAGTTTTAGCTTTCTGTGTAGGGCAGCCATGGGATGTGGTCGTCACTGTTTGTCAGACCCCCTAGGCAGTTAAGGATCATTGAGCGAGCATCTGAATTTTTCTCACACCTGCACTTCCTTCACTCAACCTGTTAGTAATGATAGTATATTTGTTCTCTGGTAGTGAATCAGAGCAGCAGCTCATCCTGCACGCCCGTGTTGGGCTTTTGGCACCAAACCTCTTCCCCATTGCTCCCAGTATTCTGTGGTTGAGTTGAAGGTAGGTAAGCACTTACTTTAGGGCGTTTGGGTTGGAGGAAGCTAAATTCTCGGTTTGGACCATTTGCAGCTGCACTGGGTCTAGCGTGTGGGGCTTTCTGAAATATCCTGCCTGGTCACAGTTGTCCAAACATGTTCTGGCTGATTTCCCATGATCCTCTAAGCTGTAGAAAGATGTGGAATCATATGTCCCACAGCACAACACTCTTTTCTTCCACTTTGGGGCTGCTTCTGACCGTGGTTTGAAGTTCACATGAAACAATCATTGTCTCCCCCAGAGGGGAAGTCCAAGTCTAATTACAGAACGTCCTCAGCTCCTATCTTCAGACATGCTCTGCCGGTCGGCCATCTTGTGAACTCTCGCCATCTGGGGATTGTGTATTTTTTTCCCCTACCGTCCTTCATTATCACCCACATGTCTGGCCGGGGGGTTTGGGGGTGGCAGATAGACTAAACGTCCGCCTAACTCGGGACAGTTACTTCCCTGCCCAGAGCACCAGACTGCCCGATACAATCAGAGGCCTGCTGATTGACCGATGACATAATTATGCGGAAAAGCGTAAGCCCCACCCCATCCTCATTATGTGAGGAAATGTAGGGTGTTGGTCGGCTGTCAGCCGATCAACCTGTACTTGAGACAAATAAAGGATGATTAATTTGCGACTGAACAGTAGTTAAACATTCCTGCACATGTTTGAAAATATTCTTGATGTGGTTGAAATGCAGGGTAATGACAGCAAATGATCAGTGGGCAGTAGTGGCTGGAGTGAAAAGGAGCACTGTCCCTTTAAGAGGACTGGAACGTGGTGCTGTCCAGTAAACATTCAAACATTTGGTTCTGCCACGAAAGCAGGGCCTGCTGCCTGGGTGGAGGGGGGGCAGATCACGTTTCTACAGGAGGTCAGTGCTGTTTTTATTTCATTTCTGGGGGTGTGTGGCAGCTGAAGGGCTGTCAAGGCAGAGGGTGTAACCCTGAACGTGTGTGTTTATGGACTGGCTTCCCGGCCACATTCCTATAAGAGATGCTATATCCCAGTGACCGTGTGCCCCCCCACCCCAGCCAGACCTGCCCCAGTTGTCTCCTCCACATCGCTCTGGGTCATCAGTATTCCTTTTGTCACACAACTGGTGTTCTGCCCAGAAATCCCCTCTGCTTCTTTTTGTGGCTCTGGTTCCCCCTACCTACCTCCCCACTCCCCCCAACCGCCTCTCTCTCTCTCTCACACACACACACACACACACACACACACACATGCGCATATGCACTCTCCCCCGCTGGCTGTAACCCAGAGAGAAGGGGATCGCCTCGTCACTGTGAGCTGGAGCCCCAGGCGCGCTGCTTGCCGCTCGCTCGTCCCGTCTGCCGTGTGCCCCCCCCCCATTCCACTGTGTGCCCCCAGCGTGCTCGGGGGCCAGGGGGAGCACGCTGATGGTTTCGGCCGCTGCGGTTACCCAGCGATGTGGTGTCTGCACTGTGGCTCAGAGAAGAGTCAGTCCCTTCAGGAGCTAGATGTGGAGCAGCGGTAAGCGCTCTGTGCGTGTGTGTGTTTCTGTGTGTGTGTGTGTGTGTGTGTGTGCATGTGCGTGTGCAATGCAATAAAAACCTGTCATTTTGATATTGTGGGGAGCATTTTTCAGGTCCCCACAAAGATCTTTGTAATCTAACAATGCCAAACGTCCCCTGTTTTGTTTGGTTACTTATGGTTAAGGTTAGGGCTGGGTAGGGGTTAAGGTCGTCATGCTGGGATTACAGTTTTCACCATAGAAATGAATGAAGAGTCCCCACAAATAATTACAAACCTGTGTGTGTGTGTGAGAGAGAGAGAGAGAGCTTGTATTTACCATATTATGGGGGGGAAATGTCCCCACAATGTGGTAAAACCCCAATTTTATAAATTGTTCAGGTTGAGGTAAAGCTGTCAGCCCGACGGGCTGGGGGGGCATCACTGCCTGCGGGACACAGACAGAAGCTTAGTTTGGCAAAGCATGAGCTTTGAATACGACACCCCCCCCCCCCCCCCTCCCAGTACCTCGTCCGCTGTCCTCGTCTTTCAGAAGGTCGATAAATGTCACTTCTGTAGCTGCTGTGAAGACTCTGTATGGTTACATGCTGCTGGATGTCGGTATGTGAGGTGTACAGTACGTATTACCATGTTAGGGTGTCGTCCTTTTATTTGTCTTATTTAGACGGCATCCTGGTCAGTGGCCTGCTTGGTGTAACAAGCTACCTGTCTAATTCATTACATTTAACTTGTCTGTCTGTCTGTCTGTCTGTCACATGGTAAGCATTGTTTAAAACGAACACAGACCGTAGATGGTATATGCAGTAGATGGTATATGCAGTAGATGGTATATGCAGTAGATGGTATATGCAGTAGATGGTATATGCATCTGACATGTCCGCCATCGCTTTGCACAGGGCCCCACAATCCAGACCAATCAGAGTCAAGTTTATATAGCTGAGTATGTTCATACATACAGGGAATTTGTCTCGGGCTCCTCGTGCTAACATACTGCTCGTAGATTCTGTCGCGTGGACAGACAGATGGGAGCTGGGTGTGGGGACCGGGAGGCCCGCGGCTGCTCTGAAGAGGGTGCCTTGTGCAGGTCCTGAATGCCGTATTTAGCGTGCGGAGGCACTTCCTGCACCGTCAGGGGGACCCGCCAGGTCCCCGCGGCCTCCTGGACAGTGAGGCCACTGTCAATACTCTTTAAACTGTTTATTAATTGACCTTTTTCTCAGTGGAGGGAAAAACATATGATGTAATGGGGGAAGTCACTAACTTGTAAAAGATTCAAAATGAGTCACTTAAGCTAAATGATATTGATTATTTTACAGTTATGAAAAATTAATGGACAGTTTAATGGCTGTTTGTATGATTAATGTTCCGTTGGAGATCGTGGCTTTTAGGTGCGGATATAAAAATACACTGGCCTGAATTAAGTGCAGTGTCGCTTTTGTTAGTGTTGAGGGTGAAGGAGGTGTCCTGGCTCTCTGTTTGCGGCAGAGTGCTGGGTTTTTGGGGGTGGGGCTTGTTGTCCTCCCCGGGGTTGGGGGGCGGGGGGGCTTGTTGACACCTGGCCTGCTATGCCATGTGTGACATGTGCCATTTCCTCCCGAGGTCATGTGACCGCAGCAGGGCGCCTTCAAAGCCCTGAACAGGCCGTAAAATGGCCACCCCTGTGCGTCTCCCCCGCAGTCAGCCCGCTTCAGCTTGGGATTATTTATTCCTCCTCCTCCTCCTCCGAAGATTATAATTTGAAATGAGCTTTCTTTGGCAAGCCGAGGTGCTGGGCACGCAGGATGTTGTGTTATTTTTTGCCGTCACTAGCTGCCGTCTTTAGTGACCCGAGACGGCTTCAGGACACGGATCTGCGGGCGGCTAACATAATGAAAACGTTGCGTGGTTTTAATTTGCCAGCTGCTACTTTTATGGGATACTTTGTGCCTGCCGGCCGCTATTTCTGCTCTTCTTTTATTGTATTTTTAACAGTGAAATGTAAATCGACCCCCCCTCCATCACACTCTAACCTATAGCCTTATTTATGTGCCTTTTATTTGGCCTGCGGGACAGAGAAACATCTGTATGGTGTATGTATGCCAGGAAGGCCAACGCACACGTATTGGTGCACTTTAGTAACTCACAGGGGCTTGGCCGGGTTGGGCTGGAGTCGGGGGTGGTTTTCGATGTATATAGAACGGAAAAATTTAATAAAATACATTTGACGCCAGAACACCAATCACACTGTAGGATTGTGGCTTTCATTTCAAGAAATGGTGTCACATCTCTGTTTCATAAGCCGTTATAGGAACAGTTCTTAGAAAAGATCCACCAAGTATTACCATTTGTTAGTAATGTTGCCTGTTATGAGGATCTTAAAACACACACAAAATTAATCTGAGACATGTTGATAAACCACATTTTCCCTTTCGCCCTTATTTCTAATAACCACTAACTGTCACCTTACAAACCAACCAAGGAAAGTGTGGTTCTTTAGTAGAAGGTGTTTCCATGAATATGAAGTGCAGTTATGATTCAATATGGCCGCCATCTGAAAAAAGTGCAGCCGCTTTTCTATATGGCCTGTCTGAACTCCCCAGGGAGGCTGTCAGCTTCATTTATTGTCATATAACCAAAGACTTACTGAAGGATATTTTTTGGTTTTTATCATGTCTTTGGCCCCGGCCCGCCCTCCCCCTCTACACGCTCATGTGCTGAAATGCAATTAAAGTGCCTCTCAATGCGTATCGAAGCTCATGTTAGCAGAATCTGTTGAACGGCAAGCAGTGTTTTATTCTCCCCACTTAGACGATGACCTCGAGTTCCCCGTCCAATCATCGGGCTTTTCTCTGAGTCAGCTGTCATGGACGCAGTCACATGACTTGCCATCCTGCCCTATTGGCCAGCTTTGACATCTCAAAATCATTTTCCCGGGATCCCTCGGTGATGCCACCATGGTCTCCATGCAGTATATCCGTTGTCTTTCTACGATTTCCGTGTAGGTCTGTGCTTAGATGTTTGGAGTGCATTACCTCAGATCTGATAACGGAACATGGAAGGTTAGAGTTCATCCTTGAATCTCCTGAGCATCATGGTGCTTTATGTAGTATGATTGTTAGCCACCAACAGCTGGGGTTGCTCACATTGACACTCAACTCAGATTTTGTGCTGGGCTATAGCAGAGGAAACGATAATAATTCTTTAAATGATATAACTTTCCTGATGAGTTATGGGAAGCGAGTTGCACTCTGCTCTTATCTAGTCCTGATGGCTACGCTTAGTAACAGAACCACACTGTAGTCGTCCATCATCCAAAAAAAAAACCCCATTGTGCTTCTAGCTGTTTTTCCATCGCAGGTGTGCAACCTGCCCCTTGGATCACTAAGGGACTCCCTCCCCCCTTGTGCGATTGGTCGGTTCTCAGCAGGAGTACCACTCACAGCCCTAAGAGATGTCACATGATAGCTTTGCGGGGTTAGCATGTTCTCCCTGCAACATTCCCTAGGAATGGGAGGGGGGGCACAATGTTGCTTTTGCTGCTGTTGTGATTTGTCCCTGATGTCAAGGACGTAGCACTACCTCTCCACCCCCCCGTTAAGGTATCAGAACTCGGCCTTTTCCGCTTCCCCTCTTTCTTTGGCAGAAAACACGCTCGATAAATCCACGGGTGGCAGCGTGTCCATCTGTATGCTCGCCACACCAGTGCCGCTGGGCGTGTGCCAGCGCTCTACCTCGCCTGACCTTCACCGTGGGTCAGACCTGCACAGTCTGCTCTGGCTCGGCCCAGAGCTCTGCAGACAGCTGGATGGATGTGGTGGCAGTGCGGTCCGTATGCAGTGCCACTCCATTCAAGGCTCTTTCGGCAGTCATGGCGTCTCGAGGTGCCTGAAAATGTGAAGGTGTTCCCAAATCAGTAGAACATCACGACCCATCCTTCCCAAACTTTGTTGCACATGTCAGCCTCAATGCACTGAAAACTGTGAAGTGGGTGATAAAAACCTGTACAGTTTTGTGAACTGGGCCATCAAACTAAGGTGGGCTCTTCTTACGTGATTTGACTGGTTCTGTCAGCTGATATAGTTTGTCAAACAGTAGGAGGGATCAAGTGAAATCCAATCAATCGATTTACTTAAGTTTATTTGTTTGTTTTGTCAAATGCACTACAATACAGCAGACAGAGGAACAGTGCTAGATGCGGGAAATGAAATGAGTTTTCCAGAGATCCCCCAATAAGTAAGTTATAATAAAATATAAGAAAAATAAGTAAAATAGTGCATATTAAGTAAATATTGATCTGTTACACTTTATAACAGCCTAATAATCCACATTAGCATCACGCTGCGTGTCGGCTTTTAGCATTAGTATCTTATTCTACAGTTATCAATGAAAGGCAGCATTTCATCTTACCTCTTGCAGCAGAAGAGCGAGGGGTCTGGCTGTGAAGATACTTCTGGTTCGGCTTGCTCCTTATGGCTGGACTGATGGACTCTCAGGCCGGCGTGTGTCATGTCGGCACCGCGGGCCGTACAGCGCGGTTAGCAAGAGCTCGCTAACTCATCTTTCGCCGCTGGCAGGAAGCTCCTCGGCCATAATTATCTAAGGAGTCTGGGTTCCACTCGCTTTATACGTGGCCTATTTTAAACCCGGATTGCCCAGTGGTATACTTTTCAAATATTTCAGCATTCTTGCGTTACAGCACTGGAGCTGGGTTGGGGTTATGTCAGCGTACAGTCTTTGAAATGCTGCTTCTGGTTAAGATTTCACAGCTTCATTAGTATTGAGGAATGCTGTATTACCCATTACCAGGGCCCTAAGTGCCTCTCTCTGTGCCCTTGATGGCACGGCCTGACGTCTGTCCTGTCCTGTGCGGTACCTCTGGGTCATCCTCCGTGTTCTGGCCTACTTTCTTTGTTATTTCCTTCCGTCATCCTGACATCAGCACGCTTCCAGGCGCCTGCAGTGAGTGAAATGACCCCGTCACGTCTGAAGCCCGCTCGGCCCCTGCGGCCAGCACGAATAAAGGTGGAGCTGAGCGCTTAAGCTCCGTCCGAGAGCCGCCCTCCCCTGTGAGTCGCCAGGCAGCCTGTCCGTGTCCCGGAAAGTCTCCCGCTTGGCAGGCTGGGATTTGCCCGCTGGCAAGGGAGGTGCGGTGACTGAATGCCACGGCCATCACCACTGTGAAACAGGAGAGCAATGCCCTTCACGACAGAAACACCCCCCCCAGGGATGTGTGGGGGGAGGGGGGCACCGCCGCAGGTGCCCTCACAGGTTTCCATGCCGACCTTGACCTTAAACGGCTGCAGAGGATGGCTGGTTGTCATGGAGACCGTCGGTCCAAAAGCCGTGAATCTGAGACGTGTGGTTTTGAGGACGACCTTCGCCTGCTTAGTGAATCCACGCCAATCCTCCGTGTCCCTCTGCAGCCTTATGCGCCCCCACTGTTATCGAGAACGCCAGTCATTGTATTAGCAGATTAACCTCCTTTCAGTAGATCCACACAATTTATTTACAGTCTTCCTCAATAGTAATTATCATTCTGATAATGCGCTGTGCCCTGCCCCGTGGCAGTACGGCTAATTAAAAAGCCCCCCTTTAATTTAAAGTTAATTCAGCAGCTCTGTGTGTGAAATCCTGTGTCAGCAGGAGACCAACACGTAACGGGAATAGAACGACTCTCCGTGTACCTGCTCCGTGCCGCAGTCGCAGTCGCAGTCGGTCCGGGAGGAGGGTGGTGATTTGGGTGTTGTTCACATTCTGCTCACATGGCGACCGAAGTCGTACTCCAAACAGGTGTGGGTATTTGTTGGATAGCGGTTTTTGTATTGCATTTTTAATGAGCGGGTGTTTTTATTGTGAAAGCCTGTTCTTATTTTGTCTCGTTGATCTCATGGCACTGCAGTTATTTGTCATGAATGCCTGCAGAAGGCTGCCAGCTCCCCAGAATAGTCTTTGCTTCCTCTGAGGTATAATTACGACGCCGTCCTTGGCTCAGAGGAAAGTTGTACCTTGAACTTCCCTGAGTACAATGGCAGATGAGACACTAAAGGTTCCTGGTAGCTCCCGGGGTTTCTGTACATGCCAGGGAATGGGAAGAGGTATGTGAGCTTGTCTGTTAGCAAGGTAGGTGTTCTGTGAATATTTCATGCCGTATAATCATTAGTCACATATGAGATCTACACGTGTCTGCTTGGAAATCAGGGAAGCGGAGCAGGAGGGAGTCTTTTGTAGTTACTGTTGATGAATGTATTGATAACTGTGATGTTCTTCAAAATGCTGTTTTGCCAAAATGTGCTGTAATGCCGTTTTTAATTCCTGATTTTGATTTCCATATTCAAAGCTACAGAACTACAAAGTTTTACATAGTTTCTGTTCTCTGATGATTGTAACAAGTTGTAAATATGTCATAGTTGGTGAGGATTTACTGCCTTCTGTACCCCCGGCCGGGACTCCGGCCCCCCAGCCACATTGTAGGGGGTGTTATTTCCCAAAAATGCCCCCTGCTCTTTCAGTCCTTCACCCAAGCTGCTGTTATCGCCGCTGTAAATATGGTTCCTCAGGCTTCTAGGCTAGGAAAGGGTCAAAGTTCATAACGGGGCTATACTGGACTGGCGTTTATATTCGTAAACATGACGCATGCTTTTTTGTTTGTTTGGTTGTTACGGCAACCCTGCGAAGCACTGAACACTAACGGTCTGCGTCCGGGTGTCTCTCCACAGCGTGGAAGGCGACGCGCCGTGCGGAGACGCAGGCTCCTCCCATGACGGCAGCTACGGGCGAGGCCCAGTGAGGCGCGGAGGCTCCGCCTTCGCCCAGGAGCGTGCCGAGGCGCTGTCCTACGGCCCGCCGGGTCAGCAGCGCTCCCGCCGGCCCAAGCTGCAACACTCTCAGTCCATCCTACGCAAACAGGCCGAGGAGGAGGCCATCAAACGCTCACGCTCGCTCTCCGAGAGCTATGAGCTCTCCAGTGACCTCCAGGACAAGCAGGTACCACACACTAGCCCCCACCCTCTAGTGCCCGCCCACTAACCCCCACCCTCTAGCCCCCACCCACCGGTCCCCGCATGACAGTCCCCGGCCACCCCCAAGCACCCCTACCTTTGCGAATACACTAATTAGCTAATTGGATCAGGCATCTACGGAACACTGCACTTGGTTTTTAAATAGCTCAGCGATTTCTTTGTGTGTGTGATGATTCACACCTTTCCCTTTAAATGCGGTAATGCACAATGGGGAAATCTGAGAGTCAGGAACAGGAGAGGGACATGCAAGCAGCACCGTTTTCACAGTGTGAGGTCTAAGCTGCAGATGAGGTATGGAGGTATTTTCATCTTAACCTACAAACTGACGTTCAGCTCCCCCTAAATTTCAGTTAGTATGCAGCGTGTAACATCGCCCGACATGGTCATCCAGGACTCCGATAGACTGGATTACTCCTGGTGTATATTGGTTATAAACTGCCAACATGGAGAGTGCACAGACACCCTCCAACCCCCCGAGTCACTAATTGAAGGCACTGCATGCGTGTTGAGTAATTGCACCTGTCATTTGAGCTCAGTCAATTAAGAAGCTCTTGACCGTCTGAAGATTTATGAGATGTGCATTGATCACATGATAGCATGACACTGCTGAATTCTCATGTCTGATTGGTCGGAAGGGTGCTGATTAACTCCAGTGCTGTGACGCTTGCGGTATGTTCCGCAGGTGGAGATGCTAGAGCGTAAGTATGGGGGCCGTTTCATAACCCGCCATGCTGCCCGCACCATCCAGACGGCCTTCCGCCAGTATCAGATGAACAAGAACTTCGAGCGCCTCAGGAGCTCTATGTCGGAGAACCGCATGTCCAGACGCATCGTCCTGTCCAACATGAGGATGCAGTTTTCCTTTGAAGGACCTGAAAAAGTCCACAGCTCTTATTTTGAGGGCAAGCAAGTGTCGCTGACGGACGACGGCGCCGAGCTGGGGGCGCTGGTCCAGGCCGAGCGTGGCGATGGAGGCATCCCCGGCAACATGAAGTCGCCGACGGACCCAGGCGACTTCACGGACGCCATCACGGAACTGGAGGACGCCTTCTCCCGGCAAGTGAAGTCGCTGGCAGAGTCCATCGACGATGCACTGAACTGCCGCAGCCTGCACGGCGATGAGGGCCCGGTGGAGGCCGCGAGGTCCCACCCCGACCTGGAGGCAACCTATCAGGTAAAGCCCTCGCAGACTGGAGACCGGCGCAAGCCGGACGAGATGACGGCCTCCTACAGCGACGTGACACTCTACATCGACGAGGAGGAGCTGTCGCCCCCTCTTGCGCTCTCGCAGGCGGCGGAGCGTCTCTCCAGCACCGAGTCCGAGCCGCGGCACCGCCAGCTCACCTCCGCCCAGGAGTACTGGGCGCTGGCCCACAAGGACGACAAGGGTGACACGGACACGAGCTGCCGCAGCACGCCCTCGCTGGAGTGCCAGGAGCAGCGGCTCCGCGTGGACCAGTTGCCCCTGCTCACCATCGAACCACCCAGCGACAGCTCGGTGGAGATAAGTGACCGCTCCGACCGGGGCTCGCTCAAGCGACAGAACGCCTATGATCGCGGTTTCAGCAGCCAGCAGGGCAGCCCCAAGCATGTCTCCCATGGGCTCCCTCCCCGGGGGCCGGCCCGCGACGAAGAGCCCCCTAGACACCGGCCCAGGCAACTGGAAGGCCACCTGGCCATCAACGGCACCGCCAACCGGCAGAGCAAGTCCGAGTCGGACTTCTCCGACGGGGACAATGACAGCATCAACAGCACATCCAACTCCAACGACACCATCAACTGCAGCTCCGAGTCGTCTTCGCGAGATAGCCTGCGGGAGCAGACCCTCAGCAAACAGACCTACCACAAGGAGACCCGCAACAGCTGGGACTCGCCTGCCTTCAGCAACGACGTCATCCGCAAGAGGCACTACAGGATTGGCCTCAACCTCTTCAACAAGTACGTGATGCATTGGGGTCCTTCCTGGGTTACAGTGTGGAGTTATGAACAAAATCTGAACTCTGATGGCAGTGTCACACTCATGAAGTGCTGAAACAGTTGTGTTGAACATATGGAGGAGCCCAAACAAAAAGAACACAACCCATCAGAGTTCAGACCCTATCTTCATTATTTCAGTTTTGCAGTGTCTATGAACCAATGGTATGAAACATCTAAGAAGGTGGAGTGCAGGTCGAGCTTCTGAAAAGGTTAGGCAATTATGGTTCACACCCATAGTTATGGCTTCAAATAAAAGAATTGAACTGCCTTACAATGGCTCTTTTGGTTATTAGATACAATCAAAGAGCTGGGCCACATTTTTACACATAATTCCAAAAGCAATGGACACAAGATAATGAATTCAAGTTTTTAATGAAAGGTGGTTTCATTTTGTTTATGTAAAACTTCTATAATTGACCTCAACTGAGAAATAAATCCCAAAGACCAAAATGCCAGGGACAAGGATATGTTAGCATGCAACAGTGAGCAAAAGCTTGTGGAAGGAAGTGGATGCTATCAGATGGAAAACAGCAAGGCTGCTAAATTGTAGACACACTCCCTAGCTAAGTGTGATTAATACTGTTTACCTTCTGGAAGAATGTTGCTATTTTGAGCACCATAAAGTGGTTTACAAACATTTTCTGATTAGAATCGATGGGATATTTGCGATGTGCGTCACCTCGAATTTGTGAAGATACCCATTTTCTAATGCTTACGGTGTTTTTTTGAGTGTCTGAACATGGCAAAGTAATTCGAACAAATTGTAAAAGTTTGTTTGAATTCCAGGGTACATGTGACAAGGACAAATGTAGCATATTATAATTAAAATTGTATCTGAAATGTGTCGTTTATAGTAGAGTGTCCGATAATGCAAATAGCAGCAGTGGTGCTGATTTGTAACAGATATACAACATAAAACTGCCAAGAATGAGGTGTTGGTCGTTAAATATATATGCTACTTTATGTCTGCGATTGATCTGATTCTAAATTGGGTCAGAATACTGGCAGCTTATAATAATATTCAAACATAGTTATTGTGTAGTTATTGTGTGTGAGATGCTGCTTACCTCTGCCATCTTAATACTGTAAGTGAAAAGAAGTAACCGCGCATGCAGCTCACAAAAATATGTAACAGATTGTAATGCATCCATCTTCCGACTGCTAATCATGGACAGTGAGAGCTTGGTGCTTATCCCAGACAGGATAGGGAAGAGAGGCAGGGGGGCACCCTGGGTGGGGTGCCAGCCCACCGCAGGACACCTACCCTCATGCGCACGCACAGAAACACACACACACAGATTAGGTATCTATATCGTTGTGGGGACTCTCCATTCATTTTTATGGGCATAACCCTAATCCCAACATGACAACCTTAACCCCTACCCAGCCCTAACCCTAAATATAAGTAACCAATCAAAATACTTTTGACATTTAAAGGTTTTTGATTGAATTCATAGATCTTTGTATGGACCTGAAATATATATGGACAACGTCAAAATAACAGTTTTCCCCAAAATGTAATATAAACATAATCCACGTGCACATACACACACACACATACACGTACACATACACGCACACGCACACACACACACACACACACATACACATACACCCACACACACAAACTAACTGCATGTCTTAAGCGCAACAGAAGCAGATAATGCAAACTCCACACACATGCATGCAGGGGTGTGGCTCGAACCCCCAACCCATGGGGTGTTCAGCCACAGCGCCACCAACTGCCGCACTTCCTCATCTCAATGCTTCTTTGTTGCACACAGTTGCAAACGTTTATACATTTTTATCTAAGTATCCTTAAAATAAGTGCTACTGGTGTATTTATTATTATTAATATTGTTGATGAAAAAGCAGTTTATAAAAATATATAACTCATATTTAATTTTTATTTGTGACTTAAACATGCTGACATCTTTTTGCCTTCATATGTTTCTGAGAATTCATGCATTCCTACATTCATTGTGTGTATAATGTATGCTTGCACACGCATGTACGTGTTTAAATATGCTCGTGTGTGTTCAGACGCCTGCATTTCTGCCTGCCACATGTCACCCTTCACAGTGTGATGACATACAGGATGATGGATTCGGGTCCTTCCGTGGCTGTGGGTTTGCAGAAATAGCCCTCTCGTAACGATCTGTCGGGTCACACGTGCCGAGCAATCTTGAGAGACCCGTCCCTTCTCATGTCGGTATTACAGCCGTGCTTTTCGACGTATTTCCAGGAAGCCGGAGAAGGGGATCCAGTATCTAATAGAGAGGGGGTTTGTTCCGGACACGCCTGTGGGCGTCGCCCACTTCCTGCTCCAGCGCAAGGGCCTGAGCCGACAGATGATTGGAGAGTTTCTGGGCAACCGGCAGAAGCAGTTCAATAGAGACGTCCTTGAGTGAGTACAGCCGAGGTAGCTCCCCGCAGACTACACCTGCAAGGTGTCTGATCGCTCTGACGTCAGTGCTAGAAGGTGTGCTCTACATTATCATCACCAGCGTTTTGTCCTGTATCTTCTCCATTTCCTTCCCTCCTTTCTTGCTAGTTCTGCAGGGGCGCGTCTGCTTTCAAAGATACAGCCATTTGATTCTTTTTTATAATTCACCGTTGAATTCAAATTTATTTGGTCACAGGATGTAACCGACATGTTTCCGCACTGAAAATAAACCTTTTAAATTCTGTGTGAAATGCAGATCATCTTGTATTTTGAGCTTCTACTCAGGAATTACAATCTTCCCAATCTGAACTTTGGCAGTAGCTTTACAAAAACACCCGTCAGTCTCCAGTACGATGACAGTACCGGTCCCAGTTTCCTGCTGCAAGCGGTGACAGGGACGGCCAAATCAGCCACCCCATTGCGGATGACATTATGCAGTTAAACTCTTATCACTCTGCATGGGTGCATCGTGCTGGTAGACGTCCCGCTGGACTCCTCTCTTCTCTGCATCAGAGAATGACTTGGGCTTATGAAGTGAATCTAGCCGTTATAAACCTGTGCTGTTGCGGGCAGTAAAGATCTGCCCCTGATGGCCTAACCCAGCCTGAAGTTACTAGTAGTGCCTCACCTCTACTGTCTTTCGAACTATTCAGAGATTTATGCATTAGGAGCAGCAAGTCAATACTCCTGCTTCTGGCACATTGTCTGTGGTCCTCAGGTTGGCATCAGGGTAACAGCTGAGATCTCATTTGCCCAGAAATGTTTTGCCTTCCTGTCATGGAATTGATGGAGTCTGACTTGCTGTTACGCTCCATCATTTTGTGTCAGATGGTCACACTGTAAGCTTTCACGGGCCTGTTCCACCTGTCCGGCCCTGCAATTTATTGAAAATTCAATTCACAGTGTATTCCCATTAATTTCAGTGTATTGACACATGGGGCACACAAAGACAAAGGCCTCCCCTTCTTAAGTGTGAGCAGAGGCTGTTGAATTATGACCGTAACGTACGCCATCTTGCCTTACTGTTATCTGGTGTGCCTTTGCAGCTGCGTGGTGGACGAGATGGACTTCTCAAGCATGGAACTGGACGAAGCACTCAGGAAGTTCCAGGCTCATATCCGGGTCCAGGGGGAGGCTCAGAAAGTAGAGCGCCTCATTGAGGCCTACAGGTGAATTGCAGTTTTGGAGTTTAAAGGATACGGCCTCAGACAGTTACAAAGGTCCTAATTCTAGAGGTCACGTGTCATTAACTCTGACACACAGCAATACCTTTATGTTTATCCTTTCCACATACACGGAAGAATTGCGAGTTTATTGGCTGTAACAACTATTATGCCATTTCAGCAAACTAGAGAGCTTGCAGGAAGCAAATTGCTACTGGCTTTTCCTGAATGTGATTGCTTTCATGGCGAAACGTAAATAAATGTAATCTGGTTCACACACATTTCATCCAACATTTTGAAGAAGCAGCATGTATACCCTTGTGGATATTGTGATGTGGTTCCCATCTTCAGATCCTCCAGAAGATCCTTTGTTGTGGGTTTTCTATCTGGCATGAATTGCCTTAAAACTGACTGCTTTGCAGAAAATGGCCAGTGGTAATGGCAGTAATCCAGTGGCGGCGGGGTGTTTCAGAGCCGTGTTTTTGCTGCTGGTTCATTGTCCTCTTCAATCGCATCCCCCACAGTCAGCGCTACTGCATCTGTAACCCCGGAGTGGTGCGGCAGTTCAGAAACCCCGACACCATCTTCATCCTGGCCTTCGCCATCATCCTCCTCAACACCGACATGTACAGCCCCAACGTCAAGCCCGAGCGCAAGATGAAGCTGGAGGACTTTGTGAAGAACCTCAGAGGTTGGCCACCAAAATCAGAGCCTCGCGACTAAGCCAGAAGAGCCCTCTCGGCTCCCTCTGCGGTTTCGTTACTTATCGCTCTGTCATACGTACTACTTGAGAGAGCTCAAATTGAATTTGCGAATGCATTACGGCTTGATTAATAGGCTCTTGAGAAGCACGGCTCATTACTGCAGCCCTGGCTGGGTAGCATGGCTGGCTGAGGGAGGCAGCATGGTCTCTGGTGTGATGCTGCACAGTGGCAGCTTTGACTTAAAAGGCATTTACGGCAAATGTGTGGCTGGTTCATTTAGAACAGCGTTTCTCAAACCAGTCCTTGGGGACCCTCAGACGGTCCCCATTTTTGCTCTCTCCCAATTCCCTGTCTGGGTGTCCCCAAGGACTGGGTTAAGAAACATCAATTACAAACATAAACCTGACCGAGAGAGGGATCTAGAGTCTGCATCACTCACTCTTTAGAGGAACATGCTCCTTGGTGTATGAGTGCGCGTTTGTTTGCATGCGTTCATGCCAGACCAGTGAACGCTTACTGACGAAAAGCTGGCCCCACTAGGAGTGGACGACGGCGAGGACATCCCCCGGGAGATGCTGACCGGGATCTACGAGAGGATTCGCAAGCGGGAGCTGAAGACCAATGAGGATCACGTGTCCCAAGTGCAGAAAGTGGAGAAGCTGATCGTGGGGAAGAAGCCGGTGAGTGCGTCTCTGCTATGGGGCCACCACCGCTTTCCTATCCAGGCCTTTGTCAGGATGCTCCAAGGAGCAGCACAGATGCAAGCAGAGAATCGTGTGGATTCTGAGAAGCAGCCGAGATTGTAATCAACTCCCGGATCAGCCAATGTTGAAGGGTTAGCAGAGGCTGAGAAATTAGTTTGTACTTCGATAGTTTTTTCCCCCCCTAATTTCGTGATGCCCGCCTGAGACCTTCATGGTTGAGGTGTTTAATATCCCTGAAATCCTTGAGAGTCAGGAAGCTGAGATTTTCGGATGCTCCCAGTAATGACCAGTGGGATTATGGTGTCCACAGTGACTCGTGTAGGTGTCCCCGGAATCATTTTAGATTTGCCCGAAATCCCTCATCATTTGCAAGCTCATGCGTCTGTCGATAAATCGTTGGCTGACTGGGAAGGTAACAGATTCATACAAGTGCTAAGGCAGGCAGGTCACCTTACTGAGGCCAAAGATAATTAATAATTACTTATATAATAATAACAATATATAATTAGTGCATAACATTGAAAAGCAAGGTGTTGAGATACATGTTCATAAACGTGTAATCTATTGTCCAAGGAGACTTGATACATGAGAAGAAAATGCAATGACATCAGAAAAACTGAAGGATTTAAAAATGTGCATCTCATGTATTCCCAGCAGTAGAGTAGCAGACAGCTTTGTGATTAAGGGGGTTGCAGTTGCTGTGCCCTTGAGAATTGTACTTAACTTGAATTGTTCCAATAAGATATCAAGGTGTGCCAGCAAGGTTGCAGGTCATTTTTGATACAAGCAGCCTCTATGCAATGAAATATTATCAAATCATATCTCTGGCAGCACCGTGGTGAGACATTTCACTTCATACTCTAGAGCTGATGTTTGCTAGCTGTTCTTCTGAAGCCCTCTCTGTTCTTGCGTTGCAGATCGGCTCTCTCCACCATGGCCTGGGATGTGTGAGTGTTTCCTTTCTCTTTCAGTCATTCGTCTTCACCTTCACTGCTTGTTCACCAAAACTATGCCTCTCTGTCTTCTATTAGAAGCAGATTTAAAGTGGTTGTGTCCTTATAAACCTGCAGATCAGTGTTTCCCAACCCAGTCCTCAGGGACCCACAGACAGTACATGTTTTTTGGCTTGTGGGAGTTGTTGAGGAGATGGGTCCAAGCAACTAGAAGAGGTGGGACCAACCAATCAGATGTTTTGTAAGTAAAACTCCCATGAGCACGTTTTTGCTCCCTCCCAGCTCCCGTAGCAAAAATGTGGACTGTCTGCTAGTGAGCTCGGAGGGAGCAAAAACATGACCCGACAGTAGGTCCCTGAGGACCGGATGGGGAAACACTGCACCAGATGAATGCCATTGTTACAGCAAGCAATAAAAGTCTCAGTTGGTATCGCTTATTCCCATTGCATACCGAGGATGTGGTCATGAGCTATACAAAGAAATCTTGGTTTTCTGAAGTTCTGAAATTGCTTCCAGCACAGCAGTAAACTACACTGTTTGCTCAATTTTCATCTTCCATGAACAGCCTAAGGTCTGCAAATTTATGTATTCTTTGGTCAGGGAACCACCATCTTGTGCCACACTCAAATTAAGGGGAGATCGTTTCTTAAGAAATAGCGCTTTCAATTGAGTAATAACTAGAAAAGGAGATCACAGATTAGATATTTTTCTGTGGTACTTCCCGATAAGCAATATTGTAATGCATTTTGTCATTCATATCAGTATTCCCCAGCACTGGTCCTTCTGGTGAACAGTGTCGACAGATGTTATTAATTTAGTGAGAAACTGTGAAAACGGGAACACATCAGGGGCCTGTATCACCAAGCCGGATTTCTTGCATTGCCGGATAACTTGTCGGATTTAAGGTAGTCTGGGCTAAATGCAATTTAACAAAGATAAATTCTGACAAGTTATCAGGTTAAGCAAGAAATCCAGCTTCGTAATACATTCCCCAGGGAATCTGAGATTTATTTAGGGGTTAGGGTCCTGTCAGACACACAAACAACATGAAAAAAGGAAACAATCTTGCTGCAGGGACAGGGACTTATCCAGAAGCTGTGGTCGCTGTAATGCTGCACCAGGACTTCTTCAGGTCATGAGGGCTCATAAAAACGGAATTCACCAATTATATACACTACACTGCAGAACAAGGGATAGATGCAAATGATAAGCAAACAAATCCTGACTACCCCCATGAAGATGACTGCTGTAAAGTGCTCATTTGTAACTGAATTCCACTCATTCAGTAATGGCTGTAGCCCTTGAACAATTATTTACTGATGAATCTAATAAAAAATGAATCTAATAAATAATAAATTAACACTCTATTAAATATATTGCCTGAATTGGTCAAATGTAAATGGAATGGCCAAATTAACAGAATGTTAATATTAATATATCATATTGCTGTCTCAATCAAACCTAATTAACCAAGAACTCCACCACCAAGAACCTGAGTGCAATTTGTTTGGCCAGGAATCCTGAAAGTTGAATAAAAGAGAGTATTACAGAATTCCTAAACTGAAGGTCAAGCTGTATGTATGCGTTTTGTCATTGTTTTTTGGGACCTTTTGATTTAAATAACGTCATTGTCACTTGCATGGTCAGCGTGCACATTTCACAGTAATTTAAGCTGCTGTTGCTTCCCACATGTCGCATGAATTATTTACTCATCAAATCAATCCTCAGATGACTAACTTGGCCATTAATTGAAGGCTGAAACTATATTTTAAAGAGCTCCTGTAGGATTAAATAGCACATGTGAGATATCAGCAATTAATGTGATCCTTTGAGCAATTAAACAAATCCGAGAAGACAAATTACGGTAAATAAGTCATGCGAGAACCAACGCATTAATTAGTAAATAGAGTGAAACCCAACCAGGCCGTCAGGGATCCCCGGATGGTCCCATCAATTTGCCGGCTTCTTGCTACAATATGCAGCGATGCTTCCTTTTTAAATCTCTCTCGGATCCACAGGCAGCGCAGCGAGGCTCGGTTGCCTCCCCCCCCCCCCCGCTCATCCTGACGTGCATCTGACTCTTTTCTGCGTAGGTACTCTCCCTGCCCCATCGCAGGTTGGTGTGCTATTGCCGGCTCTTCGAGGTCCCGGACCCCAACAAGCCCCAGAAACTGGGCCTGCATCAGCGGGAGATCTTCCTGTTCAATGACCTTCTGGTGGTAAGGGGGCTTCTTACGCTTTCTGTCATCTTCCAGCTCTGCAGTGGCCCTATACTGCTGCTTTGCCTAGGCAAATTAAATCATTAAGGCTATTCAGAATTTCCTCAAAGAGATGGAAGGAGTAATTAATGTGCTTTCTTACTGGGAAGCAGCAATGTACCTTAATGTGTTACACCATTATCTGTGATTTGCCGGGAAAAAGGGGCCGAGGAAAATATATATTTTTTGTCTCTTTCCAGCTGTGTTTTGGGGTTATAAATAACATCAGGGTATATTCCTTATGAACAGAGAAATAAAAAATGTACTTCCTCTGAGAACTTCTCAATGTCAAAGAAAATTGTAGATATCAATTCAGACTCCCCTGTTGTGAGAGTAAATACATTGCAGACTCAAACTGTGTTGTTATTGCAGATGTTATTGTTATCGATGTGAAATCTCTAGCCTCGGGTCCACATATCATGTTGAAAATATCAATAAAGCTTTGAAATTCCAGGATAGGGTATGAAGGGGCCAAGTAATCAATATGAGACCCAACAAAAATAGGAGAAAACTATGTTTATTGATCACAGCAAAGACATCTGGGGATGACCTCTGTATGTCCGATCTGCCTCTGATTTAGGTAACAAAGATCTTCCAGAAGAAGAAGAACTCCGTGACATACAGCTTCAGGCAGTCCTTCTCGCTGTATGGGATGCAGGTGCTCCTCTTTGAAAACCAGTGTAAGTGAGATCCATAAGTACACCCTTCATTGACATCAGATCTTCTGTGAACTCATGTCATTGTCGTCCTCAAAGCCTATGTGCTGGAGCTTCAAATTACCCTACTGACAAGTGTTATGTGAGAGGAGACGGGAGCACTTCAGTTTCTGATAAACTTGGGTATTCTGACGAATGTGAGCATCGTATTCCACACTGACTAAGCCCTGTGCAATCTGCCGTCCTGAAGATTTCTTGCCTTCTTCCTTCAGATTATCCCCACGGAGTCCGACTCACCTCCGCCATCCCCGGAGCGGATATCAAAGTCCTCATAAACTTCAACGCCCCAAACCCACAGGATCGCAAGAAGTTCACGGACGACCTGCGGGAATCCATCGCAGAGGTCCAGGAAATGGAGAAGTACAGGATAGAGTGTGAGTTTCTCCACACGGGATGTGTGGCTCACCGGTCACTGGAAGGTCGCTGGTTCAGGTCCCAGGGTTGACAGAACGATGTCACTGTAGGGCCCTTGAGCGAGGCCCTTAACCCCCGATTGCTCCAGGGACTGGCTGCCCCTGCTTTCTCAAAACAAAAAGAATGCCTTGGATAAAAATGTCTAGTACAAAATGTATATACAGTCAACCCTTCCACATTGGGGGGGGGTTAGGGGCAAAGGCCCCCTGCAATCTGGAAAAACCATGTAAAGTATTATGTTCCCCTTGGTGAGCAAATCCAGCATGTGAGCGGCACAACATAATAAAAGGAAGGTGAGATTCGAAGATCACTGTGAGATCACTGCGAGATCACTGCGAGATCACTGCGAGATCACTGCGAGATCACTGTGAGATCACTGCGAGATCACTGTGAGATCACTGCGAGATCACTGTGAGATCACTGCGAGATCACTGTGAGATCACTGCGAGATCACTGTGAGATTTCGCATTACTAAACATTTGGTTTGTCGTCTGCTAGCCGTCGGGTGTCGTCTGCAGCTTTTGCAAGACCACCGAAAGCGCCCAAAAAATTCCCCATTTAATTGCTGATGCTGACTCCATGACATATCGAAACCGCGACGGGGAAAGTTGGGATGCAGAATGGTGGACTATGTACAGTGTTTATATTTTTCACGGTTTGTGCTGAGTTATGGGGAAATGGTATTTCATAAGTTGTTCAAAGAGGATGAATTAAGGCTGAATAAGGAAATTAAAGCTTGAATTAGGGAATGAAAGAGAAAGGCAGCATGGGCAAGCTATTTTGGCAAGGTGACTCCTGAATGACTGGTTAGATTGTTTCTTGTGACACCGTGAGCGAGGGGGAGGGAAACGAGCTTCGCTGCGCTGCCTGAGGATCCGAGAGAGATTTAGAAAGGATCACATCCCCTGCAGAGCAGCTGCAGACCAGTTGCTGTTTGAGAAGATCAGTCGCTTCTGAGTGCTGGCTGTGACTGTGCCCTCGCCCGTCCCTGTGTCACACAGCGGAGCTGGAGAAGCAGAAGGGCGTGGTCCGGCCCAACATGTCCCAGAGCTCGGGCCTCAAGAAGGAGGGGGGCAACAGCAACATGAGCCGCGCCAGCCTGGACGACAGCTACGCCATGGGGGAGGGCCTGAAGCGCAGCGCCCTCAGCAGCTCACTGCGCGACCTCTCCGAAGCAGGTGAGGCGCTCGGCAAAGCGCTTTAGGGTCTTTCCGATAGCTTCCTGCTGCGCTGTGCTAGCCAGCTCCATGCCTGCTTGAAGCTAGCCTGCAGAAACGCGGCAGGAGACCTAGCACAGCGTGCTCCCTGTACGCCGCGAGTCTGCTGATAGGCCTAATGCGAATGTGAAGGTGGCAGATGGGTCTATATGCACACGTTCAACCACAAGGTGGGGCTGCAAAATGTCCCGGGTTCGATGCAGACGTCAAGGGTCTGCATTTCACCCCGACGAGTGAAACTGAATGCAGATCTCGAATTCTTACTCTACGTACCTCAGTTTTGCATTATTGTTTTTGTTTATTATCTGAGTTCTATAGTCGTCTAATTTGATAACCTTCCGATTTCTTTTTGTTTTTAACATGTTTTGTTCACTTCTGCGTATTTATGTTTTTGTTATCCTTAAGGCATATTATATTTAAGGATATTATATTGTACTTTCCACAGAACTTACTTTGGATATTATATTTATGAAGAAAAAGTCTCATTGATTAGCCGCAAAAAAAAATTTTGCGTTAAACATTTTCAAATTTGTTCCATTAAGTGACTAATTGAAAAGCTTGCATATAGTATAATTCAGTTGAATATTCCTCTTCTAGATATTTTTTTTTCTAATACGTGTGTAATACGGTATACAAGAATACAAGTGACTTTGTTTTCAGTGAAGAGAGATGATACTCTTCTGAAATCACTCTGGATTTAGTCTGGGTTTTTTTTTTTGTTGTTTCTTTAGTTTCATATAGTCCATGCAATGAAGTCCGGCACTTTTAAAAAGTCTTTTCAGTAATTGTAGTTGTTGCCTAGCGATCTTTGAGAGATATGCCTTTAGTATTCCTGAAAATCCAGGACTTTTTCCATTGATCTTCATGACTTCTCCATGCCGATGTCCCTCCTTGATGGCGACCCATGCGTTAGCTCTCTGAGACTTGCTTGAAAGAGCAGAATCTTCAGTTTCACTCCTAAAGATATAACCTTGCCTGTGTTTGCTTACAGCCCCTCCTTATCTGCATTAGCCAGTGTGCATTGTTTCCTTTCCTTGCACTTGTATCTGGGAGCATAGTCTGTATTTATGTAGCTGTCACTGGTGCCTGTTTCAGTCAGAGTGGATTTCCTACAGGCAATTACCTACAAGTCCAAATCTATAAAGACCCTATTTTTCCCTGCTGTCGGGACCTCGTCTTGTCATGCAGGAAAGCGCCTTTTGTAGCTTTTGGTAGTAAAATGGTCCAGTCCGGCTGGAGTAGAGCAGATGTGTGTTAAATGGAGCCGTGTGGGTGGAGTAGGATCCCTAGGGCAGGGCTGACGGAGACAAAACTGAAGCTTGTCCATTTTAGGAGTATAGCAGCAGCTAGCTCGCCTTGGGAATATAGCAGCAGCTACTTTACTTTGGAAGTATAGCAGCAGCTAGCTAACCTTTGGAATTTAGCAGCAGCTAACCCACCTTTAGAGTATAGCAGCAGCTAGCCCGCCTTTGGAGTATAGCAGCAGCTAGCCCGCCTTTGGAGTATAGCAGCAGCTAGCCCGCCTTTGGAGTATAGCAGCAGCTAGCCCACCTTTGGAGTATAGCAGCAGCTAGCCCACCTTTGGAGTATAGCAGCAGCTAGCCCACCTTTGGAGTATAGCAGCGGTGAAATTGACTGGCCCGTAGGCTGAGCCTCCACTCCACGGAAACGCCAGCCCCGTCTTCCCCCCTCCATGCTAGCCCTGATGGACCTCCTGTGTGTCCTCTGTGCCCCCTGAATTCGCAGCTATATATGGCCCAGGTGTGTTCTCGGTCACTAATCTGTGGTGTTGAATGTCCCGGCCAGGCAAGCGGGGGCGCCGCAGCAGTGCAGGATCGCTAGACAGCAATATGGAAGTAAGTAGGAAGCAGCCGATGTCTAGCTACTCTGTAATGTATGCGCTTTAAAAGAAACGCATTTAATTTCACCATTGTTTCCCTTATCGCCCCCCTCCCCCTGCTTCATAGCACACCCATCGCTTGTGTACCGTTTGGTTAGCGTGTTCAACTTTGCCTTGTCTTGATTAACAATGCATGGCCTTCCATCATCATACATGTTCGGCTGGGAGGCCTACTGCACGTGGTTCTGGGGCTTGGTGGCCAGTCCCCTCGTCCGTTTAGGGAGCATGAATGGACTAATCCCACTAATTCATGCCTTCGTCTCTCAGCCCACGGTGTGGATGTCAGTGTAGTTGTTGTCTCGGCTTGGTTTACTTTTTTTTTTTTTTTTTGCGTGACCTCAGCACAAGTGAAGAATGTTTTCAGTGTCAATTGTCCTGAAACCCTTTTGTCTTGATCCTTCACTCGTGGAAGTTTCACAATGTTCTGAGGGCAGAATTAAAAATGATTGATGCTGAGAGATAACCAATGAGATTGTAGATGAGGTGAATCCAAGCAACTGGAGGAGGTGGGACCAACCAATCATATGTCTTGGCCCCGCCTCCTCTAGTTGCTTGGACCCACCTCCTGTACAATGTCATTGGTTATCTCTCTGGACCAATCATTTTCTTGTTTTGCCCTCAGAACATTTTTGTATAAGTAAAACTCCCACAAGCTCCTGAACCCCCCCCCCCTCACCACCACCACCAAACCACACCCATCCCCAGTTGAACTCACTGTGTTGAGGGCAGAATAGAACATGAAGGCAAAACATGTTAAACATTTGCAAATGATCCAATCTGATGGGAAAATGAGGGTTTGGTGCAAACTCTTTCATTGCTATGAAAACCTTTCCTGCTTTGGGTGGGAAATGGGGTTCGAGCAACATAACTTCCGCTGAGGTGCCTGTATTCCTGTACGTCGTTCACCATCCTCTGCTGGCCGTTTTGACGTAGGTCATCTGACACGGAGCGGACATCTTTTAGCTACCCCAAGCCCCCGCCAACCGCATCCATACATGGACTGAGAAATGACAGACTAACAGGATAACGCGGGCTTTGCTTTTCTTTGGCACACTAACGCTCTATAGAGGAGAAGCTTGCCTGGTCCAGCTTTAGCATGTGGCGCATGCCCACCCGGGATCTGCTTCATTCAAGGGGCGGAAAGTGGGTGATTTAGATGCTCATGTTGTTTCTGACTCTACCGCTGTCTCTTTAGCATGGATTACCCTGGGACCCCTGCACTCAACATCACACTATACCAGTGTTTCCTAATCAGTTGGTCCATGTTTCTGCTCCTTCTGAGCTCCCTACCAGGAGCTGGGTGGGAGCAAAAATGTGGACCAGCTGTGGGTCCCCAAGGACTGGATTAGGAAACACTGCTTTACTCCTCTCACCGCAGAGTTCTGTCAAATCACTCAAATAACAATAAGTGTGATGCTGGGATATTTATAAAACAGATAATAGAAAGCATCGATTCTTATTTAATTAGTTTATTATGGTTCCTAAATCAAAATACATTTTATTAATCTGTTCTAAACAACTACGATGCTATTTATAAGGCCTTGAGGGATGGTAAGACACCAAGTTAGATTTTTAAATATAAATTTCAAATTATCCGGACACGTGTTGGGGATCAGCAATAGCTTTCGAAAGCAGATTGATTTAGTGCTGCCTTTATATTTGACACCTGTCTGCTGTGTGTGGATGGAGCAGCTGGATTGGCTGTAGGCGGGTGTGGGCGTGGCAGAGCGCAAATGTTACCATGACGACGTTTCTCCGCCCTCTCTCCCTGACAGGGGTCCATCATTAGCAGCCCCCATGTGCGCCGGAGGGCCACCTCCACCCGCGAGTGTCCGTCCCGCAGCCAGCAGCCGGCGCAGCTGCCCAACTCCTCCTCCATCCTGGGGACGCTGTTTGGCGGCAGTGGGGGTGGCAAACGTGTCAAGTCCCCGTCACAGGGCCATGCGCCGCCGCTGCCCCCGCAGCACCCCACGCTCATCTCACATACGCCGCACTCCAGTGCGATGCACCACGGTGCCCAGGTGGAAACGCAGGCCCAGATGCACGCGCACCACGCGCAGTTCTGCCCCGCTCAGCAGAACCCGCCTCCGTACCACCATCACCACCACTACCACCCCCCCGCTCACGTGCAGTACCACCAGTCGCAGGCCGCCCACGGCCCCCACAGTGGGCATGGCCACGTGGCACACGGCCACACCCCTCACGCTCACGCATCGCACGCCCACGCCCAGCATGCCCCACACCACCACGGCCAGCAGCCTGCGCCCCCCCCAGCACCCAGCACCAAGCCCAAACACAGCGGCATCAGCACCATCGTCTGAGCTTGAGTGTGGGGGGTGGAATGGAACGCTCCTCTACAGGCGGAATTGGTCGGAGGAATTCTCCCCCCCCGGCGACGAGACACTGTGAACCGCCGGCCAGGATGGAGGGACGCCAGGGAGATCATGTACTTCCATTTCAATGGGAGCCCGTCAGCTCCAAGAAGTGAACTTCACGCTGTATAACGCTCTGCCAGGGAGTCCCATCGCATTTGCCCAAAGCCTCAGAGCTCATGAGAATGACCATCTCACAGCCTGAAGGAAACTGAAGGAAAAGCAGCTGTATCTTACTAGGCTGATCTTCTAGTTAATCTCCCACCACAAGGTGTCTTCCTGTCAACGCCACCGTCCAAGGACGAGGCATACTCACACGCTCTGGCTCCAACTCACTTAGTAAAGACAGATTACTCATGGGCTTCTTGCAGGCATACTCACACGCTCTGGCTCCAACTCACTTAGTAAAGACAGATTACTCATGGGCTTCTTGCAAGCATAGTCACACGCTCTGACTCCAACTCACTTAGTAAAGACAGATTACTCATGGGCTTCTTGCAAACATACTCAAACTCTCTGCTGACTACTGTTCACACAGGTCAATTGTTTTTCTCAAAATAGTTCTTACCATGTGTATGTTGGTCCAAGTAGAATATATATAGTAATTTCAACTAGGAGAATTAAAAAAAATTTAGACCAACAGCCAGGAGTTAACTATTGAGAATCTGTCATGAAGAGTAGCTTTTCCAGTATTTACTGTATCCGTAGATCACAGCTTCCTGTGATATCTGTTATCAGTCATCAATGTGCCAATTATTAAAGCATCTATCTATTTTAGTCTAAGGATTTGCTTTGTGTATACTGTGCATATAGTATTTTGTAAAAATGATAATGCTAGCATCAGATATTACTGATATCAAATAGGATGGACAGAGGCATCTGAAAATTCTCAGTATTATATCCTAAAGTAGCAGGCATAGTCTCTCAATGTAGATACAAACTGAATGCTCTTAATAGGTAGGCTGTTCACTGACCAGGATTATCTCCAGTTGCCTTCGGAATAGAATTCTCGAGGATTCTAGAATGCGGCTGCAGTCCTCCCGCATCGCCCTGTGACGTACTGGTCCTCACAGCGGGCCCCCCCTCGGTAAGCCTGCACGGCTCGGGTGCGGGGGGGGGAGGCGGCAGCCCAGCCTCGGCGGACCAGTCCTGGCTGCACCTGTACCATGGTTTTATTTTTTTAAGACTATTTTTTTAGAGATGAATAAAACAAAAATGAAATGCTGTACATCATTATATTATGTCTGTTAATGGTTTCGGTCTGGTTCTTGGAAGACGTTTTTTAAAGCAAAGGTTTATTTTTCCCATGGGAATTGGAAGCAGACAGGTGGCGGCAGCCATTGTTCAAAGCTCTCCTCTTTTTTTTCCTCCTCCGAGTTGCTGACATGGCATTGAACATTCTCAGCAGGCTGAGTGTGCCCTTTTATTGCAAGTCTTCACAGCATGTAGCGTTCATTGACTGTTAGCGCCTGCCCCGCCTGAGCGCACACTCAGCTGCTTGCTGGTTCCGGGCCAGTGGCCCACCTGTACTGGACCGAGCCCTCATGGCGGAAGGACCGGGCCGCAGCGGCCAAGGGTGTAGCGGTCGACCGGAGGGGCGTTTCGTAGCTTCTGTGCAGCGCTGCAAGACTTCCTTCCTTAATTGTTCTGATATGATTATTTTGTTTCATTACAGTGACTTTGCTACACCATCCCTCACATGGGTGGCTTTGAGGCTGTTTTGGGTGTAGGCAGAAGGGTGGGGTAAGAGGCAGCATTTTGGTGCAAGACGCAGGTTTAGGAAGCTATTGGGACACCTCTGCTTTCGCTTTAGCAAACTCTGTGAAATTCACTCTGATGCAGTGTCCCCCAGAGAAATACCGGCAGATTAAGAGTTTAACTCCATCATTCTGTTCCCCATTAATGAATTGTTCTAATTTTATGTGCAATATATACATATATGTGTATTTTATTTTATAAATTCACTCATCCTGGGTGTTCTTTATTTGAGTCCATGTCTATTACATTCTGTCTTTTTTGTTCTGAAAAACATTCTCTTGACTCAGACTTGAGTGTTTCCTTGATATTTCAGGAACCTGCTTTCTGCAGTGACGACGAATGTAAAAGAAAATAATCTTGCATGTAATTTTAATATTGTGAGACTATTCTCTACATATTGTATATTCACAATATATATCAGTGTTACTGTTGACTATTGTTGAAGTTAAGTGATCACATATTGAAATATGTAGACTTCTCTTCATACCACTGTATACCAATGTAGAATCTGTTATTGGGTGGTCCAAAACAGATATATTTCATTGATATATCTTCTTCCATTTGTCTCAATACTGGAAAACATACACTGTCCAGTCAGTGGTGCAAAAAAGTGTGTACAGTATGTCCATACCTTTGTAGACTCTTCAATTAGGCAGTGTGTATGGTGTCCAGTTTACAGATTAGGAGTGAAAGGGTTACTTATTTACTCACAACTGGTATGGTAAATATATGTACATATACACATACCAACACAGGCACTTAGCTCTAACGAATTACGTAATTAATATACTAGAAAAATCTGAGATTTACAGATTTAAAATAAATCGGCGAATTCCTAACATTAACTGTCAACAAACACTCGCCACTGATTAGAACAATCTGGAAGAACATCGAAATAAAATTTCTACTAGACAGCCCTAAAACTGGTATTTACTGGTGTAACTGGGAGTCATTTGAATTTTTCAACATTTGTTGTTTTTTTTTTTACTACTACATCCTTTCAGTTCATTAATAAACTCTGTAGTAACCTGAAAAGCGCTTGGCATAAATGGTCTTCTATAACACGTCAGCCACACCCATAAGATCCCGCGCGGGACGGAGCCCCTCCCACACCACAGTGCATGCCGCCAGTCCCTTCTTGCTAACCAATGGAAGTGCTTTTCTTTTCTTTCTTTCGTTTTTTAAAAGCTTGACGTTAATGGCCGTTCCATTTTACACGGTTTGTTACTGGAGCACAGCACACACCTCATTTCTGTACGCCTTGTAAAAAAAAAGATAATAAAAAGAAAAACACCATGCACTTTGGCCCAAAAGCTGAGGACTTTCGCAATGTATATAACTCGAGGGAGGGACTATAGCGAAACGACTCTCAAGGGATATGTAAAGGAATGGGAAGTCAAGGGTTGTTTCGTTTGGGGGGGGCTTGGTGATGGGGCTGCCCGAGTGTCACAGGGGATATTAAATTGTATAGTATATAGTCTGTATATTATTAGTACTTCTATACAGCACCTGTAGTCATATTGGGGGGAGCACCGTACCTCCTCCCTAGAAGAAAAGAAGTCATCACATATCTGCTTCTGCTTCCAAACATATCAAACTGTCATATAGTATCTAGTTCGTAAAAAGACTGTTACATAATTCTCTACAACGTTTTCCTTTTCATCTCGGGACGCTTCTGTCCCCTCAGACTTGAGGCCCATTTTGTAATTAAAAAGGGAAAAAGGGACGAGTGCTTTCATTTTAATATGCATTGTTTGTAAGTAGATAAGACCCCTATCAATGTTAAACTATAACTGTGACAATGTTGAGAACGCAAAAATAAAAGAATATGAGACGAACGCCTCTGTAACTCTCACTCTGCGACGTCGCCTTGTATTCTCCATAGTAATCACTCGCTGCCACTGCTGCAATTTTTACTGTTTTAATTCAAAGGGAAAAAACTAAAACATTCATTTTATGTGTACAGTGATTTCAAACTGAATGTAAAAAGCATCAAACAAGCACATTCTGTCACCATAAATTAAGGTAGGCCATAGGTGGAAATTAGCGGGAGAACATTTCAAACTGGATTTAAGGAAGCACTTTTTACACAGTGTGTAGTCAGAGTATGGAATAGTCTTCCTGATAACGTAGTGCAAGCCGAATCCTTGGGTTCCTTTAAATCAGAGCTAGATAAGATTTTAACAACTCTGAGCTATTAGTTATAAGTTCTCCCCAAGCAAGCTCGATGGGCCGAATGGCCTCCTCTTGTTTGTATAGTTCTTATGTTCTTATGTTTGTACTTGTCGATTTATGTATTTATTGCAATTTACCTTCTCTTAAGTCTTCTTGAGTTCAGTGACCAAATAATGGCCATAGGATGTTTGTTATAATGTTAAATGTCGAGGTCAAGGTCATTATGGTCATTTCTGTGTGCTGCGTCTAAACCTGTGACTGCAGTGATGTGACTGAACAGCATTGGCAGGGTTAGCCTCTGACTGTGACTTCTGATTTCAGTATCTCTTTCTGGTGACATTAAAAGGTTAAATATCAGTTCATTTCTTTCAATCTTAAATTATTCCTCTCCATAATTAAATTAGTGTCTCACCTATCAGGCAATATTTTTCAGATGCCGATGTGAGCTAGGTCACTGTGAATCCATCACAGACCCTACTGAACTGCCTTACATTATGTTTAGGCAGGTGAAATCTAATTAGACAAATGCGTTTGTGTTTTGTGTGCGCAGACAAGGTATCATGCTGGAAAACTGCCCTGAAAAAACCAGGACTGCCTGAGGTTAGATGGTACAATTTTTGAAACACTGAACACGTGAATAACAACAAATTAAACTAGAGCGTCAAACAGAATATTTGCAGGCAACTTTACTTCACACTTTTTCTTCTTCTTCTAGTGTCAATATGTCTGCTAAATTAACGAGTCACCAGATCGTATTTTTGGCTTATAGTGCTATTGGCCCAGTCATTCTTTGTCGCTGTTGCACAGCACTTGTGGAAAATGCTACAAGCAGCTCGACTTCCTATTTCTGTAAATAAACAGAGAGAAACGGGTTTAATGGCGATGCCTCCGCTTTTGTTCCTGTCTGGTCTCTTGAAGAATTTGTGCTAAATATACCTCGACCGGCTCAGCTGCTGCGTCATTCCCCGTGAGAGCAAGGCAACGTCCTTTATGCTGGAAGGTGGGACGCGGAGAGCATGACAAAAGAGAATCGTGCTTTTTATACAGTATATATATATATATATATATATATATAGACACACACACACGCAAAGCACAACAGAGTGTGTGTGGTTTAAATTGGCTACAAAGGTAGACTGGACTAGATTCTTCTACAACCAATAAGCACCAATGACTCACACCAGACTCAGCAGTGAAAGGAGAAAGATGACTATTTCAAATAACATGATACGTATCGGTAGTTATGATCTTAGTTTGACAGCTTCACACGTGAAGAGAATGCCCGCGGCAAACCGCATCTGGTATCAGCTCTGTGCACATTCTCTGCATTCCTATTCGTATGCAATCCAAAGAGATAAGCTCCATTTTACAGTATAGAAGTGAACTGACCTTAGTTAGCGATACACCCATATGACAGCATAGTTAGGATTTCACTTTGTCACTTGTGAAGTCTATATGCTGTCAGACTCAGTTGAAGTTGAGCACCACCGTGTGGCCAAAGACCGGAATTAGAAACGCGCTGAAACGTCATCAATGTGCGACGAAAGTGGGTGAAAGATTAAGGAAACCTTCTCTACCAGCGGAAACAATTGAACGATAGGCGTTGTTGTGATTTGTTTGCAATGAGTTTAAATAGGCTTGTTGTTTTTTCCAAATCAGTAAGATGTAAAAATTTACTGACACCCCTAATCGGACAATTTAGGAGTGTCACTACAATTCAGTCGCAGCGGTCATTTAGGACTTACGCACGCAATCTTGTCTATGCTAAAGACTTGTTTCTTGGCAAAGTAAACAAGGTAAGTTTAGCCACTTTGCATTTTATCCTTTATTTTTGGATAGTGATATTGATATTATTTTGGGTATTGTTTTAATGCAGTAAAGGTAATATTTAAATTGAAGTGTTTTACACTTTTACCTGACACTTAGATTTTCAAGTGCGGTGCCCTAAGTTTCACAGTTCAAGTCTTACTATTTATGGCATTTCTGTGCATAACTGTCATTGAGGGTTGCGGTAATTAAACTATAATAGATAATCAATTTAGAGAAGTTTGTAATATCTACAGTTGACAACGCAATTGTAATGTATATCAAATGCCATCTACACATTCTTGTGTAGGCAGAAGTTTTTCCTTATCCAGAAATTGATAAAGAAGAGCTCGAGGAGATCAAACAATTTGTGGGTCCTGTGGAGAAGTTCTTTAACGAGGATGGTAAGCTAAAACTAAGGGAATGCTTGACTAGGTTCACCCTGTCTAACTGTTTAAATTAATTTATTTATTTGAAAGTGATTTCTTCAGTATCTGAACTCATTTAATGACCATGACTTTTGAATTCTGGTGGTCAGATCAATATTTGCTTTCAGGTTACTCTTACTGGTGTTTGAAGAGCTTGTTCTCTTTCAGTTGACTCAAAGCGGATCGATCATGAAGCCAAGATTCCGTCGGAAACCCTGAATGGGCTGAAGGAGTTGGGGCTCTTTGGGATGCAGGTGCCCGAGGAATATGGTGCGGACATGTTACTGTCATGAGTCAGCATTAACCTGGTTATCCTTGCCCATACATTTATTTCATTGCTATAAAGCATCTTGAGAGCTTCCTACACATAATAATTGATACTTGTGTGTTTCTAGGTGGACTTGGCTTATCAAATACCATGTATGCCCGTCTGGGTGAGATTATATCTTTGGATGGCTCCATCGCTGTCACTCTGGCCGCTCATCAAGCTATCGGCCTAAAGGTAAGTGTTCTGATAGCCGGCGTGTTTATGCCAGGGGTCTCCAACTCCAGTCCTGGAGAGCAGCCACCCAGTAAGTTTTCTATCCTGTCTGGCTTCGGATGAGCCACGTCTGTTCCTGGTATTTACCTGAGAACAGCTGTGTCTCATCAGAAACCAGGTAGGATGGAAAACCTGCTGGACAGTAGCTCCTCAGGAGAGCCCTGATTTATACTCATCATAAACATAAAAGGACCTTCGTAGTTCACCACTGCAGCAGTGTAAATTACCAGTTTCTATCAGACTTAACCATTATACCATCTTTGACACTGTTGTGCAGGGATTGCTTGTGATAAGCATGAAATAAAGGTTACATGATCCTTACGTGCATTTTCCAAAACTCCAGTGATACCAGGGGTTAAGAACTGAAGGCACTTCTTTCTTTATAAGGGGATCCTGATTGCTGGGAATGAGCAGCAGAAGGTGAAGTACCTGCCGAAGTTGGCAGCAGGGCAACATGTGGCAGCTTTCTGTCTGACGGAGCCAGGGAGGTACAGGCACCTCCTGCACCCTTAAGTGACACACTGCAGCTCCTCTTCCCCCGCCATTTACCTCCCAGCCTGACCCACACGTCTCTGCTTGGGATGCCTTTAGCAAGGCACCGATCAGAAAGACAGCCAGTGACCCGCTCCTGTGCTTCCACCCTTCCAAGGTGAAAGCTGTGGTGTAACTCACTACTTGTTCCTCACTCGTGTTTCAGTGGTAGTGATGCTGCATCCATCCAGACACGAGCTACACTGACTGAGGATGGGAAGCATTTCCTGATCAATGGATCCAAGGTGATGGCCGTCTGTTTGCTGATCCAGGACGGGGTCGTGGGTGGAAGGGAGAGTATGGGACAACAGGCAGTCCGTTGCAGGGTGCACACCTGCTCAAAGTTGCTCAGCGTGGGGAAATTTGGAGATGCTACTCAAATGCAGATCATTGCATTGCAGGGAAACGGATTGCACACACGCAAGCTGCACAGCACACAGAGATCAGTCAGACTTCTCACACACGCATGTTACATGCATTCACACGTGACAAATGTTAACAGGAGGGGGAGAAGCTATGAATATGTTATTAATATGAGATGTGGAAGTATATTTCTGTGCTTTTGTATATAATTAGAATGTATATTGTTGTAATCTGTATAACAGCTGAAATATTGCACTGCAAGATATTGCACAATGAGGCCAGGGTTTCTGTTAATGTAATAGGACATACAAATGCAAAAGTGTAAATGGAAACATAAATATGAACATAGATGTATGTAAACATAGATATAAATATGAAACTGACAGTGCAGAGTTCTGTAGATACAACTGTAAGTGTTGTGGTGTAGAGGGTCACACAGTTCACAAAAACAGACTGTGTCATTGTTTGGCAGTGTGGGGACCTTCCATTTGTTTCTTTGGGGAAAAACCCAAATCCCAACAATAAAAACCTTAACCCCTACCCAGCCCTTACCTTAACCATAAGTCACCAAACAAAATCCAAGACTTTTTGTTTTTCTAGATTTTTGGTTATAACAGGTTTTTTTTTAATCAAATTGCAAGACATTTGGTCCCCCAATATAATACATGCATGACCCCCCACACACACACAGGCAGGATTACAGCCCCTGGAGGTGTGAGACCACAGTGCTACACACTGAGCCACCATACTGCCTGGTGACAACCATGTGGAAATGAAAATATCTCATCTGACACTATGCAGGGTTCTGGCTGCAGTCCATCTGCTGCTGTTAATTCCAGAATAAACTCTCAATGTCTGATCTGTCACTTTGTAAAATCTGAGAAACATTGTGTGTTCACTGTGCCATTTTGCATATAAAATAAAGATTGCTGGTTTGGTCGTTAGTGTAAGTACAGGCAGCTGGTTTTAATAAGCGTGAAATGTTCTTGCCCTTCAACTTCCGTGGCCTTTTATCCTGCTCTTTCTCCAGATCTGGATTTCTAATGGAGGACTGGCAGATATTTTCACAGTTTTTGCTCGAACTGAGGTTGTTGACAAAGATGGGCAGAAGAAGGACAAAATCACAGCGTTCATTGTGGAGAGGGAGTTTGGGGGGGTCACCAATGGCGCCCCTGAAGACAAGCTGGGCATCAGGGGCTCCAACAGTAAGGAGGCATTCAAACCTGCTTTTCAGATAAATCAATAAATATTATTAGTTATTAGGAAGTTGTACGATCTGGACAGAGTTATTCTGTGCTGTTCTGTAAGGGTTAGACCGGGCTGGTGTGAATCACTAGTATGTGATGTTTTTCTTTCTAGCCTGCGAAGTGGTGTTTGATAACACCAAGGTGCCAATCGAGAACGTAATCGGAGAAGTTGGTGGTGGATTTAAGGTAATCCGGGATGCATGAGCTTTAAATATGGCCGGTAATCTCCCACTCCTTGATTTTTCCAAAAAGGCAATCTGTAGGAGGGAGAGTCTTAGTCTTGAAGATTCATATTTTTGATCTTAATAGAGGCACACATTTTGCGGTGCCCTGTTTGTTAGAGCTGCTGCTGCATTTGATGTTTTTTGTTTTGTGCATGTGCTCACCTTGTGCAGGTGGCAATGAATATCTTGAACAGTGGACGGTTCAGTATGGGCGGTGCCTGTGCTGGCATGATCAAGAAGCTGATAGGTGCGTTGGCTGGTCACATGGTGGGGGGAGGGTTGCCATGTCTGAACGGGGGATGGAGTATAACAACTTCTACTGCTTTTTAGAGCTAACGTCAGAGTATGCTGGGACAAGAAAGCAATTCAACAAGAGCCTCAGTGAGTTTGGAATGATCCAAGTATGACATTAATTATTTTTACTATTATTATACTTTTTATTGCTGCTGTTGTTTACACTAAAAATAGCACTTTTTGTGTGGAGCATGCACACTGTACCCCTGCGTGTTTGGGATCGCTGTGACTCAGGCTACCGCCTCTTCCTGTGCTGGAACAGGAGAAGTTTGCCACCATGGCACTAAACGCCTTCGTGATGGAGAGCATGGCCTATCTGACCGCCGGCATGATGGACCGGCCCGGCATGCCGGACTGCTCTGTGGAAGCGGCCATGGTGAAGGTGAGCGAAGTTCAGAAAGTGCTGAGTCAGAGTAGCTGACTAGGCAAAGCTCGGAGCTGGATAGGGACTATAGTACCATCAGACACAACATATAGGTCCGGAAAAAATTAAGAGACCAGTTTATATATTTTTTTTATTTGCATTTTTTAATCCTGGTTCTGCTGGCAGAAGGCTACATTGCAAGGCAGGCTGCTTCCAGGCTTAAGGTTACTAAGACAGCAGAACACAAGAACAAGTTGAAGCAGGAGACCGTGGGAATGATCAGAAACTAGATAGGTGGAGGGTGGAAGCAACTTTCTAAAGCCAGAGATGACCGTCAACTTATCCGGCAGTGCCTCGTAAATCAGAGGATGACCTCAAGTGACCTTCAAAAAGAATGAGAATCATTAAATGCAGGTGGGAAGTGCTCTGCTAGGACTGTTCTAGAAACAGGACTGAAGTTTCATAATCAAGGAAGAAGCCAGGCTGGAGTTGGCAAAAAAATAAAAAATTTATGCAGGCACCGATAAATTGAGAAATGAGTGAAACTAAAAATTTTGCTGTGGTCTCTTAATTTTTTCCCGATCTGTGTATTTGATATTGTTATACTTTAAGCTACACAGCGTGGAAAGTGAGACTGAAGGTCGCAGGAATGCTCAGTTGTTGTTCTGCTCAGTTCTTGTTCTGCTGTGGTTGAGCCCATCCTGCTTGCTGGTGTTAGATGATCGAAGACGCGGCAGCCTGCAGGGGGGGCGCCATTGATCAGTGTCTCCGTGCAGGTGTTCAGCTCTGAGGGGGCGTGGATATGCGTCAGCGAGGCCCTGCAGGTGCTCGGGGGCCTGGGCTATGTCAAGAACTACCCATTCGAGCGCTTCCTCAGGGACTGCCGGATTCTGCTCATCTTCGAGGTATTTCTCCTCAGTGATGCCCGCCGACGATTGGTCAGGTTGTTGGAGGCCAAGCTGTGTTGTCCCATTTGACCCATTTGAGAGGGCATCTGTCTTGTGTGCAGCCCAAACCTCAACGGTATGGGGTTCCGTAAATGTTGCATAAAAAACGCATGATGGTTTGTGGTTTTCTGAAGAGGCATACAAAAACGTGACAGAAAAGTAATTGTTTTTAATGGAATGTACTTCCTGTCAGGGAACCAATGAAATACTGAGGATGTACATCGCTCTCACTGGAATGCAGTATGCTGGAAAAATACTGACCGGGAAGATTAAGTAAGACTGAGAATCTGCCAGATCGTAAATGAGCGCTGTAGCACTTTTTTTGCATCGGTAGGAGAGTAGAGGCTGATTCAAGTGTGATTTACTGCCTGACACATGCAGGGAGATGAAGAAAGGGAACGTAGGTGTGGTCCTGCAGATGCTGGGGAAGAAGGTGCGAGAGTCGGTGAGCAGTACGGTGGACCTGGGCCTGACCGGGAATGACGGCGTGGTACACCCCAGCCTGGCGGTACGCTCACGCTCCTCTTTCTCTGTGTCTTAATTTACCCATAAGCTCCCTGTGGTGACTTATGCAGTAGAACTGCAGATCTTTGTACTGAAGCAGCATGTTGTGGACCTCTGACACTGTGCATACCCAGCATTACAGCCTCCTGTCCCCCCCCCGTCCCCCAGGACAGTGCAAAGAAGTTTGAAGAGAACGTGTACTACTTTGGCACCACCGTTGAAAGCTTGCTTTACAGATACGGAAAGGTAAGTGCTTTGAAGAGAACTCAAAAGTAGATGTTCCTTGGTGTGGGGCTCAGCGGGTTAAGGTGCGGATGGGTGGGTGGATGGATGGTTTAATTTGACTAACTCATGATTTCATGTAAGCATAGGGTATATATCCATCCATCCATTTTCTGTACCTTTTTCACAGAGAAATGACACTCTGCTACATGTGTTACCTTCACTTGCGTTTATGGTTCATTTACAAACAAATGCAACAATTAGTGTAGCCTAACAGCACCTACGAATCCTTCCGTTCCTGCAGGTTATGCCCATAAGTTCAACAGCTGGCCAGGGGTTTGTTTCCCCCCAACCCCCCACTTTGAGTGACATTCACTAGGGCCTCTGCTGTTGTAACCATCCTGTCACTTCAACAGGTGACAACCATCTGTAAAAATGTTCTGGGTATTTTTGATCATGAACCTATTTCACGTCTGAAGCTTTTTGATCAAAAACTAATTTCAGGTATGTGATTTTCCCTTGGAGCGAATGGATTAAGTTTTTCCGTTTACGAGTTGAAGATTTCAGAAGAAGGAAATTGTAGCGTAAGAGAGAAGCTGAAGACTTACACAGTCAGTGGACGGTTTATTAAGTTTACCTGCTTGCTGATGCAAACAGCGAATCATGTGGCTGCAGCTCATTATATACAGCATATACCGACAGGGTCAAGGGTGTCACTGACTGCGGCTAGTATTCAGTTTTGGTGTGATTGTTGATGCCAGACATGGTCTTACTGAGATGTTGACACACTGAAGTCTAGATTTTACAGAGACTAAACAAACAAAAAAGCACACAGGCTGGGGGGGGGGGGGCATTTGCCTGAAAAACATTGTTAATGAGAGCATGTGGCTCAGTGGGCTAAGCCTGTGTGTCTGTGATCAGAAGGTCGCCGGTTCGAACCCAGCCTCGGCATGTCTGCGGGTCCTTGAGCAAGGCCATTAACCCCCAGCTCCCTGGACATCACACCAGGTGGCTGCCTTTCTCAGACAGCTTACTCTACAAAGAGCAGGTTTGGGGGGGTGTAAAGAGAATATATATGGGTATTCTATTGACCCCTAAGGAAATTTGGGCATCCAGTAGCTTACATGCAAAAGAGCACAATGTAAAATAATAATAATAAGAAGAAGAATACAATAAGACTAAGAATACAAACAATAATAATGATATAACAAATAACGATAATATTAATGATGAAAGGTAAAGTAGTAAGAATACTAATCACCGCAGTCATTGTGGTTCACCACAGTATTTTCCAGTGGAGATAGTGGTACTATGAGTGCAAGAAAGATAAATTACTGCATTTTGTAAATACTATACAGTAATGCTTATAAATTGTAGCTAAATATGCAATTAAATTGTGTTTGTGGTTTGTATTCTGAATATAAACTGCAGATGTACAGAAGTCAGGTGGCCATCGTAAGGTATGACATGGAGTATTTCAGGAAGTGTCACGCTTCTAGGGCATCACATCCCCTGGTGAATAGGAGATGGGGGTACACATCTCCCAGGGCCGTCTGCTATCGAGGGGAAGACCTGTGACGAGATTAATTACTCTCTCCAGATTGCAAGTGCGGGGAAATTACAGAATCTGTCGCGTTTGTTTCCAGACGATTGTGGACGAGCAGCTGGTTCTGAAGAGAGTAGCAGATGTGCTTATTAACCTCTACGCCATGACAGCTGTCCTGTCACGTGCCAGTCGGTCCATCAGCATCGGCCTCCGCAACCACGACCACGAGGTACCGGGCTACAGCTCTCACTCACTTTGGCATTAGGCAGATCCTATAATTACCTTGAATAAGAATGAGTATTTTTGTATAACGATTCACAATATTGTATCGCTATCATTAGCAAGTGATGCCCCCCCCTTGTTTGGAATTGAATAAGCATGCATCGTGGTCTCCCTTCTGGAAACTTCCTCATAGTTTGCGACGATATGGCAGGGAATTGATACAGCAGGTGAAGCCGGAGTCATTGCAGGGAAAGTTTTAAAACTGCAGCTGAGCTCACTGCAGCATTTGTCATTTATGGTCCATGTAACTTATTTTCTCCAACTCGTTTGTAGGTTTGCCCTCCTAAGCTCTTTTAGTAAAAAACTGGCACGATTGCACTGTTTTTCCTTCATGCATTTCAGGTGCTTCTTGCAAACACGTTCTGCTCTGACGCTTACTTCAAAAACAACTTCCTGATGGCTCAGCTTCAGAAGAGTAAGTGTAATGCGGCCGATGTTGTTGAAGCTGTTTTCATGGTGGGGGAGTTCGGCTGAACGTGGCTACATTTATACCCCTGAGCTCGCCAGCCGTCAGCTGCTGCTGTCAGTTTTTTAAAAAACACCCGCATGTGATATTAACAGCTATTTTTATGACATTAATGCAATCTGCTTGTAAATATGAGCACAAGTAACAACAATACACCAGAAGCACATCAATACAATGTCTGTCTTTCAGATGCTCCAGAGAACAATGATGACAGCATGAAGAAGATTGCCAAGGAGGTCCTGGAAAAGAGGGCATACATCTGCTCCCATCCTCTTGAAAGAACCTTCTGATGTCTCCCCTGTGGACAGTAACCCCAATGAATCTCCTATGTGATTGTTCAGTGATTTCCGTCCATGAGTTTCACTGCTTGAATGTATTTCGTCGTAGGGACGTTGAAGCCCTGTAGATATATAACAGACTCTGACGCTAAATTTAAAATGTTAATTAAATGCACAGTTTGTTAAAACACACTATAAAGTGCCTATTAAGGGTGGGTAACTGTTTTAGACCATGAATAATTAACTAGAAGCATTTATTTTGGTTAATGCATCTGTGGACAGGGGTGCAGTAGATCGATTGGTGCTGTAGACTCAATTCCTTGAACTGATGGGTGTTATTCAAAGGAGCTTTTGTAGCTGCCTTTGCCCAAACACCAAGGGTAGGAGGGTCAGGGGCTCTGACTCTGGGACTCTGACTCTGGGACTCTGACTCTGGGACTCTGACTCTGGGACTCTGACTCTGGGACTCTGACTCTGGGACTCTGACTCTGGGACTGTGTCTGAATTCAGGGGCTACAACCTTCATGCGCTGTGTCCTTCGATGGTTCTCTAAAAATCCATGCAGCCAATCTTGGGATATGGTTGGTTGAGAAAGATCAATCGGTGCCTCTTTCATGACTTGGGAGAAGACATAGAGGCCAATAAGCTCCATGTGGGCGATGTGAGGTTCCTTCCCTTGGGAGCACCAGATACACTTCTACACGTGCCTCTTCCTGCTGACCATCAACCAGAGCTGCACTCACTCCCTGCTAGTGATTTTGCTGTCAACTTCTGCCCATGTAATCAGAGTTCCTACCTGGTGTGCGTCTCACACACCGGCCTGCAGGGGGCATGGTGATTAGGGAGCTGCTGTCAGTGGTGCAAGTTCTGGATAGTGTCCCTGAGCAAGACTTTGGAAATAATTGAGACTTGGGTGCAGGTAAAAGTAAAATGGATAAGTTTTTATTTAGCATTCATACAATAATGCCACTTGTTAAACAACCCAGAACTCCACAGCAGGAGCGAACCTTTGATGTAAGGTAATTATAAACGCGGAAGAATACAGATTCCTGATAAAAGCTGTCCCTAAAAGATGAGTTTGCAAAAGTACAAAGGGAGTTTGAAAGATGTGACCGATCTCTGTGAGTTCAGTTATAATTAGTGGAACCTGCTTGGACATAATTTGACTTACTGCTGTCTAACTCCAAAGTTGTCTTATTTATAAATGGTAACAATAAAATCTGAAATAATGAACTCACTCTCTCTGGGTTCCTGACATGGAAATGATACACAGCAAAATAACAGCATTATTTGTGAACAAAGTGGAAAATTAGGTAGTTAAACTGGACTTACTGAGAATTCTTGTAATAAAGATTCACATTGATTTCTCTCTGTAGGCTCTGAAGTTGCTGGCAAGGCTTCTGTTACTTTAATGAAAGTCAGGGCTGGGTGGCGGAACCTGTCAGGCAAACGAAGTGAGGTCCTGAATATGGGAGAAGTCGTTCTGTAAATTGACTTGCCTTGCATTTATGGCAGAGGCCCCATAGCGTCCAAGTTCATCATTGGTGTCAGGTAATCAGACCTGCCGACAGAGAGGGCCGAGGGCGACCGGGCCGATTTCCTTACCCAGCACCCTGTCGGAAGACAGAATCTGCACATTTCTATATTTAATATAGTGGCACTCTGCACCCCTGAATAATTGCAGCATCCTCATATTGAGGAAAAGCTATTAAAATGGGGGTCCATTTGTAATTCCAGGTTTGCACACATATGCAGGGACATTTAGACCGTATGCTGTGTGCAGCTGTTTGCCTCCAGATGTTGGTACAAAATTTACCTTTATTCCTTAAAGGACTGATCTTTTGTGTAGGGCCAGGTTTACAATCTGCATTATATCCTCAATCTTCCAACTGCCTGTTCAGTACAGGGCTGCGGGGGGGCTTAAGGCCCATCCAGTGCATCGCGGTTCACTGCAGGACACACACTCACAGATAATCACACACACTAGGTGATTCAGAGACACCACTTCACCTAAATATCTTTGGACGAAACAAGTACCGCAGTATACCAAGGTATGTACCATGGGATTTTTAAGTAACTAGATCCCACTGTGGCAACTTTGCAGTGATTCTTGAAAACATGGTGCAGTTAGGTTGTGAACAAGGTTGTGAACAAAGATATTAGCATTAGCAAATTTACAATAACTTTGGTATTATTTGATTCATATACAGTGGTACCTCAGTTCTCAAACTCATTAGAACTCAAATTTCTTAAAAGTCGAACCAACCAGTTTTTTACCTAGAACTCGATCTGAATCTCAGAAGTCATACCGTGAACACCAACCTAAGATAACTTGTATGCGTGGGGAAATGAGTCACGCGGTACGTTTCTCAGCGGAAACAAAGGGTAATGCTTCAGTCTCAGCCTCGCATTTGCTGTGATAGCATCGTGCATGTTTACACTAGCTGAATACATATATTTAGACAGTAAAAATACATTTAGACAATGATAGACAGTAACAGTAATTATTATTATATAATAAAATACATTTAAAAATAAAGATTTCTTCTTAATTATTTAAATCTTAATAATAAACCATTAATACGTTTAATTATAATAATAATGTTGTGCCCAGCGGGGACGGAACAGAGACAAAGGCGCAGACGTCAGGGTATTGGGGAATACGGGGTTTAATTACAGGTAAGGCAGGCAAAACGCAGACAGACAATACAATGACCGAACTGGGGAAAAACTGAAACGCGGACTAAATACAGAGGACTAATGACAACAACCAGAAACAGCTGATCACACGGGGATTCCACACGGGGTTAACGAGGGGGTGTGGCACACGGGAGGAGCGGACGATCGGGGCAGGACACATTTTTTTAACTTTACATATTGTTTGGATACATTTATTTTCTACTTTACAAATTACTGTTTTGATAAATGTGCTTAGATGTGTTTAGTATAGTATATGCTCTTCTTGTTTTATCCGGTTCATTTTGTGTTTAAGTGCTAAAAACAAAAAAAACATATTTAGGTGTATTTTTTTGGGGGCTGGGAACCAATTAATTGGTTTTTCATTATTTCTTATGGGGAAAATTCGATCAGAACTTGAACTTTTTAGGATTCGATCCGGAGTTCTGAACGGATTAAGTTCGAGTTCTGAGGTACCACTGTACTTCGTAGTGTGTGTGTGTGTGCGCGGATGTGAAAAAAATGTAGAAATTTGCTAAAAAGCATAGATCATAAAAAATAGATGTGTCCTGTATATACTATATTTATGTATGTCTAGAATATATATTGCACACATTCGTTCTGGTACATTACAGGCTTCCAAGCAGCCTTTATTTATCCAAGCTATACTTTTTTATGCACTTGTGTACAAAGACTCCACAGATACCATGGTGTCTGAAATGGTTAACGAGCAGCGTATGTCTGTCTTATACGCGCAATATTCAGTCTACACATCATAAATGGTGTCTGTGTTGGTCAGCTGAGATACCTGATTTTTAAAAAATATCTGTCCGTTATATAATATCATAGTGCAGGAATTACACAAATAACAGAGCACTCAAATAAACATCTGAATAAAAATAAATCGTAATGACAAAAATACTCATGTAGAAAAAATACGTTGCAAGTGACATTGCAGATTTATTTTTGGTCATTTATAAAAATGTTTGAAAGGGACAGACACGCATGGTGATGATGGCCCGGTTAAGGCTGTCATTCCATTCATATAGCTTTCTTTGAATTAAAGCCGGTCGGGGTATTTTAGTGATGCTGTCAGCACTGTGTCACATGACAATGCAACACTGGAAATAGTGTGACCTGCAGTACTTAAAATGGCCATCAGGTGGCAGACCTGAAACTAGGAATAGGACTGCACTGAAAAGATGAGCGATGTTACTAATCTTTCTTTCTGGGCATTTTAACCCCAATTTAGTAGGGAGTACAAAAGACCTTAGTTTAAAAAAAAGGGAAAGATTTATGTCTTACAGGCAGTACTTCATAATCTGATATTGCACTTAATTTTCATTTTCATGACAGTGCTGTACTGTAAGTGCTTTCATTGCTGTTTATGTTGTTTTATGTCCCAAATATGGCAACAGAAATTCCAACTTCTTAAAAATACTTGGCTAAACTGCATGTGATTTTTGTTACTGAGACATAGTGCATGGTTTTCTTTTAACTTGACAAGAAGGAGGTATCTTTAAGTTGTTAATGTTTATTTAGGTTACTTTATGCTGTACTCGGGTCACTGATGACCCGTCAGGATTTTAGATGTACGACTTCTCTCTTGTCTGTGGCCTTCTGGCTGTCTTTGCTGGTATGGGGAACGAGGAGCCAATGGCAGAAGTCAAAAACTGCTGCAGAAATAAGACACTACCCAGCCTGGCCAGGGGTGGAGCTGTGGAGCAATAAGAGTAGAATATAAATACACATCATGTGCAAATAACATAATATACAACACAAACAGAATATAAGCAGTATTATCATTGACATTAATCTTGGTTAACTGTGAGTCATTGCAAAAGCATCTCTGCGGCATCAATAGCACAGGCGACAGGTGAGTTAAGGTCTGTTTGGCTATTCGGCGGCAGATTAGAAGCAAGAATTAAGCTACTACCCTGTGTCAGAAAAGAATAAGACATCATGCATTTCTGCTAACGCACTTTTTTATTTCTTAGTTTTATCCCCAATGAAACACAACTGGATTTTCCAGAAGATGTAATGAGGACTCGAGGAGGGTGCTCTCTTCTTGGCAGCCGTTGGCCCATAAGTTAGTCGCTGGACATGGGTTTCAGTTTCCCATGGAAAGAGAGCCCCGTAATCCTGCAGTCATCATCTAGGCCCCATTGAAAAAGCTAGGGTGAGAGGGGCTCCTCTCTGACCAATCATAAGCCAGCCTCCTCTGGCACACGGGCGCAACACTGCTCTCTGCTTTAGGTAAGTATCATTCAAGTGGGGGTGGGAGGAGAGTGGGGGGCAGAGGCGGGCCTGCAGCAGTGGGGTAGAGGCAGCAGGGCTGGAACTCTGAGAAGAGAGAGAGAAAAATATACATCATCTCCTCAAATATAACGAAGCAGAGGCACAGAGACCAAAAGGTCCATTACGCTTCTCCAGGTCATCTGGCTTTCCAGGTATCTCACCTCAGCCATTCTCCTGCTCCTCCTCTTCCTCTCGCTGCCAGTTGTTCAGTCACACCTTCAGCTCTCAGAGTTCATGCTCTTCCAGTTTATCTTTCCATCATGTTCTCCTTACAGCTGGAGAACATAGAAGAATGAGGGACCTGCTCTGTGTCTGTCTGCTGCTTCAGCTCCCCGGTACCATTCCAACACGGGCCCCTGCGTCGCACCCCTGCCTGCCAGTGTGCTGGTGCAGGGAGGATGGATCTCTGCTGCAGGTGGACTGCTCTGAGCGCGCTCTGACACTGGTGCCACTGGGCCTCAGTCCCTACACCTCCTACCTGTGAGTATCCAGGCACCAATGCCTGGCAATGCCAGTATTTCAGATGTTCTAGCTTGATGTGCTAATTGTTTGCTTTACCTTAGCTCTTCTAGTATGTTTTGCATAGAAATTTTCATCATGTGACGTTGCAAGTATAACTCAGGCAATAATTAATAGATTTAGGTTTAGCGCTTAAGAGTTGCCAGACTTGGCTTTTCAGTTTGACTAATGCTGCCTTTTGCTTGGTCTGCTGCTTGTGCGTGACAGATGATGGAGGAGAAGATGTATTTTGAAGGATAGGAGACACAGCTGAACTTCACACTTGTCTGTAATAGCTGACACACAGCCCAGATTAACAAATTAGGTCCTTGCATGAATTTTTTATTTTTAATTTTTTTTTTTTAAACATACTGCAGTTTTTTTTTGGTTTTTGGCCTAAAGCGAAACTGGTCATTTCAGTTTTTGGATGGAGTGAAATTTCCTTTTAGGTGTGAGTTTGAGCCTACAGGTTAGCGTTCAGTCTATAGAAATTTGCTTATTCTGGTGAACTGGGGAGGTTAAAATGTTTTTTAAATGATTTAATTCACAGTGTAACAATCCTGCCTGATACTGAATCCTGTTGAGTTCCCAGCACGAGTCGGAATAGCTTCAAACTGGTGGAAATCTCAGACATTAAGAAGCACGGGCTAGCAGTTGTCGCTCATGCTGTGTGTTCAGGCTGACAGTCTCTACATCTGCTAGAGAAACAGCCCTAAAAAGGAAGAAGGGCATCTGTGAATGCGGCACCCTGGTGAGCTCTCTGCTGACAGCCTGCCTGCCATGTCATACACACCCGCTGGAGGGTGCAGGCACTGCAGTTAATGAGCTCACTGTGAAATGCGGGGTGGTAGAGCAGCTAATCTGTCATGGCTCCACTAAGTCCCCAAACCCCATGCAGGTGTTGGGCAGTTCGTGCTCTCATCAGGGGTTGGGGGGAGGGGGGGGGGGGCAGGGCAAATTTAAGGCAGAGTTGACAGTGTTGAACAACTTCTGCGCATGTATGATTTCTGGATACAGCTAGAACCTCAGCTGATTGTGGGGGGGGGGTCTAAGGCTCAGAAGCACAGGATCAGAGATAATTAGGACTTCAACACCTCATGTTTCATTCTACACGCTACATGTTCTGTGCATGCGTCACATGTCACGGTTATGGTATATTTCTGCATCATGCTGCTGTTTGACTGATAATAGGTCAGTCAGACAGAACTGTGGTTTTATACTACAAAGTAATCCTGGGTGATAATAATGAAAGGTAACAACAGCCTGGCTCATTGTGGGGACAAGAGATTGGACCTCAGATGAGACACGATGTTTTTAACATCTCATCTGCATCTTTAGGAAGATGTTTATGATTCAGGTCTTGGCTGTAGCTAGAACACACATTGCAAAACAGTCATTTCCTTGGCTGATATTAAATGCATAGTAACATAGTCACCATTAAGGCAAGATAGTGGGGCACAAGCTGTAAACAGGCATTAATAAACTTTACTGGAGTCTGCAAAGACATAGATTGAACAGTTCCCTTTAAAATAGTCTTAGGAAAGCAAATAAAAGTGTGCTAGTTTACCTGGACATTTACAACCCCCCCCCCCTCCCCCTCACACACTCCCATTTTGTGCTGGGACCTGCTAGCTTTCACTCACCATCCAGTTCATTATGCACTACAACATACTGTGACCAATAAATCTTAATTACGTTTTGACGGCTTTGGCCATAGTGTGTTTATTCTGGTTCGGCTACCTACAGTAATTCACACTTGGATCTATATATTTCTCTGGAATGTTTTTGTTTTGGTCGACAGAAGTCAAAGCCAAAGACTGAAGGTAAAAAAAAAAAAACTCTTCAGAAGAAAGCAACACCTGGAATCCATGACACATAACGAGTTTCAGCTCATTGTAGAGATACCTCTGCTTTTTTCTGTCATGACTGTTGTTTATTACATTACCTTACATTACTCTTACTGACGTCTTTCCCTTTGTAGTTTATGACATCATGTGCATATTGTAAAGCAACAGCCTGAGCCTATAGCTAGAAAAGTGCTGGGGTTGTTTTTTTTTTTCCGAGATATTCTTCTGGTCGGTGGTGGAGAAACTGCGTGGTTTATGAAAATGCAGATTTGAACTGATACTTTTATTAAGAATTCGAGGGGGCCTGAGACCAGATCGAGTCAGACTTATTGATCCACTCAGAGGGATGGTTCTGAGCGTGGGGCCAAATCTCAACGGGAGTGGATTGGGGAGAGCTGAGCCCCGAGGTTCCGCGTCATGAGGACGAGCTTCAACGCGGGGCCAGCTGAGCGGGCATGATCAAAGAGACACACTTTGTAAGTGGCATATTTAGTCAAACACGCGACTGCTCCCTGGCTATACTCACATAGGTGTCCATTATAGATGTCTGCAGCAGCCAAACAAATCAAACAAGATGTTAATAAATGCATGACACATATGGCTGTACTTGGCTGAATCCTGTTAGCTGATCTGCGCTGATACTTGCCAGATGTCAATGGGGTTTCTGGCAGGCGATGCTGAGTAAGAGCTCCGTTCAAAACGCTTGACAGTTTATAGAGATAAGCGTGGTTCCGTGGGCCAGATCTTCACTTAAAATTCTTGATGGAACAAAAAACAGGTGATGGTAGTGCGTTGTAGCTCAGGACTACGCCGGACTTGGGACGTGACAGATTCCAACCGCAGTGGCCGTTTCTTTGCTTTCGTCGGCTCGGAGATGGTAAGGTTTCAGTGTGTTCCCAGACAGGGTGATGTTCCAATAAAAATACATAAACAAATATGTGGAAAAATGTGGAAACAAAAAACTATTCTAGCATGCATTTTAAAAGTTCGCCAAGGATTTCAGGGCAATATATACTTATCCATCCAAGCAACTTACCCAGTAAAGGCCCACAGTGTCTGGATCCCATCCCAGGAAGCACGAGGCAAGGGAGCCTGCTGGACTGGGTGCCAGTCCATCATGGGACACACACACTCTGGCAACCCATTCACCTCACATTAGGTTTTACAGCCACAGGAGAAAACCCACACAGCATATGTTGAACATGCTAACTCCACGACCCTGGCGGTGTGAGGATGTACTGTAGTGCTGTGCCCTCATCACAGGCTGGGTTGCCAGCTCTCGGGGTAGCAACTCTCAGGGTTGCCAGTGCTCACGCATCCCGTGTGACACACACTTTCAGACTCTCACGATCACGCAAGAAATCTCACGACAAATCTATATTATTCCATTATAAACTTAAAATTATCTACATCAAAACCATTGGGGTAGTTTGCAAACCCTGCATTCTATTTACAACGTAATAAAACATTTACGTACATGCGTGTGCAGACTTGTCTCAAATTGAAAATCTCATGCCAGCCGGCTGACTGAAGTTGGCCACCCTGCACAGGGGGTGGTGAGTAGCTGGGGGGGGGGGGGCTCAGCAGAATAGTCACATGACCATAGGTCCTTGAGCAAGGCCGTTAACCCCCAGCTCCAGGGCCGCCGCTCACTTGGCTGATCCTGTGCTGTGACCCCCAAGCTTGCTCTCTACCGTATATGTGTGTCTCACGGAGAGCAAGATGAGGTAGGAAAAGAGAAGCATTCCAGTGTACAGTACCTGTACTCAATCACCATGGCATCCAGTCTTCAGGGAAATCGGAAATTTTAATATGAGCTGCATGATTAACGTACTGAGATCTGCTGGCTTATAAGACCATGTCCTTTTTATTATTGTTATTGGGCTAAATCATGCTATAGAAAAAACAGATTTCAATGGTTTGTGCTTTAATCCATTTTTCAGCTCCTTATCCTGAGCAGAATCACACGGTGGTCTAGAGCAGGGCTGCTCCAATGGCAGATCTGAAGATGGTCCAGATTTCAAGTCAAACACAACGAGCGTTATCGTTCCAGCCTCTCCACACCTGACAAATTTTATAGTGGAGGACCGAAATCTACTGAAAGGACCACCCCCCCCCCCTCCAACCTTCCAGTCAGCGAAATGTACCCTGGAAAATTATATTGAGGCCAATGGACCTTGGCTTTGTGTCGCTGTTGGAATTTGGACGTCCGAGAAAAGTGATTGAGTATCTCTGGTCTAGAGTCTATCCCAGGCAGCAGAAGGCACAGCACAGAGGAATGTGCTGGATAAAACACCAGCACAGAGCAGGTTGAAACTCCTATCCCTGGGGGTGTGATGTAGCCACACTCCCCAGTGTGCCCCTGTGCTCTTCATGTTTGTCTGTCTATTACTATGAAATGCGTGATAAAGCACAGAAAGAAACATCCATGCTTCAGTCCTGCTCCAGACACCTTCAACCAGACTGCCTTCTATCATGGGTTAAGCATCCTGTCATCCTACAGTCAGTCAAGAGTCAATTACAAGAATGACTTACACAATGGAACAGCCACTTTCAATAAATATTGTGGAAAAATAACAACATGTCCAGTCATTCATGTCTGTTTCAGCCAAAATTTCTCCATTACAGCCTAGAGTCACCAATCCAAAATGGAAAGAGTTACCGTTCCTGTGCTTCTACAGCTAGTGGTGCCATACACCCAAAATTCCACTCTGATGTTAGCTCAGTGAATCACCAATTTAATGTGCTGATTCAACTAGTGATGCTAAATCTCTATGGTGTTACGTGCTGCTATTTGGATGTTTTGAATTGAAATTGCTTAGCACTACATCAGACCTCCTCCCTCTTTTTAATTTACTTTTTACATGACTTCACTGCATTACAGACAATGTCCTTTTCTTGTCCTCACTCACTCACGTTTCCTTGGTTGCTGCTTTTAGGGGGATCAAGGTCAACAGTCCAGAGTAACTGTAAAGTAAATCCCAGAGCTGCTCAAAAGACGTAGACCTGAAGAGGAGGGTGCTTACTGAGCACCTTGGATTCACGATTCCCAGCATCACAAGGACCTACATGAGTGATTCTGTATAAAAAGTCACAAAATCTTCCACTTGATTTTTGGCCGTTTTGTTAGTCATAAAAACTTTTGGTATAGTAACTTTGCCACAGTGGCAAAACTAAGGGAGAGCCCCAACATCTCTAAAAGCAGCTTGGGGTAATTTCTGACCATTCTTCCTGCTCTAATTTAACAGCCTACATTGACCTCATCTTCTCTCTGAAGCCCCACGACTTGAAGTTGGCTGCTGTGCATCCAGGCTCCTGCTTGATGTCATCTAGGAATTAAGGTTGAAGGTGTATGCGGTTAGAGAATCAAAGGAGTTTAGTTTTGTGTCTGATCACTGCTGAAATGCACCTAATGTATCAAATGTAACAGCCCATACTGATGTGCAAGATTCTGGTCCCTGTTTTCCTGGTCATTTATTTTGGCTCATTGGTTTGGACAAAAAAATAACAGCCAATGTATTTTTTAATTGCCCAAAGAGCAAAACATCATAAAATGAACATAACTATAGCCTTTACCTAATCTGCTGTCACACATTGCTATGGTTAAGCATTCAAAACTTCAAGTGGTCGAGGTAAACTGCACAATAACTGCATTCAGCATGTTTTATGAGCACCGAAGAGTCATCTAGGGATGAAACACTTTTACCCTACCAAACTCCATGCATAAACGGCCAACTTGGTCATCTTGTAGCCAGATTGTAACCAACGGTGGTACGCTTCGTTAAAAATAAAGACACACGCCCCTCAGAGCTGAAAATAAATTATTCAATTTGGCACGCAAAGTCATTAGGAAAGACTGCAATCATGTTGGAGATAAACATCAATAGCCAAATGTCAGGCCATTGAGGTTCTCTTAAGTTTTGTGCCGACCACGTAATATAAGTGAATATTAATTTGTGCTTATTTATGTATGCATTTAGCAATTTTTCCATCTATTGCATTTTAGCTACACAACATGTGCTTTGTTTTCGCTCTGAGGAAGCCTGCCTGATTAATGGTTCAGCCCAGCTTAAAGGCAGACCAGAAACTTTCAGCACATTAAATTTGCATGATGTACACCTCTAGCTGTAGCGAAGCAGTGCATTCCATTGAGTGGGACTCTTGTTAATGTGACTTTATCAGTGAGTTGGTAACAGAGTTCTCATGTTTAGCATGTTGTTAGTTTAGGCTCTTCAGTCATTTGATGTGGTGTGTTTCAGTGTGCCGATACATCCAGGAAACCCCCAAAGACAGCATCAGCACCTCTTTCCGGCCAGGTCGAATTAGTCGGTAAAGCACTATGTTCACCTAGCAAACAAGGTCCAATCAGATTTTTACTGATCAGTATTTCTTTGCTTTGCCGCTCAGTCGTGTCTGGCTGGGTGTGATGTGGTAGCAGGAAATAATGCAAATACTATTTTTGTTATGTGTCACAGTCAGGTCTTCATCTTTCTGTCTCTGCTGAAAGTACTGAATTAAATGTGTAAAACATTGGGTTTGATGGTCCTTTGGCCTCCCTACTCACCATCCACAGAGCTAGGTGTTGGTGTGTAAAGCATTGGGTTTGATGGTCCTTTGGCCTCCCTGTTCACCCTCCACAGAGCTAGGGGTTAATGTGTAAAGCACTGGGTTTGATGGCCGTTTGGCCTCCCTACTTACCATCCACAGAGCTAGGGGTTAGTGTGTAAAGCACTGGGTTTGATGGTCTTTTGGCCTCCCTGTTCACCCTCCACAGAGCTAGGGGTTAGTGTGTAAAGCATTGGGTTTGATGGCCCTTTGGCCTCCTTGCTCATCATTCAGGGAGCCATTAGACCCCCTCCCCCCATCTCCAATCAAGACCTTATTGTAGCTCTTGGATAATCTTTACATCTGCTCCCAATCACTCCACATCAAGCTCAATGTGGTAGACATGTATATTGGAGTTGCTAGTGGATGTTCTTTTGACCTGAGTTTTTTGTCCCTTGTTACTCCCTGTAAGAAAATTAGTGACCTCTGAAACTTATTTACAACCTCTCAGTTGTGCATGCCAAAAAAGTCCTATATCTGTTTAAGACACATACCTAGAGTATTTCATTCCACTGAGTGCTTGAACATGAGCTGGCTAAAACGGTGATGTTGCTACTACTGAGTCCCAAGTGGCCTCTTTGGAACATCTACATAAAACTCTTTATTTAACATAAGGGTCCCTTGGTCTTCCTTTTTATGATAGTGTTTAAGAAAAAATGCTCTGGGTTAAATACACAGAACAGAGTTTGAAGCCTAATACAAAGTTCAAAGGTGCAAATATCCAGGTAGGAGCTGGACATAAGAGATAGTCCAGTCTGTGAAGCTGGGGAGTTAAGGTCTGCTTGTTTGTCCAAACAGAGATCCACAGAAGGTCCCAATACGCCACCAGGACTGAATTCAAACAGACAAATACAATAACAGGTTGATTTCAAACTCATTAAAGCATGTGCTTACAGAAGGTGAGAAGACAGGGTGCTTGAATGAAAATGAAAGTAAATATTTCATAATACTTAGAAAACAGGCTATAGACCACAACGGTTGCTACATATAAAAGACAAATTCCACCTGCTGAGTTTTTTTTCAATGGTTTTCTCATCATAAGTGACCGACTAATTCTACACTTCTTTATGTTCCTTTTTCCTTTTTAGAGGTTAATGGAATGTTGTAACTTTATCTTATATATATTGTATGCATGCATATTTTATTTATATAAAATTTTATAATGCACTCAGCTTAACAATGTTATACATATGATAATCAATCCATTACACTGACACTGTTGTTCAGGACAAACCTTTGCTAACTGGTACCAGATTTCTTCTGCCTGAGAGTCAAACCATATTGGGGTAATTTGATTATTACTGGATGAGCAACCTGTGCAACATTGGTTTTGTTGCTCTGCTTCACCCGCTGTTAGGGCTCAGCTTCTCTATTTTCAACATTATCTAGCTCAGCCCAATCGCTAATTGCCTATGTATTGTCCACATGTCTTCATGGACAGCAACTGTTTTCTGGCACAAACCACATACATCACGATAAATGATTTGCCATTTGCACAAGTACATTGGAATTCTTTTCTGCACCTACCCCATCTTGCTCTCTGTAGCCTGGGGGTCACAGCGCAGCATCAGCTAACATGCGGTGCCGCTGGAGCTGGGGGTTAAGGGCCTCACTCAAGGGCCCATGGACATGTGACTGTTCTGCCAAGGCCTGAGCTAAAACCAGTGAAATTCCAATCATAAGCGCAGAGAATTAGCTTGCGGAGCTACTCACTGGAGCCATTTTTCTGCCCCCTCCTTTTCTGCTTTTTTTTTGGGGGGGGGTCGACCATTGACCATTTCAGCCTGCATTACTGTTGAGGTGGACATGCCAACAGCAGCTCAAAACAGAACAGAGGAAGAGGACTTATGACCCACTGATCTGCACTCTTCCTCTCTGTGTCCCTCTTCTGGACAAACTGGGGAGTTTATTCATGGCCCTGGCCTGTATTTCTCCATCGCTCAGAGTGCCCTGAAACAGATAAGGGTCCAAAATGAAAAGCAACATCTCAGATCAACAACCTGGTTTTATGTACAGTATATAAAAGTGCACATTGTAAATATCTGGGCTGTAAGGTTTCGGGGCTCCTGAGACAAAATCCTTTAACAGTTGGTCTGGAAGTACATCTGAATTTCCATTCCAGGGGTCTCTAATTTACAAGTCCAGCTCTGTAACCATCACAGCTCCTGCTGCTCCTCAGTTTACACACGGATAGAGTTTGTACTCTCTGCTTGCAGTCCTTTATCCAGGCAGTGCTCATATGTTTAGTATTAATATATGTGATAATTCTACAGTGAAACAGTGTAACATGACTTCTTCTTTTTATCTTCTTTCCTTTAATAGGGATCTGAGCATGAACAACATCAGCGAGCTCCAGCCAATGGCTTTCCAAAATCTTCACTCGCTGTTGGAACTGTAAGTACTGCAAACGGTAGTAGCAGTATGTTTTTGACATGAAGTCTCTATACAGTACGTCTCACTGGAAATCACACTGTCCGTCATATGATCTGATCGATTGCATTCATTTGCCGGCTATTTCATACAAATGCTAAGACAGCACTGGGAATGAGGCAGCTAAACCAGAGCAGATTACAAATAACGGTAGAGATGGCACCAATCTGATGAAATGCTAGATCGGATATGGGGAGGTCGTGGGGGGTCAGGGGTGGCAGGGGTTTAAGAAACTGATCTGGATTTCCATCAGAGGTAGCTGAAAAATTGCAAAACATGCTTGTAGCCTTAGCGCAATAAACTGTAACCAGAAGCGAGGATCGCATGATGGCTAGTAGTTTGGCAGAGCTGTCATGTCAGTTGTGTGGAAATACATTAACGCCTAATTTTGAGGAGGGTTGTGGGTAGTTTTGTCTCAGACTGCATTAAATCACTTTAAGTCACAATCATTAAGAATAGTAATCAACATCAATTGATGCTATATCTATACTTTAAAGGCCAGTGAGGTTCAGCACATGCTTTGGATTCAGTTACCCTTTGGCATATTATTTTGCCCTCTTTCTTGAATCATACTGGATTCTTTTACTCTTGTAGTCAGAGCAGTTAGGTAAAGCTGACGGGTGTATGTGGGTTCCAGGGATACCCAGGAAGAGCCTGTGGCTGAGGGGCAGAGTGGCAGAGGTATTGACGTGGGCTCCCATTGGCTGTACAGTGCACATTAACGCACGCCGCAGGGGCTCTGTGGCATGTCTCATTCGATAATATGGCCCTGTATATCAGCCAGCACACGATGGCCATTTGACCGAGGTCTCCTCCTACAGCACATGGATCTCCATCAGAAGGTTATGTTACTAAGCAATGCCTCATGGACTGAGTTAGACTGGGCCATGCTGAGCTGTGGATTAGTGGCCCCTGTTTAGGATGAACACCACCCTCTCTGACATCATCTGTGGGGTTGGCTCACACACAATCATCTGGCTTCCAGGGCCATTTGGGAAAAGCCTCCAAAGACACTCGTGAAATTACTCATCGGATGCTTTGCACATAATTAGCAGGGCTGATCAGAACACTACACCGACATGGCAGGAGGCTCAGAGCACGAAGGAGCAACAGTAAAGACCACCTGGACAGTGCCCCCCCCCCCCCCCCGTGGCTGTGCCTTATGTAAAGAAATCACCACGTGAGGGGCTCCTGGTTGCACTTCACCTGCCTTCCATTTTCACTCTCACACACACGCCACAGTGTGTGTAACTTGCACGTTTCCACACATAACATTACACACTGATACCTGTACAGGAAGTCTCTATACTCTCAAGTTCATAATAATTCGGCCTGATGATTTCCATTACAATTACCTGACATCTTAATCCAAAGCTACCTGCAGTATGGTAAGGTTATCATTTATGAGAGTTCCCTGGGATTTGACCCCCCCCCCCCCCAAAGCTCTGCATTGTTAGGGCAATTTGTTGAGCTACTTTCCTTTCCATACCCTGGCACATCCCTAATCATCATGTTTACATGCATCTGTATATACAGTATGTATGTAAGTATGTGTATTGCAACCAAATGGTCATGTTTTCTTGTTCTGAATCTGATTCAATATGTCTGTCCTTGCTGATACCAGGACTGTGACTTATTTGCTAATGTCACTGTAAGACATCCAGGTATAACCATTCAGCCATGGGTTGAGGTAAAATTATATTTTCAGCAATATTACTTGCTCTTTTGTTGTTATTTGACACATTATTCTGGTTGATTTTCCGGTGAACCTGGAAAATTCAGGAAAGTGGCCAATGCTAAACTGAAGCAGAGGATTCAGCATACTCCTTATGCACATTCAGCGCCATTCACTTCAGGCTGCTGATTAAAATACATAGATGCATTCTGGCTAAATCTTTATGAATAATTCTTTAGGGAGAAGTTTCTACTGGGGTACTGAAGCACATTGCATCTTCTTGATTGTCTATGAAAGAAAAATAGCATCTCTCTAGATCAACTTAATGCAGAGAGATCTGAGAGTTCTGACAGAACTGCATGAGGTTTGTATTAGCGGTTAAGAAAGGAATACCTTGATCTTTGGCATTTCTCTTGACTTCTGCACCCTGGCCAAACTTCCAAACGCTGCTGGCAGTAAAAACATGCCACCCCATGCCGTTCATAACTCAAAACATGATCAAATAAAGCCATGAATGAACTCTGCCTGGCAGGCAGTGTGGGGAGAGGGCTCTGGGGGTCCCTTCACTGCTAGCTTTCTGTGATTGCCATATGCGTACATCGAGGCACTGTCAACCATGACAAAGATCAGACCCCAATCTGTGCTATGGATTTGTATCTCTACTAGAAAAAAACATATGCATCCCTAAAAGGTTCAATGTTCCTCAGCTCTACCTTCAATGATTACAGGTAATGATGTCTAGCTGGCTCGTTGAGTGAAAATTACATTTGGATGGGAAAATTAGGCTGGTGATTTCCACAAGGAGCTGAACACAAATCACCTCATTATCAGTAGCAGACACAACATTAAAGCCCCTGCTTTCTCCTTTTCTCACGGTCAACATCAAGCTTTTAATACCACTATTCAAACAGACCCAAAGACTGTCTTTTATATATACAGTCATTGGGTCTGTTTGAACAGTGATATTAAAAGCTATGTGGGATATGTGGGTGTATATATATATATATATATATATATATATATATATATATACATACACACACACACACACACACACACACACATATACTTATGCATAGATAGATAGATAGATAGATAGTGAGTTTCTATTCATTCAGCTTGATTTTTAAAAAGTCAATAGTTTGAAAACAATTACCCACAGAAATGTTTACTATTGTCTACATTTTAGAATAATTATAATGACATCAAAACTATATAAAATAACGCATATCGAATTATGCACTGACCAGAACAGCATTAAACAAAAAGATAATTATTTGTTGGGGAGGGAAGGGGCAGTTCTGTGAGCTGGGACTTAGAAGGTGGCCGGTTCAAATTCTGTGGTCGGCACATTGATCTCACCATTGGGACCTTGAGCAAGGCCCTTAACTCCAGTTGTTCCAGGGACTGGCTGAGCCTACTTTCTCTTCTACTCCAGTTTCATGAGCTGGGATGCTTTTCCAGCTGTCCTGAAGGAATTCCCACATACGCGAAGCACCCATTGGCCACTTTTCCTTCACTATCTGGTCAAACTCTTCCCAAACTGTCTCTACTGTGTTTAGATCAGGTGACCAGGTCATGTGATGAGACAGTCTCCTTTGTAGGAGGCATGTGTCCAAACTTTTGACTGGTACTGTAAGCGATTACCTCCTTCAAACAGTTACCTCCCTAACACAAATTCAGTATTATTGTATGTCTTCAGAATAAAGCATGGGTTTGTAGTGAGGAAGATCTGTTTTTAATAGACGCTTTAAATATATGAGTGATACTTATGCATTAAGAAAACATTTTTTAAATGACATCCTCCCACAGCCTCTGGCTGAAACCCCGGAGAACAACAGAACCAAACCTCCTCAAGTGCTTTATGTTTTGAAATGTCTGCCATCAGCGGCATGTTTTTCTAATTCTCAAAATTAGGTATCAAGCCATTAAAAGCAAATAAAGCAGAATCACAGGGAACAAAGGCACAGATTCCACAGGGGAGGAAATCTGATGATAAGTGAATCGTGGGTTGCTGGGCAATGCATTCTGATTGAGCTGTGAACTTCGCATGCATGTGAAAACAGTGTTAGTGGCATCAAACACAGTGCGGCCGCCTTGGATTCAGTGAAATCTAACATTCCCATCGTCCATGTGGCTGGAAACGAAACAGAAGACTTTGGAACCAAAGCCAAAGTTTTTGTTTTGTTTTCGTAGCATAGACAATTGCTCATAACTGTACCAACTCAGACGCACAGCCAAGACAGGATGTCAAAAAACAAAAACTAGAAACACCTACGCAGGCTGGCATGACTGATAAATGTTTTTATCCCATATGGCGTACTAAAAAAGATGGATATTTACACAACTAGATAAACCGGTTCTGTTTCAGCATGTCACCACAGGGCATAACCTCCAGATGACTTAAGCAATGGCATTTGACCACAAATCTCCTTTGCTAATCGCTTCTCACTGCAAAGCCTCCATTGAGCCTGTTTTGATACTATGGCGTGACGCCCCCCCGCCCCCCCCCCATTCCCCACTGTTTCTTTCCTACCTGCAGGAGGCTGTCAGGCAACTCCCTGAAACATATCCCTAGCCTGGCATTCTCTGGCCTTTACAACCTGGAAGTGCTGTGAGTATTCAGGAGTGTCCTGCAGACACACACCATCAGCAAGATTGATAATGCAGCTCCATTTCCCCACAACTGTCTTGTGCTCGCCTCTGGTCAGTCATTGGAAGTTTAGCCTAGCAGCACTTGTACCTAAGTTGATTCCTTGACAGCGCTATGCTTTGTCCGCATCATATATATGTTGCTTTGGATGATAGTGTCTGCTAAAAAAGATATACAGCCGCAGAAAAAATTAAGAGGCCGCTCTATACTTTTAAACAAATCTGCATTTTTAAATCCGGGTTTAACTGTGGTTCTGCTGGCAGAAGGCTACACTGAGCAGCAGGTTGCTTCCAGGTTAAAAATTTCTAAGTCTGCAGTAAACAAGAATAAGGTGAAGTGGGAGACAATGTGAGCAACCAGAAACCAGGCAGGTAAAGAGCGGAAGCGACTTTCTTATGCCAGAGATGTTTCTCATGAAACGTAGGATGAAATCATGTGACCTTAAGTCATTAACATTAAGTGCAGGTGTGAAGTGCACTTGCTAGGACAGTTCGTATCAGGCTCCTAGAAGCAGGATTGAAGGCCCATAAAGCAAGGAAGAAGCCCTTCATTATTGAGAATCAGAGAAGAGCCAGGCAGCAGTTTGTAAAAAAATATATATATTATTCACAGACGGACACCCACAAATCGAGAAATGAGTGAAAGAGAAACTTGTGCTGTGATCTCTTATTTTTTCCGCAGCTGTATGTAAATAAAACTATTTACGTTCATACTAAGGATTCCATCAGATTCTACATATGAACTTTCCTACTGTCCGATTTTTACCACGTCAGTCTCAGGTGACAGGAAATAGATGATAGCGAAACTTTAGCATACAGTTATCTATTTTAATTACATGGTCATTGTGCGCTGAGTTACAGAAACTTTAAAATATAAAAAGTTGCAGTTTCTATTGTACTAATATTTCCTCTAGTTACCTCTTGGTCCTGCTGATTTCCCTATTTCTCTCCTTTGCAGCATGCTGCAGAACAACAAGTTAGAGCTTCGACCTTCCAGTGCTGTCTGGGATCTGCCCAGTCTCCTGTCACTGTGAGTTACACACTAAGACTCAAGCAGACCTGAGATCACATTCCACAATACACAGGAAATCTAACCTGAGTTACATGGATGTATATCTGTTGCAATCTAGTAGAGTCTACTTGGCAGCAGGTAGTGTTGTATTCAAAGCCAAAACTTCATAACCTATAGCAGGCATGCGGTGGGGGGGGGGAGACACCGGCACCCACTTCACCGAAATGATTGAAACTACCCTGCTTTTGAGGTCCTTTTCAATAACCAATGGTCACAAGAAAACAAAAATTCAATTACAGTAATAGGGATTGATGAAAGTTGATGAAATTGACCCATAGCCCCCCTACCCCCAGGAAAGTTTGAAACTGTCCCCCTTTTCAACAACCAACGATCCAAAAAAAAAAATAGAAGGGGAAGCCACCCCAGTCAACAAAATTCACTTTTAGCCCACCCCCCTGCCCCGAGCACCTGCCCCTTGAAAAGTCTAAATCCTGAGAGACTCTCTTGTATTACCCATAGACATGAGACATATCCAGATGTTACAATCAAAACCGTCTGTTTAGGATGAAGGCATCAGCTAAGTAACTGATAATGATTGTGATATTACATAAATGCTAAATGTCCAATTAAAAAAAAAATCACCATGTACATAACACTGAAGAGACAGTGGAATGAAAATTCTGTTTCCAGATCAGGGAGGTATCATGAGCCAGGAATAAATGATCTAGCACAATACCGTAATGTTTGGCAGGACCAGGGTCAGCAGAAACACACCACGTTCATCAGTGTTAATTGCCAACCATCATCTTCAGAAAACTCAGCATTGTGGCTGATTTATCTAAGGCTCCATTTAGATTGTTGAAAGTTTTATTACGGTTCTACTAAAAGAGAGGATCAGTTTTGTAATTATAATACACAGGGTGACAATAAAACAGGAATTTAATGATATTACAAGGGCCTCAAATGGAATTTTCCAGTACAGAGAATTGGGTTGTGCCAAAAGTCAGATATTATATTCTTAATGGAATATTTCAGGCAGCTGTGGCTTCCAAACACACAACTATCCCATACAGAAAATACAGTTACTAATTTATTGCAGTAAATAACTGTCAGACCCATATTGAGAAATAAGTATTTACTGAACTGTGTTCCCATCAATCTGGGTGTATGTTCCAAACACTGTTCCAGACTAAATTATCCAAAGATATCCATCCATCATCTAACTGCTTATATTAGTCAGGAATGCAGGGGGTCTGGAGCCTATCCCACAGGGCACAAAGCCGGGATAGAGCCTATAAAGGAGGCCTAGTCTATTGCAGGACACACTGTGGGCAATTTAGAGATTCTAAGTAATCTAACTGTATGTGTTTGGACTGCAGGAGGAAAACTGGGAGAACACACAGAGCTTATTTGTGGCCTGTGGCATTTGCTGTTTCTGTTCTGATTGCATTTACTAACCATTATGTCACTTGTGCTGTGCCAAGTCCAATGGCAAAAAAAATTCATTAGGAACACGTGGGATATAGACCAGATCACCTGATCTGAGCTGCTCTACATGTTAATGTGGGTTTTGGGTATACAATGCCTTGCTTAGCTGGGTAGTTCAATACTGCCCACTTAGGTTCTTCTGGGTGAGGTTTGATAAGGGGTTTGCTATAGAAGAAAATTGTGGTACAAAGCACTGGTAGTATCCTGGCAAAGCCTGAACCTGAGTTGTAGAAGTAGGTCTTGGGAAACAGTGAACATGTTCTTTTCTTGTGGCTTGAGCAGGTTTTGTCCAATGAGGAACTCCAGATAGTAAGACTCCATTAGGCCAAACTAGCAGGGTTGGTATTCCTGGGCCGTCCTCCCTGCTATCAGCATGCATGACTACTCTGTCGAAGTAGGCAGCTGCATATACCTACTGCGACTGAAGAACGACGTCCCACATCCACCGGAAGGTGGTGCGACCCCATGTACCCCAAATGGTAAAACTGAAGAAATTTAAGACTTAAGACTTCAGACTTCATTGATCCCACACTGGGGAAATTTACTTGTTGCAACAGCCAGTAAATAAAAAGCAATAGAAAAGACACAGACCAAAAAAATACTGTAATAAATAGAATAAATAATAAAATTAGTGAACACAATTACACATATTGCACAGACCCAAAATACACATACATACATATACACATACATACAGATTGCACCAAGTGATGTAAATATAGTTGTATGACTATGCAGCGGATATTGCACAATATACAGAATAGTGACATAGTTTATGAACTTTAGGTGACTGAGGTGTTATAAAGTCTGATGGCAGATGGAATGAAGGACCTGCGGAATCGTTCCTTCTTGCATGTTGGATGCAGTAGCCTGTTGCTGAAGGAGCTTCGTAATGTCCTCACTGTGTCATGCAGGNAGAAATTTAAGACTTAAGACTTCAGACTTCATTGATCCCACACTGGGGAAATTTACTTGTTGCAACAGCCAGTAAATAAAAAGCAATAGAAAAGACACAGACCAAAAAAATACTGTAATAAATAGAATAAATAATAAAATTAGTGAACACAATTACACATATTGCACAGACCCAAAATACACATACATACATATACACATACATACAGATTGCACCAAGTGATGTAAATATAGTTGTATGACTATGCAGCGGATATTGCACAATATACAGAATGGTGACATAGTTTATGAACTTTAGGTGACTGAGGTGTTATAAAGTCTGATGGCAGATGGAATGAAGGACCTGCGGAATCGTTCCTTCTTGCATGTTGGATGCAGTAGCCTGTTGCTGAAGGAGCTTCGTAATGTCCTCACTGTGTCATGCAGGCAGTGAGAGGGACTGACCATAATGGATGTAAATTTGGCCAGCGTCCTCCTCTCCGCCACCTCCTCAGCGGAGTCCAAAGAGCAGCCCAGGACAGAGCCAGCGCTCCTGACCAGTTTGTCAAGTCTCTACCTGTACCTTCCTGAGCTCGCGCACCCCCAGCAGACCACCGCGAATACTGTTTTCCTTGGCTGGGTTACTGGGTTAGCAGCACATGCAAATGTGGTCCAGGGTACTGCTACTGTATATCAGGACTTATTTCATTACATTTCATATATCATTTCAGTATCTCTAGGTAGGACAAACCTGTTCAATTCTACCAGAATTGCACTGACTCATTATTAGGCTGGACAAGGCACCTTGAACTTCTTCAGTCACGCTGAATGGTAGCATCTTCTTGATCACAGCTTCGATAGCCCAGGTCTCAGGGATGTGGGGGAGGGTCATTGCCTCACCACTTTACCAGGTATATGGTGGTGGACTATCACTGTATGACCCAGCGTGGTAGAGAACACATCCTGGTTCTGTCCTACTAGTTCCTTCACGTCTTGTCCCTTTAGGCCAAGGGATCAGTTCTGAAGAGAAGGTTAATACACACTTTCAGCAAGTAAATTTTCTCCTTCTGTGACCAGCCCAGCTCACCTGGTTAGGTATAGGACAGCTCTTTCCAACCGTGGTGTATGGATCATGCCACTTGACCAAAAAATTGAACAAGGAAGAGGGGAGTAGGCTGGAACTCATGCACCTGCATCTTGTGTTCCTGGACTATCGGGCATCCCCCCCCCCCATGTCCCAGGAGCTTGAATGGGGAGAATCCCCTTAATGCCAGGGATACCTCCCTTATTCTGAAGGACACATAATGCAATATCAAGTCCCAGTCCTCAACCATCCATGACCAAGATTCTGGGTATTTCTCAATATCTGTACTTGACTGTTCTTGTCCTTGACTGTGTCCCTCACAGGCGTCTGGACGGCAACCAAATCACGGAGGTCCCCGAGCAGACTTTCTCGCGTCTGCCGTCACTGAGGCATCTGTGGCTGGATGACAACGTGCTGATGGCGGTCCCCGGACACGCCCTCGCCCACCTGCCTTCCTTGCAGGCCTTGACACTGGCCCTGAACCGCATTCTTCACATCCCTGACACTGCCTTCCATAACCTCTCCAACCTGGTGGTGCTGTGAGTGTCCTCGACCACCCTATCCTGCCTCTGAAAATCAATGGAACAATTCCTTCCACCAAACCGTCAGAATGCTGAGCAATGACCAATAAACCCATTCACTCCCTATTACTGTATCACTGTCCATAATATTTATTTGTCTCTAAAGTTGCACATTATTTATTGTTAGTACAGTATGTTATTGGCTATTTGTAATACACTTCCAATCGTACTGTCCTTTGCTGCTGTTGTGAGACTTGTTGTGAGGTCCTGTGACAAATAATGTGATTTGGTTCGATTTGACGACTTAGAGGAGCGAGGAGGTAACATTTACAGGACAGTCAAAGGGGCACAGCAGCAACTCCAGACTGAATCATCAACTCATAGTTTAATCCATACTTTTACAAAGTCAAGTATGGAACGGCATATGAAGAGATCACATCATTTTCACTAATCTCAAGAAAGCTCATATGTTTAATTTCAATTAAGCTAAAGCACTTTTGACAGTCTTTAGACACTCATTTATTAATCATAATGGTCAAGGCAGGAAAGTGTATTTTCTGTCTTCACAATACCTGAGGTGGACTTTTGTCTACACCCAGATATCTCCATGACAACAGAATCCAGACTCTTGGATCCAACTGCTTTGATGGCTTGCATGGCTTGGAAATTTTGTAAGTAGTCAGGCTCCTGGAAAATGCTTACAGAGATACAGTAAATGAAAACAATCTATACCTGCAGATATATTAAGTACCCAAGTACCGTACGCCATACTTATTCCATATTAAAGAAATATGTATTTTTGTGTATGCTGCCATTTGGGCCATGAATTAAGAAAGTAATGAAGGTTTAGTGAGAGGGAATCATCAGAAAATCATTTTTAAAATGTGTTGAAAGTAAAAAAGAAGCATAATCAGTAGCGGTAGCACATTACAATATGTTCCTGCATTGCGATCCAATCAGGTGACTTTAATGATTGCTTTGCCAGGCTTTTAATCATTGGGTTCTAGTCTCACGCTTCATTGATAGCCATCCCCTGGATGTGACGCATGAACGCCTGCGTGACATGTGTGCCCTTTTGTGGGAGGATTCCCGTAAAACAAACTGGGACCAGAACAGGCAAATGCTGGCCAGACTGAGCTGAGACTGGACCCAGCCCTGTTGCGTTTTGGTGACAGCTCTGCCCGTACAGCAGCTCTGGGTGGTGATGCCAATAAGAGCAATGAACCTTCTGTCATTCTGATGTTTTATATGACAAAGGGGTTACAAACTTGACTGGAGCCTGAAATAAAGATATAACCTCTTGGTGTATTTAGCGTCAGTTTTGGTGCCAATTTACCAGATAGCTTAGCATGGACACCTGCAACATCCACACCTCGCCAGCAAACATGGAACGTTCCCAACACTTTAGCCAAGGTTACATGAAGGTCTTTTCAAAGTTGGCTGAGAATATTCATACAATAAAATGAATGCAATGTTATTTCCACGTTTTAACAAAGGTTCTGTCAAGCACAATAACATTGTCAGAACAATAACATCCTTTTAATGCAATATATTTTGAAAAATATTGATTTATAATACAATATTATTTTATAAAAGTGTTACATGAATATACTGTGAACACACCATCCAGCCTAAGACTTACCTTCGAGGTGTAAAGTGACACTGGAACCCGCTGCTCTACAAGGCCTTATTAGTCTTATGTGTAGTAGAGGTAGTGGGATAATGTTCTGGGAACATCAGGAAAACAGGACACTTTGAAAGTTTCCGTACCTTAATCGTAACATTCTGCAAACGTTCCGAGAATGATAAATTGTTAGCGGGGTCTTTACGCTAAGGCAGTGTTTCCCAACCCAGTCCTCAGGGACCCACAGATAGTCCACGTTTTTGCATCCTCCCCGGTCTCTACCTGGGAGCTGGAAGGTAGCAAAAATGTGGAATCTCTGGCAGGGAGCTTGGAGGGAGCAAAAACATGGACCGGCTGTGAGTCCCCATGGACCAGATTGGGAAATACTGCACTACGGGATACAGTCTTGATAATGAGCCACACTCAGCTTCATGCTTCCGTCAGGGGGTTGCTGTTATGGTAACTGGAAATCAAACTGGAAATGCATACTCTGGTCCGCCAAGGAAGAACCCCGCGGTGAAAGTGTTTCTATTCACACAGCTGTTATGCTTTTGTCTCCATTCAAGTTTCTCTCATTTAATCACGCCATGGACGAAAGGCCTCATTCACTGAAAACACCTTCTTAATAATTGCTTCCGTTAATGCGAGGGTGTAATCAACAGCAGTTCCTCATGAAAGGAATGGTACAATTGGACCGTTTGAGCGAAACAAAGAAATCTTTTGAAAACATAGAATAATGTGTCCATAAACATAATCCATTGGCACCTATGAAAGAGTTTCCCTAACCACAACAAATGCTCTGTTAGGTGGAACCTTATTTCCTTGCTTTAGTAAGTTGCTAATAAGGCCATTAAATGCATTTTGCACTATAAAAGACACATGAATCAGAGGTTAAGTGACGCACGACCATGTAGCTATATTACACTACTGCTGGGTGAAGCAATAAACATGTAATCTGTTAAAAGATATATATTTTAAGTAGCTGCTTTTTAAAAATACCACTATTCAGATATAACACGAAAGCGCACCTAAAATAAAGTTTGTCATGAGTGAGATCACATAAAATATGGATGCCTAATTGTAACCATTAAAAAATATTTGTAAAACTGACCTCATTCCATTTTTTCTTACAGAGACCTGAAGCATAACCAGCTACAGGAGATTCCCACAGCGATCAGGACGCTGGCCAACCTTCGAGAATTGTGAGTTTCATTCTCCTGCCATCAAGATAGCTCTTCTTGTCAAGTCATCAGAATTAGACAGCTCTGAACTGCATCACCCACAGGGGATTCAACGACAACCAGATTCAAGTCATCCCAGAAGAGGCATTTGCTGGAAACCCACTGCTCCGGATGATGTGAGTCTTCATCCTGGTGGAACGAGAAACTTCACCTTGTCATTTGACGTGACAAACCCATTAATCACTCAATAACCGAGACAAGTGAAATTTTGACATAAAATGCTAACTTTCCATGGTAGTTAGTACAGTCATGTTGGTTTTCTACCAAACAGCATTACTGGCAATGAAACAAGTGATCTGATAAGCTGTAAGGGAATTTTTGTCTTCATTTGGTAATAGAAATTTCTATGAGAATCCCATCCGCTATGTAAGCAGAATGGCCTTCCAACATCTCCCTAACCTTCACACGCTGTGAGTATCTCGTCCTTATATTTAAATTTTGTTATCCTCAATGTACCTTTTCATAATTATGCTGACCTGTCATCGCATATCTTTTTCTGAACTTTAGTTCGTTCATTATCAAAGTTTAACGGAACTTTTAAAAAACTTAGATAAGGCAGTTTTATCTATTCCTAAGTCGCTTTCAGCATTTATGAGAACCAAAAGGAGATTTAATTCATTAGACTGTAAGGTCATTAATTCATTAATGAAGATTAAGTACTTTGCCTGAGGCATTCTTTCCACAGAGCAAAGTTTGGTTTGTCTACAGTTCAAATTCTGCTTGAAGCACAGCAGATATTCTCAGGTGTTTTCTGAGCAAAGTACAGTCTTCAGTTCCTTAACTGCTACAGTACATGACCTGATCCCCATCACAATCCCTTGCCATCCAAAGCTCTACTACTTCATAAACCTCTTTATTTATGGGCCCTGAATGGGTCTTTATAATGTGTTAAGGAGGCAGCATAAGAGAGCAGGACGACCCCTCTGGGCTTCGGCACAGCAGGTTGTCATTGGCTGCCAGCCGCAGTCATGCGGCCGCTATGTGCGTGGCATCGTGCCCTATTCCTACAGGATCACGATGAGGCGCTAATGAGCTGCTCCTCTGCATTTCAGGACCCTGAGTGGAGGGGCACAGATATCACACTTCTTTGACCTGAAGGGAACAGCCAACCTAGAAGCTCTGTAAGTTTGCTTTGTGGATCTTCTAGTACCTTTCAGCTTTTTCAGTCTTTAGTCTATAATAAATCTCCATCCACACAATCAAATGTGTTTGACTGTTTTGGCATTTCAAAAAAGGTGCCATATTAAGCATGACTTCAAACTCCTGCAAAATAAGAAGCTCTAGATTAAAGAGAGAGACACAGGAATGTACCTCGAGCTAATATGGGAGGCCAGTGGGAGACTCTGTGGTAAATATCAGAGCACAGACCTTAAAGCTTAACATAGTTCTGAAGCTTTTACTGTGATCAGAAGAGAACTGCCTGTTTTACAAGCTGTGTTCTTCATTTTAACATACGTGACCTATACTGTACCCTGTCTGCCACACCGGTTAGTGCTCTCTTTTATGATGATTTTATTATTACAACCAACAACTGGAGGAAAAGGGTTCAAGAAAGATTTTACTAAAAGTTTTGTTCTTATACACAACGTTTTGGCAAGCCATTATGATTAATGTATGATAAGCTCACTGTGTGACTGATCTTTAATTGCATGTTTCATCAGTCAGGCAGTCATCTTGTACACAATTGTCCTTCAACCCTCACAGGCCTTTAAACATAGAAAGTCAGTGATTGTGATGCTCAAAGCCAGGATGCCTCTGAAACTTAGTACTTGTCACAATTCCCCTTTGTCTTTTCCAGGTACATGACTAGGGCTAATCTTGCCTACCTGCCGCAGAGCTTCTGCCAACAGCTGACCGGACTAAAATTACTGTGAGAATCACTAATAGCCAGACCTGATTGGAGGGCTTGAGCCACTGACCCTCACTGCAGCATTTTCACCTCTGTACCATGACATTGTTCCCAAACCAGTGGCCACTGCAATCATTGATTACTGCATTCGCATAAATAGAAATCATAAGTGCAAATTTAAGAGATGCTCTTTATTTATTTTTACAGTGAGCTCTCTCATAACCAAATACTCGCCCTCCCCAATTTTTGCCAGTGTCAACAGCTCCAGGAAATGTAGGTTTGTGCAGTGTGTCTTTGCCCTTTACTGTTTTTAAATTATTTCCATCACAGATATACTGTAAATCTGTATCATAAAAATCTGTCTAGTCTGCTATCTACATCGTCACTTTAATAACTGTTGTTTTTGGATAGTTGTGAGTGCATCCCTGAGAGACTCCGCATTGTATGACTCAGAAGAACATTTGGTTTCATTTGAACATTTTGCAGCAAGCTCCAGCACAACCTCATCCAGGAAATTGGAGTGTGGACTTTCCATCAGCTCAGCTCCCTCCATTCATTGTGAGTAAAAGATCAGTAGGAATGTGTGTAGATCCTGTGTATACAGTAGGTCAAGTAGAGCTTGTGTTGATGTTTAATGGACTTCAAAAAAGCTTAATTAATATCATTGAAGTTGAGGTACACATGACAACAGCTTGGGTAAATTGGGAGTACAAGAGCATCTGAAGCAAATTAAATTGCAAGTTTATGTAGAACTCTGGAAGAATAAAAGTAGACCCTATGAAATATTACAAGCAGGACTTTAGAAGGGAAAAGTAGCAAAAATATGAATCATTCGATATTTGATAGCCAATGCATTGGTTTATCTGAAAGAGGACAATCAGTCCAGGAGGGCGATGACCAAAGTTTTTTTTTTTGTACATCAGGTTTCAATGTCCTGACTACAATCATTATTTAAATATTAAGTCACCTGAATTAATGTACCAGGTCTGCAACTACTTGTGAGACCCCACACACCAATAGGCCTACAGCCGTCGAAGATTTTATTTGGCAACATATTTGTGCAAGTTGTATAGTGCTGGAAGCCTGTTTAAACTCCCTGAATGTTCATAATGTTGCACTTCTGGTCCTTGAATAGTCCTATTAGGTTATTGATTTGTTAGAAATTGTCGTGTAGCTCCTGCTCCAATACCGCTTACACTCGTATCTGGGCGTTCATTGGAAACTCAGCCTAGCTGCACTTATGCCTAGCTGACCCCTTGAGAGCATGTATGTTCGCAATGTGCTATTTGCCACTTGCATGTCGTTTTGCATGACTGCCACTTACATGTCTGCTAAATACAGTGGTACCTCAGTTCTCGAACTCATTAGAACTCGAATATCTTAAAAGTCGAACCAACCAGTTCGGAAAAAAATTACCTAGTACTCGATCTGAATCTCAGAAGTCAAACCGTGAATGCCAACCTAAAATAACTTGTATGCGCGGGGAAATGAGTCACATGGCACGTCTCTCAGCGGAAACAAAGGGTAAAGCTTCAGTCTCAGCCTGGCATTCACTGTGATAGCATCGTGATTACATGATAGCATGTTTACACAAGCTGAATACATATATTTAGACAGTAAAAATACATTTAGACAATGATAGACAGTAACAATTATTATCATATAATAAAATACATTTATTTGTTTTCTTATTAATTATTTTAATATTAATAATAAACCATTAATACATTTAATTACAATAATATTGTCGTGCCAAGCGGGGACGTAATGGAGACAAAGGCGCAGACGTCAGGGTATCGGGAATACGGAGTTTAATTACAGGTAAGGCAGGCAAAACGCAGACATACAACACTATGACCGGACTGGGGAAACAAACTGAAATGCGGACGAAATACAGAAGACTCATGACAACAACCAGAAACAGCTGATCACACGGGATTCCACACGGGGTTAACGAGGGGGCGTGACACGCGGAAAGAGCGGACGATCGGAGCAGGACACATTGTTTTTTTTTAACTTTACACATTGTTTGGATACATTTATTTTCTTACTTTACAAATTACTGTTTTGATAAATGTCCTTCGATGTGTTTAGTACAGTATATGATCTTCTTGTTTTATCCGGTTCATTTTGTGTTTAAATGCTAAAAAAAGCATATTCAGGTGTAATTTTTTGGGGCCGGGAACCAATTAATTGGTTTTCCATTATTTCTTATGGGGAAAATTCGATCAGAACCCGAACTTTTTAGGATTCGTTCCGGAGTTCTGAACGGATTAAGTACGAGTTCTGAGGTACCACTGTATGTAAATGTGCAGAAATATATACAGAAATATGTAAATGTACATATCTTTGAGTTTTCTTTTGGCAAGATAAAAGTAGAGAGAGACTATATGTGAATATGTGATATGGGTACCAACAAAGTCATTTGTTTAACTTTCAGCAGTGTTACCCAAATGTGTATAAGTGCTGTGTTCTCTATCCTCTTCAGGGACTTGAGCTACAACCGTATCTCAAACATTCACCAAGGTGCCTTTGCTTCTCTCCAGTCCCTAAGAAAGCTGTGAGTCCCCATTGATCAAACACTCTAGAAAGCGTAATGACTATGGGAAGAAAAATGGAATGTTGTCTGGTCCAGTATGTACCCAGTCTGGTCCAGTATATACCCAGCCTGGCACTCATCTCCTGATGGTCTAAGCTCTGGATTACCAAAATCACAAATGGTTGCACTGTTGGTCTGCTGCAGAAACCCTGAAAAAAATGTGAGAGACACCAGCCAGCTCACTTTCTGCCAACCCCCTTTCAATGTATCCTACCAGGGACTTAACCAATAACCTGCTGGCCTCCTTGCCCTCGATGTCGCTGCACAGCCTCAGTCACCTGAAACTTGGTGGAAACCGGGCTCTGTCTGAAATCTTCAGAAAAGAGGATTTTCCTGAAATGCGGTGAGGTTGCCTGATTGTGATAGAGCCACATTACTTTTTAGGTGCTAAACAAATGCTTTTGCCCAGAGAGACTGATCTGAAATATTAACAAAACACCTTTGTGTTCCCCTTGAAGCATGAAGTTATTTCAATTTAACATTTCCAGTTAAGCGTCTTATTTAAAACAATATATAGTTTATATATGTACAGTTTTTTTTATAGAGTTTAAAGTTCAATTCATACAAACTAACATCCATATTCATACCATTTATCCTGATCATGGAAAATTTCACTTTATTTTTATGTATAACAACTAGTGTTAATCCAGATAAACATGCAAATAAATATTACTAGAGACGGGTAAATGCTCACAGCTATAACTAGATGCTGTTCATTTTACGTTACATAACCAAGCAATCAAGCTAGTAATGTACGTCAAGACACACTGGTGAAAGCAGAGCCGCAAATGATAATACGTGAAAAAAATTTCCACCAAACCCAGTATTGTCACATAAGGGGTATTTGAGAAAGGTATTATGGAAGCATGCTACTGCCACAAATAAATATCAGTCGTTTACCCCTCAAAGTGCAAATCTGTAAAGTTTGTCTGAGTTGTAAACTTTTATTTGAGAATAACATTTATACAATATTCATGCCAAGATATCATTGAAAGATGAGAACTCTTATTTATGACTCCGTCTTAGTTAAACACTCCTTTTCATCCTGCAAGACGTTCGTATGTCATTACTAAAGTGTAACTGTTCCATAATCAGAGGTGGACATTTCAGGTCCAGAAAGTAAAAATCCAAACCAGGATTTTGTTTCAACCAACCAGTTGAGTACTCTGTGACTGTGGCTCTTTATGTTCAACTGGTTGGTTGAAACAAAATCCTGCTTTGGATTTTTACTTTCTGGACCTGAAATGTCCACCTCTGCAAGCCTAGAGGTGCATGGTGGCATTGCTGCCCACTGAGCCAGTACTGCATATTTTATTAAATCATTTGTGAACCAAGTACTAAATTATGTAGTGACTGACATTTCTTGGCAGGATCATTGAGATGCCGTATGCGTACCAGTGTTGCGTCTTTGGGGCCTGTAGCAACCAGGAGACTAACCGATGGGAACACAAGACGTCAGGATCCATGGATCAAGACCCACACGGGAAGGCTGTGGCTGTCTTCTCTGTCCTTAGTAAGGATGGTACTGTATGGGGTATCTTTGCTTTCACAGATCAGACAGTTATTGATGCCCCCCCAACAAAAACAAGAATACCTAATCAAACAAAGAAGGAAAGAAAAACATAATTTTGTCTCGCACATTAACAATGCTATTATCTTGAAGCAGACTACTTTTCAGTATATTGGTCAGTACATAACAAATGGAGAACAAAACCTAATGCCCTACATTCAATTCAGGGCTGAAGCCAATGACAAGGCAAAGCTATGATGATTCTGCATGCTGCCTTCGTACCCTGTGATTCAAAATATCATCCTGATAATACTAATCAGAAATGATCAGAAAACATATTCAGAATGTGCGTTACATTGTTTCGTGAGCTTAGTGACAAAGGAATGAGACAAAAACTTTCACGATTAGACACAATGTTTACCATTCCTGCTACTTTTCTGTACTCTACCCCTGGCTTCTTTGAAAAAGCCATTCGTAGCTTAAAATCTCTTATTTCAGATGACATGGAACTGAAGAAATTCCTGCTACAGACTCTGGATCCTAAAATACCAACAAGCGTTCAGTGTACACCAATTCCTGGTAAATGATGTTGTCGTTCTAGTGAAACCAACCCTCCCCCTTAGCATCAGCATACTTATCAAAACACAAGCCTCGTTCATATACAGTACATCTCCCTTCTTTTTCTTTCTCCAGGACCTTTCAAACCATGCAGCTACTTTTTTGACAGCTGGGTTTTCCGCATGAGCGTCTGGGCAGTTGCTGTGGTCTCACTCGTATGCAACACCGTACTAGTTTTTGCAGTCTTTACCTCACCCAGCGACTTCTCCGCAGTCAAGTTCCTTCTCGGGTCCCTGGGAGGGACCAGCTTCCTGGTGGGGCTCTGCACGGCCACCTTGGCTCTGCTGGACGCTGTGACCTTCGGCGAGTTCTCCCAGTACGGCGCTCTTTGGGAATCCAGCACTAGCTGCCAAGTCGTAGGCTTCCTGTCAACATTTGCAACTCAGGCTTCCATCTTCCTTATAGGCCTTGCTGTCATACAGTGCAGCATTCATGTGTCCAACATCCAGGATTATGGGATGGTTCCCAGCGCAACCTGTGTAAAGGTGCCAATCTTATGTTGTGGAGCACTCTCATTAACCACTGCCACCTTGCCACTTTTTGGCATAGGGCAGTATGGATCCTCACCCCTTTGCTTGCTGTCTCCATTGCCAGAGAGCCAGCCCTCAGACATAGGGTTCACTGTGGGCCTCATCGCGATGAACACTCTCTGCTTTTTTATCCTCACTTGTACCTGCATCAAGTTGTATTGCAGCTTCATGAAGGAGGGGTATAGCCACCTCAGGGAATCCATGCTCTTCAAGCATGTGGCTCTGCTAGTCTTTGCCAACAGCCTGCTTTACTGCCCCATGACCTTCGTAGGCCTCTCCATCCTACAAGACTCTCTCCACATCAGCGAGTACACCATCAAGTTTATCCAGCTGGTTCTGCTGCCTCTTCCAGCCAGCCTCAACCCCCTGATCTACCTCATCTTCAGCCCACTCTTCAAGGAGGACCTCCAGCTGCCACAGAAGACATCCCAGTCCGCAGTGCCAGTGACACTGGACTCTTTCTGCTTTGGGGAGTCCACACAAGCCTTGGTTTTACCCCCTGACGCGGAGGGGCTAGTCGAGGTCTGTGAGCGATCAAATACACATTGGGGTCCCTCCACTGTTCCATGTTATCAAATGACACACCGGGTCCTTTGTCAAAGTTAAGGGACTTTAAACAATAAATGATCTGAATGGAACCATATTTGTATAATGATTCGTATTCCTTACCTTTTGTATCTTGTTTTTTTATTTTTCAAATAAAATAATTACTGTGCTGCAAGGGTCACTTACTGAAGAATACAGGGAAGCATGTACTCTTAATTATGGAAATCATAATTATCTTAAACATGGAATCATACAGCTGCGGAAAAAATTAAGAGACCACAGCACAATTTTTTCTCTCATTTCTCAATTTATGGGAGTGCATCTGTGAACAATTTTTAATTTTTTTTTTTTTGCAAAGTGCTGCCTGATTCTCTCCTGCTTCTCATTGATAAAGGGCTTCATCCTCGCTTTATGGGACTCCAGTTCTAGTAGCCTGATACGAGCTGCCCTAGCAGTGCACTTCACACCTACACTTAATGTTTCCCATTCCTTTTAAAGGTCACTTGATGCCATCCTATGATTCATGAGAACCTGTTGGATAAGTTAACGGTCATCTCTGGCATTAGAAAGTCGCTTCTGCCCTTTACCTGTCTGGTTTCTGGTTGTTCCCAGTGTCTCCTGCTGTCCTTGAAATTTTGAACCTTGAAGCATCCTGAAACTGAGCGTAGCCTTCTGCCAACAGATCCGCAATTAAACCGGGATTTAAGAATGCAAATTAATTTTTAAATATACGTAGAATGGTCTCTTAATTTTTCCCATGGATGTATATCACATAATTTTGTAAAATCTTGTATATCTGCAATCCCAAGACAATTATAATAATGTTTTTCTTATATGCATGAGGCTCCTATTATTTATACTTTACAAAAAATCTGAGAAATCAGAAACTTGGGTACAGAGAGAAATCACTGCAAATGTTTGAGGAAATCAAAGTAAGAGAAAAGTAAGTTTAACCATCAAAACAGTTTAGATTGAATTCTTCAAACTCCTAATCACATACTTAGCTTGAGGCCTTTGTTGTTCACATATTTCTCACCATACCTTGAATCAGGGCTGGACTGGGACCAAAAAATGGCCCAGGAATTTTTTGGTCATGGCGGCCCCCTATGATTATTTATATGATATGCGAAAGCATATGACATACCAGAGGACATACTGTATGTGCACGTTGTGTGATTTCAAAAATTGATATGCTCTTTCACTACTCAGGGATTCATCTTGGGAGAGATGGCCACATTGTCACAGTTCCAATGGCCCATATACAGTATTTTGCCCTGTGACTCCTCCACTCCTATTTCAACAGTCTGGATTGACTAAACACACACACACAGAGAGAGAGAGAGAGAGAGAGGCAGGAATGTTAATTTCACTAGTGTTATTTCTCTGGTTACCTATCAATGATAAATCATCCATTTCAGCAAAGCAAAGTTTTACTAATATTACATGATAATACAACTGTAAGCTGTAACACCTGCAAACTGTAACTTTATATTAAGCTAAAATACCACTAAGTTGGACACCAAATCTACTCATAGCATTATTTAAAAATGAAGACTATAAAGGCAATTCTCTCTCTCATACACACACAGTTTATGCACAAAACTGTAGTTTTGTACACAAATGACACATATAACTCTATAGGCTAATATTATTATGCATGTTTTAAGTCTAACTGAATAAAATAAGTCTTGTAATAATTTCCTATGTTGAGCATTTGCACACTTTTGGCCCAGATACTATTTAGTGAAGATGTGTCTCTAATCAATTTTTATCTCTTTAAAATTGTATTAATTCTAACTCTTCTAACTTTTTTCTTATTTTACGTTTTGTTTTAATTCACTATTATTATTATTATTGTTAATATTACACACATCCCAAAACATTGTTATTCTTAACTGTGTCTGTGTGCCAGCTTATGTGTAGGCAAAAGGAGAGGGAGGTGTGGGCCGAGGAGGGCTGAGAGATTTCATTGGATTAGCCCAATGTCCTTCAAGAAAATCAACTAATGGGACGTCGTGGTCGATAAAAATTATTTATAATATATTTTTTTGGGTAAATTATGACAGCCCTGGGCCGGCCCAAAAATGTACGTCGGCCCACCGGGCATTACCTGGTACGCCAGATGGCCAGTCCAGCCCTGCCATGAATGCCGCAGTTATACTGATTAGAAGGACTGTGCGATATGACCAAAATCTCATATCCCTACAATGATATATATCAGGATTGCACCTCATATTTATTCATTCATTATTTATTTATTTCCACATATCAGCTGCGGTAGGAATTGGACAAAAATCTGCAAATAAATCCACAAAAAATAGACAAAAAAATTCTGTTTATCCTCCTCATAATAATACAAATAATAATAATAATAATAATAATAACAATACAAATCATAATAATAATAATAATTATTATTATTACATCAGAATATTCATCCTTAGCTTCATAATTCTTTGCAGCTGTGTGCTGGGGCAGTGGGTTGAAGACAGCTGATGCCAACAGGCTGAACAAGCTAGTTAAAAAGGCTGGTTCTGTCCTGGGTGTCAGACTGGAGAACTTGGTAGAGGTGTCTGAGAGGAGAATGCTGAAAAAGCTTCTTTGTATTATGGACAACCCCTCTCACCCCATGCACGCCGCCATGATGGACCAGCGAAGCACACGCAGCAAAAGACTGATCGCCTCCAAATGCAGAACTGACCGCCACAGGAAATCCTTCGTACCGGTGGCAATAAGACTGTACAACTCCTCCTCACTCTGTAGGTGATTTCCCAAGGACTAATAACAAGCTCAATGTTTGTTTTTCTGCTCACCATCATATGCTATCATATGCATCATATTCTGCACAATATTAGGACACTTTAAAATCACCACAGATAAGCTATTTATTTCTCAGGATACATACATCATTACTACTTAGAGCCACTTGATATTATTTTGCACTATCCTATTGTATATTATTGTAAACTAACATTCTTATTGTATATATTGTATTTCTTTTTTCTTAGATATATATATTCCTATTTCTTATATTGTATGTATATCTCTGTCTCTCTTACTGCACTGAGCATGTGTATGACAAAAGAATTTCCCTCGGGATAAATAAAGTTCTTCTTATCTTATCTTCTTATCTTATAATATTAGTAATGATTACAGTTTACACCTTTATAGTCATTTTATAGGTTATTAATATAACAATGCAATAGTCAAAATGAAACTATAATATTAAATGGTTTTCTGGTCAACAACAACATAAAAGAGTAAATTTAATTCAGAAATATTTTAATTATTCACCAGGTTTAAAAAACATGTCATTAGATGCCACTTTAATAAAAACACATTTGATGTAAGTGTCGTTTATTTAATATTTATTTTTCACATGGAGTAAAATAATTGAATTGTGTCATGTTGGCGTGTGCATTAGTAATAATACATATTAATCATTAAAGGCAAAATCTACCTAAAATCTGCTATTGCAATTTAGAAAGAATTTTCAGGAGATGAGCTTAAAATTCTTATTCCTTTGTATTTTTTTTTTACTTTACTACACTATACTATACTACAATGTGCTAATACTACTACACTACAATGTGTACAATGTGTAAATTAGAGTGGCTGAATGTCTCCAAGCCAACATGTGAGCTTCGTGTCTGATTGTAATGCTAGTGTGTTTATGTTAAAGTTGTGATTTCAGCATGGAGTAAATATTGTCATTGGATTAGATAATACATCAAAATGAACATTGCCATTTAAATGTTTAAAGTCACACTGGTGTACAGTATATAAACGTAACGACATGTGTGTATAATTTGCACATGATCATTTTCTGCTCAGAGTAAGGGCCGGTCCAAACAGAGGAGATTACTTTTTATCTTCAGGGAGCTTTTTATCAAACTCAATAATAAACTTTTTGTATTTTCTTGCTTCTTTAACAGCATCAGCTAGTGCTGTGGCCACCTTTCCATCCATGGTGTACGGATTTTTCTTACACAGCTCTTCAAATTTCTTGTCGTCTTCACAGTTAAATAAGTCAATGATGAACCCTCTGTTTATGCCAGCGACTCCTTGCGCCAGTTTGGGATTACAGGTATTTGGGCCGTCCCCCTTAGTGTATGTTTGTGCATTTGTGAGCACACCATTACAGGTTGCACCCTTTGCCAAATTCATCCCAATCAGATGTGACTGATTGGTCATCAGACCTTCACCACTAAGCTTAAATCTCTCCGGAGTTTCGATGATGATGGGATTTTTTATAGGAAATACCGCTTTAAAATTGTCACGTTTCTTCACCTGCCTGATCAGAACCGGTGACTCCATGCTGTATTTTTGTTCATTCTTCTTTTTGTTTATGAAACTCTCCTCTATGGTGTTGAGTCCGTCGCGCACTAGAACGCAGAAATTGGGTTCTGGGTAGTACACAAGGAGAGGATGAACCTCAGCCACGGCTGCACGAACCTCACGGTCCAGCCTACTCGCGGGGTAATGGTCGCTGTCGTGGGTTAACTCATAACCAGTCGACATCACGGTGGGTGGGATGGAGTCTTTTTCTAGCTCCTCTCTCACAATTTGTAAGTATTCACTGTAGATGTAGTTGAACTTGACTGTGTCACTGTCAACAAAACTGAAGTAAATCAGACATCTTGGATCTTTCCCCCTCAACTGTTTCACAAGGTCTTCTGTATCACGGTGATTTTTCAGATGCTCTCGAATATCCTGGTATGGTACTGTACCCTCAGGCACATCTTTTGCTATTTCTCCATCTTTTCCCCAGGTGTATGTGATTATTTTATACTTGATATCTGTGTGTTCATAATCATACGTGAAGTTCTGGAGCTTCTTCAGATCCTCAGCTAGCTTTGAGGTGTGTTTTCCGTTCAAGCCAAAAATCACGGCTGCATCTTCCACTTTTTTGTCGTTCTTATCATTCATAAATTTCTTATTCTCTTTCTTAAAGCCTTCACTTAGAGCATCGAGTAGATATTTACACCTCCTCTGTGCCTGATCCACTGACTCCACCTTCATAGGTATATTGATCAAAAACTTGACCTTTAACCCCTGATGAAGAGACAGAACACACTTATTCTTAGTGAGAAAGCAAGCCATTCTGGTGACTTTTGCGGATTAGACTCATTAACAGTTTGACAATAATTATCAAACTGCTCCTGAGTGTGAGGATGAAAGATTAACAAAAAGATTTTAAAAATTTAAGTTTTGAAAAGTCGCCGTGGTGTAGGAGGAGTTAATCACACCACCTGTAACTTAATCACACCACCTCATCACTGAACATTTGCCTTTATTTTTCACCACCAACATGTGTGTGTTTTAAATGGCAAACTAATGCTGTGATATTTTCAGATTAGATTATCATTGTACTTATTATACATTATATCCCTAATAACAGCAGATGCGTAACTGCTTTTTTTTATTGTACACTGGGTTTATCAGTTACAGCAATCTAATAATCTGTCTATTCAGAGCAGCCTGGAAAATATATTAGCCAGTATATTAGCCAGTATTTCACTGTTTGTAATGTACAGCATAGAATCTATCAGAGACATTATTATCTGTAAGTTCTAACCTGAGCAGAGGGGTCTCTGGGTCTTTTGCTGCCAGCTGGAATCATGTTTGCCATTTGCTTGCTCTTCGTTCCTCCTGTCTAACGAGTGAATCCCGCCTGCTGACCTCAGTCTTATATATAGGACGCGATGACGCTGATTATTTTGATGAGTTGCCAGTAACACCCAGAGTCATTTCTCAGTAAGTCAATGATTCTCTTGAATTCTGAAAGGTGATCATATCAGTTAGCTGGAATAAATTTTAAAACAGCCTCCATAAAAACCATTTTGCAGCCACTCCCAGCAGCCTGCTCCCCTTTAGGAAAGCACTGTATCAGGCAAAAAGAGCAGAGGAGGAAGTGTACGGTACAGTGCCATTATCTGGATGTGAGTCAGCTAGATTACGTAACGTTTCAGAAGAAATGCCTGGATGAAAAAAAAAAAAATGTCGAGTTCCTTAGACAACATTGCACTCACACTCCGATATTTTTGTCTGATCAGATTGCCAGGTGGAGCAGTCTGTGTCTCATCTCTAATGGTTTAATAAAGCTCTAATTCGGAATTCATTCAAGTTAAATGCAAGTTTCTATATTCAGAATGTCAAAATGGTGGCTGGTTTGGGTGCAGGTCTTAACGTCCATCATAAATTCAGATTTGTAAGACTGCAATTAGTTCAGTCATGTGGGACGGCAAGACGATGGCTTCACTCACTGTGTTTTCATGCAAAGATTTCACTCTGACTGCAGAAGTGTTTATAAGAATCCTAAACTCGACACTCTGTATAAAAACCTGTGTTTATTGAATGTTAAGTGTAATCCAATCCAAAGTTACGTGCATTTATTTTAATCTCAATCCTGACAGATATAGAGCAAAAAACAAAGTAAAGTTGTTGGAGCAGAAAGATGAGAGAAGGAAAAATAAGGACGTTTGATCTAAGTGGAGATAATCCTGTGTGCGGTTTTTAAAATGTGTTGCCTAACTTACAAATTCTACTTTCAGGTTGTAATTCCGACTACAAAAACACAAAGAAATCACTTAACTGGGAAATCAACATGGCCGCTCACAGCATCACTTCTTACTTCTTAATGAGTTTCCCTGTATATACACACATTAATCGGTCAGCATACAGACATATTCACTTGTATAAAACTGTAACACTGACTCTGCAGCTCTGAGTTAAATATATAGCGCTCAGCACAGTTAGTTGGCTAACTCGTGATTTTACTTCTCCTGTGTAAATGATGTAATTCTGAGCTCTGATGCCCCGGGTCTGAGGTAAGCTGAACGCAGCATTAGCTCCAGGTCCCCTCGCTCTCGCTGTATGATTAGCGTATCCTCCGGCTCTACTGAAGGTCCTGAAGTCCAGCTTGGTCCTCAGATCCTCATCATGTGTTCAGTCTAAAGCCTGTGCTCTTCCTCCTCATGATCACATGACTGCATCCTCAGCCTGCTACAGACGGCTCGCTACCTCCCGTGTCCGCTGATGTGTCTGTCTCAGAACAAAGAGTTCAGAAAATAAGACTATTATATAGTCTTATTTTTTAATAAGATTATTATAGAGCAGGAATAAAAAACTCAGAGCCTGCAAAGTAATGGTGAAGCAGCTCACAGCGCTGAAATACTGCGCAAAATTGACACCTATCTGTCAGACCCGTACCAAAACTGCTTCAGAAACGTGTCAGATGTCTTTACTGATGCAGTGATCACAGTAAGAAAAGACGAGAGAAGATGGGGAGATGGAATGTGATCTACTTCTGACATTTGGAAAACTGATATTTAAAAAAGCATTTAATTTGATAAAAGCATTTAATTTGATAAATGCTATCACTTAACTGTAGAGAATTTAATTCATCTTCAGAATTAGAATCTCTCTTTATGTTTTGTCAGTGAAATTGTGTGGAAGGTCAGCATGGAGAAGCTGAGAAAGAGGTTTTGCTCTGAAGTCAGACAGCGTTACGGCTTTTAAGGTTCAAAATGCAAATTAAACAGGCTGAAATGATACACAAATTAGGAGATACAATACAGTATATTTTTGTTGATCTTAAAGTGACACCATGTTTTCCCAAAGACATTTTAATCCTTCATCTTTATAGCTGCTGTGATAGACAGACTTTGTTAGTGATTGCTGATGCAGTTTCTGCTCGTCCCCAGTGTTACTCAGAGAGTTGCTCAGGAAGATGACTGTACTGATGATATCTTAATCTTCTCTTTTTAAGAGAGCCTATTCAACATGTCCAATTAGTCCTCTAGACTCTGAAAAACAACACAACTGAGAAATGTGAATTTAATGCTCATAAAATTAGTCCAGACTTCCTGTTCACGCTGATAATCAGAACAGAATCATTTTTATTGGCCAGTAACACTTACAAGGAATTTGACTTGTTGTTTGCTCCAAGATCAATACACATCAATACAATACAAGACAATAATTATTAAATAAAGGTCAGTGCATAAGGAGGTGTAATTGCAAAATGTGAAGCTGCTGTGTTACTCTTCACTGTGGGTCTTTAAAAATAGACACAGGCACATTTCCCCAAACTAAGTGCTGTAGTATGACCATGATGACACCCTAGATGTGTAGAGTGATTTTGGTGGAACTACAGTTTATAGTAAGAAAGTTATTGAATTTTATTGCCAATAAAAAAAAATTAAAAATAGACACAGCCACATTTCCCCAAACTAAGTGTTGTAGTATGACAAAAAAATGAGACTGTAGAGCTGTGTAGTGATTTTGGTGGAACTACAGTACAGTTTATAGTAAGAAAGTTATTGAATTTTATTGTCTATAAAATCCCTTTAATAATAGACTAAGCCACATTTTCCCAACCTAAGTGGTGAAGTCCTACCATAATTGTTATGTCCGTCGGACGGGCGAGCGAGTGAGGTGCGGAAAATCAGGATCGGGGAAGCGGGAGTTGAAAAGCAACGGGGTTTATTAAGGGGAACAATCAGACAAGGGATCACACGACATACAACGTCAGTGACAGACCTGGGGAAACAGACTTGAACGTGGACTACAAGCAGGAAATGCAAAACAGCAGGTAAACGGAAGGAATCCACACGGGGTTAACAAGGTAGGCATGGTCCACATGAGGGCTGAACGATCGATCATGACAATAATATGATTGCAAATGTATATAGTAATTTTGGTGGCACTACAATTGATAGGAGCAAAGTTATTGCATTTTATTTAATAATAATGATTTTTCCCCAAACTAAATGCTGTAGTATGACCATAATGAGAATGTAGAAGTGTGTAGTGATTTTGTTGGTAGTACAGTTGATAGGAGCAAAGTTATTGAATGTTATTCCTAATAAAAAAAAATCTTTAAAAATAGACTAAGGTACATTTCAGCAAACTAAGGGGTGTTTTGGTGGCTCTTCACTAGGGTGACCAGATAATCCATGTCAGGGAGGACACTTTGAGCTACTTCGGGTTTTACAAACTACTTTCAAACTGAAAGGCTCCTGTGCTCGGCTAAATAGTTCAGCTGTTCTTGTGCTTTGACTGGTTTGTTTCCTTGACTGAATGACTCATCCAGCTGTTTCACATTAACATTATTGGCACATGCATGATTATAGGAGACTGACCAATCAGCACACAGCAAGAGCTCAGTGCTCAAGTGAAATCCAGGTCCTTTTAATTGAAATGGTAATTTACAATTCCTGTCCTAGCTCAGAGTGTCCTCCCTGACATGGATTATCTGGTCACCCTATCTTCACTCTTTGGAAGTGTAGTTATTGACATTATCCGTTTTCGTTTTGCACTTTGCAGACGGTCCCTAAGCTCTCCTCTGACAGCGGGCTGCTCATAGGGAGCAATGTTATCCGTAGAGATACAAAAACTGACCGAAGAGGAGGATGTGTGCGACCAGTGTGGCCCTCCCCAGGGAGCAGGTCATTCGTCACACAGACTGCAGCTTCCTCACACTCTCCCTGCTGTAATTACGAGGAGGCGGTCTACAAGATGTGGTAAACGACAAACTGGCAGGTAGCGTACAATCCTGTGTGAGACACTGTCTCCCAACTCGTCACTCAGATGAGAAGGAGTTCACGGAGCTCTTCATATTTATAGAACTTTCCTTCTAACATGGAATTTATACACATATCTATATTGAGTCTTAAGATTTTGTGATGGCAACATCAATATATAATCATCAATACAAGTATATATATATACTTGAAATTGAACAAAAAACTTTTTTGCAGAAAACTCAGTGATCAGAATTAGAGAACAGCAATGACTGTAGCATGAACAAAGATCACAAGTAAATTTTCTGAAGGTTGCAAAAGTAAAAAATTAATAGAAAGAGTACAGGCCGTTGCTTTGAATGACTTCAGCACATCTGCAGCCACAGGACATCACTAGTCTCTCACACAGCTCTGGTGAGATGTTGCTCCACTCTTCTTGCAGTCTTCTCCACAGTTCTGTAACTGTACTGGGTTTCTTAGCCATAACTTTGTCGCAAAGGATTTTCCAGAGGTGTTCTATTGGGTTTAGATCAGGACTCTGGGCTGGCCATTTCATAATTTCAATGTTTTCATTTTCAAGGAACTACTTTACCTGTTTTGCTGTGTGACAGGGGGCATTGTCCTGCATGGAAATTGCTGGCTGATTGGGTGATGAATGTGATAAACATTTGCATTCACCCTGTCATGTAGCTGTATAAGACGCCCAACTCCTGGTGCAGAAAACATTCCCCAAAACATGACACTTCCTCCTCCACCTTTCACTGACTTCTTAACACAGTTGGGGTTCAGTCCTTCCGCAGTCTGACAACGAGCATAATATTTCCCATCAGACCCAACTAAATTAAACTTGCTTTCATCACTAAAGTGAACTTTGGACCAGTTCTCCTCTGTCCACACAACATGCTCCTCAGCAAAGGCTAGTCCAGCCTTCTGATTCTTCCTGCTTATGAGAGGTTTGGTCACTGCAGAGTAGGCTGTCAGTCCAAATGCTCTTAAACGTTGAGACACTGTATGAGGAGCCAGATCCTTACCCCGTTCAGCGCTGAACTGGCGAGCAATTCCAGCTGCAGTGTTGAAACGATTCCCCATTGACATCCTCCGCATTATCCTGTCCTCTCTTACGTTTGTCTTTCATGGACGACCAGCCTTCTTGGGGGACTTGAATGAGTTTTTGACATTGTAAAGGTGCAATATTCTAGAAATCGCAGATTTGGAATGGCCAGCTTCTCTTGCTGTGGCTGATAGGGTCATTCCTTTGACCTTCATCTGGACAACGGAGGGTTTCAGTCACTTTAGAACGGCTTGACATCTCACAAAGTCATTGATAACTGGAAAGTTAGACTGCCAGTTAAATAGGGTTTGTCAGATAATTAAAGAAATTAGCACAAGCTGCCAGATTAAGACCAATAACTGAGAGGTACCTGAAAGTGTTCTCTAATTTTGATGTGTGATCTTTTTCAAATATCTCATTTAAGTTTCTTATACTGTGCTTCTGAATGTATGTAACTCATGACATATGGTTGAAATACTGCTGTTTTACTCCTGTTTGGATAAATTCCAAATAGAACTACGTAGTGACCTTGACATTTAGGAAATTGTAGGTTGTTCTCTAATCTTGATCTCCAGTGTGTGTGTGTGTGTGTGTGTATGTGTATGTGTATATACAGTATATATATATATATATATATATATATATATATATATATATATATATATATATATACGGGTAGGTATGTGTATATAGTGTTCAAAGACCTACAGTGATTGATTTGACTCTTTCAGTTTCATAATAAATTGGGGAGTCAACTAGATATCACATATTAATCTGTCATAACGACTTATTCAGTACAGGACTGCACACTGCAGCCTATCTCAGAAAACACAAGGCAGACTACACCCTCGTTGGGGTGACAACGATATTTCAACAGTTTGTCACTCTATTGGCACTAATCTCTCTTTCCCAACATGCAAAACTCATGCTGCATGCAAGAAAAATAGTGCTTTTCCACCCAGGAACTACATTGCCATGACAGATTTTTTATTATTCTCTTTAGAGACTATATTCTCTAAAATATCACTTAAAACCAGTGCATTATAAAATGTGTATATTACCAAATGCGAACTGCACTTTAAAACCCATTAAGAAAATGTATTGCATAGATAGGAACTTCACAATTCAATAAATTCATTAGTTACTGCAAACATTTAATCCATCCATTCAGCGTCCAATGCTTTTCCAGTAGACAGTCATGGTAGGAAAGTTAAATAGTTGCATTTAACATTGTATTTTATAATGGATATAAATTCTTTAAAATGTCTAAAAGGCCTATTTGAATACAAAACAAAAAATCTGGTTTATATGGGACACCAATTTAGATATAAACAATAAGTAATCTTTTCAAAAATTGATTCAGAATCTAAAGATTTCTACGAGCACAGTTGGTAGCTTAAAAACTACAAAGCAGCTTTTAACTTTGACTTAGTATCTCGTGATTGCAAAATTCTGTGGTTGCATCGCATCCTCTTGTATCACATTCTTGGGTTGGAGTTGCTGGGAACAACAGCAGGGGGCGCATTACCGTGTAGCTCTGCCATATCTGAGCTCTGCAGTATGGAAATGGATTCTTTTCCGTACATAGTCAGTGCGCATGCGTCTTATCTTCCGTAAATTAATGTTTGTAGTATATTATCAGTATTTTAATATAGTCAAGTATAGTGATTTTTAAATAAATATCATACATATTTTGATATTCGATGCTAAAACATCATTTATAAAGACGTTTTGACCTTTGACGCATGCGTGTCGAGACCGGAAAAACACCTCGGAGGCCCGCTGTCGCTCTTCTCTGCCCGAGACTCAAGCGGAACCGACGTTTCGTGTCTTTTCAGACTTAAAGTGAGTAATTATGTCGGCTTTTTTTTGTAAGACACCAGCAGCGTATTGCGTCTTTTAATAGCTGTATAATAGCTGTATATTCAGGCGCTGTCTAGCTTTCGGGGTATTTGGCAGGAAAGTAAGTAAGCTAGTGTTTGTCTGACATGTGATGTGTCACCGGAGCTCGGGCCCCCATTTTATAGGCCAGCGAGCAGTTTAGTTTCTGGGCCGTCAGTTTAATCTGATAGTAACTTCGGCAATGTTTATGTATAAAAATAAGCAAGTATATTTACGGGTCCTGTAATGCCATGACAGTTTTGTGAGCATACTGTCTTTCTGAATATCGGCAGTAGTATCTATGGTAGGAATAGAAATATCGCTCGGTCCGTCACTTTGGATTAGTTCGAACAGATTACAGTAACGCATGCCAAATGTTTATTTAAATTATGGTGATAGCCTTAAAGCTGCCATTTCTTAGTGTTCGGAATCATTAATACTGCATTTTCCAGTGCTTAATTTTGTCACTTGACGTTGTGGCTATAACTATTTTGCTGTCCCCCCCCCCCGGATCTCTGCAGCATGCGTTACGTGGCCGCTTACCTGCTGGCTGTGCTCGGGGGCAACAGCAGCCCCTCGGCCAAGGACATCAAGAACATCCTTGGCAGCGTCGGGATCGAGGCCGACGATACACGTCTGAACAAGGTGAGGGCAGCTTCTCGGTGCATGTTGGTGGTGTGTGACTTTGGCTAATAATTCTACGATCTAATGGTTTTGCTTCATTATTAAACTGGTCTTTGAAATATTTTTTCTTCAGGTCATCAGTGAACTGAATGGAAAAGACGTGAATGAAGTACTGAACGCAGGTGATTGGCGGTGTTGTAGTGCCTGGCTTTGTTTGACATTGCAAAATGCACATAATTATGCCAGACGTCGAACACATCACCGAAGTAGTATTTTTAAATCTAATATTTGTAGAGGCGCACCCCGGGATGTGCGGACTTAAATTCTTCTCTTCATCCTATCTTTAGGCCTGTCGAAGTTAGCCTCCGTGCCAGCAGGTGGCGCTGTAGCTGCTGCCTCGGCCCCTGGAGCAGCTGCTCCTGCTGCTGCTGGAGCTGCTCCTGCTGGTAAGCCATATGTTATTGTACACCTGTAATATATACACATACTAAAACTTATGCTGGTGAAGCTTGTATTTTTTTTTTCCTTTTTTGGGCAGGGGTGGGGAATCCTTTAGTACGTACATGAAAGGGTAGCACAGATTTCCATTTGTAGAGAAAGGTAAATGTATGCTTTCTCTTGCAGCAGAAGAGAAGAAGGAAGAAAAGAAAGAGGAATCTGAAGAGTCCGATGAAGACATGGGCTTTGGCCTTTTCGATTAACCTTTCTGTATTTCAGAAAAAGCAATAAAAATTAAGTAAAAGAGTTCTGTGTGTGTGTGTGTGTGTGTGTGTGTGTGCGTGTCCGTGTCCCTGTCAGTCGTCCAGCTATCCAGAAATGTTATGATTTTCACATCCTGTCTTAGAATGCTTTGGCGATGCATCTAGTTTTTTTTTTCTTTTTTCTTTTCAGTCAAACTTGCCAATACTACAGGTCTGTAATAAGTATCTGCTCATGTTTTCCAATTAGAGTATCAAAATTAACACAAGAAATAATGCAAGTAAATAATACGTTATGACTTCAAAATGAATGCCAACGCATCTTTGATGGCCCTACATTTAACATTGATTATTTTTACTTGTTGGCCAGCTGTAGTACAATTTTTGTTGTACTTGCCCTTGATCTAATTTACTTGCCTCAGATGATTGGGTGAGCGTAATTTCCAGCCCTGTCTGTTAGTATGCTATACTACATGAGTGACAATTCTGTAAATATATTTGGTTATCTTAATTTCACAAGTGAATATGTAACTCAGAAATCTAATTTGTCAAATTTAACATTATTTGCTTGTTATACAGGGGCTCGATGAGTGTGAAATTGTGACTCTCTGTGTCATGAAACAATTGTGTTTTTATGAAAAAACAACTTAAATGGTATTTAAGTATTCAGGGATGTTGCACCGGGGCTGTGACTGTACTGGTTTTGGAAGTTCAAAGAGCCCCTGAGGTTTAAATTAATAAGCATTCTTGATGTGTACAGATTATATTATTGGTCATCTGCAGTATGTAATGGAAAGTGGCTCTCACAGATAGACAATAAAGTCACCATACTGTACGATAGCTTAGTGCCCACAACATATAAAGAGCATTTTAGGAGATATGAACAAACAGGCTGCATTGTTTGATTAAACTTTTGTTACGCTTCAAGCATCTAAAAGTAAAGAAGAATTAGGAAAATATATCTGTTGTTCCTGTATTGGGGCAGCATGAGGATCTGTTACCTCATAACTATAGGGCTGATGGTTTGAAATCTGCCCTGCTGTGTGTATTTCTGTGTGTGTTTGTGTTTGTAATATCCCCACAATGTGATAACAACCTGTAACTTTTTACCATGTGGGGACATGTTTTGCTCACCACAAGGAAAACCTCAATTTTATAAAAATCTGTGAATGCAATCAAAAAAAATTAATGACCAAAAGTCTTGTACAGTACTTTGTTTGCTTACTTATGGTTAAGGTTAGGGCTGGGTGGGGGTCATCATAGTTGGGATTAGGGTTATGCCCATAGAAATTAATTGAGAGTTGTGAAGATATGAATACAGAGATTGAGTGTGTGTGTGTGTGTGTGTGGAGTTTCTTCTCCTTCTACCTGTATCATGTGAGTTTCCTCATTCCAACGATGTGCATTAGGCTAATTGCTAATTGTCTATATGGTGTGCATGTATGTGCAGGCGATTTTACGGGGGGTGCAGGGGGTCAGATGAAAATGCTATATGAACAGTTTTATCTAGTTAAAATGCAATTTGTTGATATCAGGAATAAAATTTGAACTAGTTGAAAATCCAATTTCTTATATCAGGAATTGAATTGTAATGGTTTTAATTATAATTAGTTATAATCAAATTCCTGAAATCAGAAATTGGCATTTTTAAATTCTAACTCCCATTGAAATTAATGAGAAAAACGTGTTGTATCTCCCAGCTAAAATGAGATGAATTTCATATCGAGAAATGGCATTATAATAGGTTACAACTTAATTTGTAATATTGCCATAAACCTCAAACAAGCTTCCTGGGCGTGGAATCTGTCTATAGCAGAGCATGAAGATTGTAATTTATTGGAAGGACATGTAGAGTAAGATTTACACTGTGTAGTGCGACTGACTGTCTACCACGTGAGAAATAAGAACATAAGAAATTTACAAACGAGAGGAGATCAGGCTCGTTTGGGGAGAACTTAACTATAACAGCTCAGAGTTGTTAAAATATTATCTAGCTCCGATTTAAAGGAACCCGGGGTTTTAGTTTCTGCTACCCTAGCAGACCACTTGAATACTGGATAAAGCAGGTTACTCATCAGTGTCACCGCTTCCTGCCTGCAGAGGGAGCTCTTTGTCAGGATATTTCTCAATGGAACGAGACAAACCAACCAGTGCAGTAGCGCGTACCGACAGTAAGAATTGTCGATCGGGGGGGTTATAGCAGACGGTCCTTGGCCAGACCCCTGGGAGAGACCAGGCTTATTTGTTTTAGGATTAACGCCATGGAAAAAAATTGTATCCATGGCGGGTGGGGGAGCAGAACGGCTTATTTAGGGGAGGTGTGGCCCGTGATTCCCTCCCCATAACACAGACACTGAAATCAACAGAGTATAATCCAGATGGTAATGGGTTTGATTATTACCTCCGTATCAGGGAAGACACTCATGCAACTTACTTTGATATGTTCTTATTTGGTTACAATTTACATTAAGTGCACCTTCATAATGCGTCTATAATACATTCATTGTACACTAATACAAGGTTGCCAACTGTCACACATCTGACGTGACCATCATGCTTTGAGACTCTCTCTCTCCAATATACACCTGTCAGATTTAATATTGGCTGTGGCACTACTGTAACAACAGGTTTAAGTGCACAAGACAGGCTGCTGTGCCAGACCAATGAGACTGACCTCATTGCTGCTAGGTACTTTCAACTGAAGCAGCACACCGAAAAAAGGTCACTGGGGCTTATTAGATATGGCTGCACATAACTCACATGACTAAGTGGCTAAATCTCTTCTTATTTCCATTCACAAATGTGAAGATCCATCCATCCACCATCTGCTTTTCCCGGTCTGGTAAAGTTCCCAGTTAATTTAATTTCATAAGTAAGTTAATATTACAAAATTCAGTACACAGGAAGAGTTTGTAAACCATTTATAATGAGCAGGGTTATGAGTTACACATAGTTTGTATTATCATGACTAATACTGACATTAAAAGTCAACATTTAGACAAGGTGTAACTGTCTGCACTGCTTTTGCTAACACTAACATACAATTAAAGTAACAAATAATTAAAATAAGCAAATAAATAAATAAATAAATAAATAAATAAATAAGCCAATAAATAATAAGAAAACATACTCTTATTAAAAATGTACATCCTGTGTACGCCAGCATACACAGAGCACTATTAAAACAGTTCAAGTTGTTTTTTTTAGTATGACTGGTCAGATTATTCGATCTGACACTGAACCTAGAATGCTGTTCATTCTTCAGAGCACACTTCATATCCGACCATTTAAAGATACGTAATTTTTCATCATTCATTTAACAGGTATGTTATGCAAATTTCGATAAATCACATTTAATTTAATTTCAAGTATTTGGCTGTAATAAAATGGTAACCAGTTTAAATTGATTGAAATATGAGCAATACATTAAAAAGTTTTCACTGGTTACCCAGTTTTTTTTCTTTCTTTCACCATGTCATTTCCACAAATGTGCAAATATAGCAGAATTCAGGTGCTTCTCAGTGTGTGACGTGACCAGGAAGGAGGATGAAAACATCTTTTGTTCTTCCTTTCATTTATGGATGGCTAGGAATGCAGCTCCGCAACAATCAAGTCAAGAAGAACACAGCGTAGCACAATGGTCTATAGGTAGACTAGTGACTTTGTCAGAGCAACAGCATTTGTAACAATGTGTCTTTGCTGCTTGCACTGATCCACCCATTCCGCTTAATTGGCAAATCCTGTTTTGATAGCAGTTTGTGATCTTTGTGTCATGTTGAGGTTAAGCTGTAAATCCAACATTTTTAGTGATGAAGATGTGGAATCAGTCCCTCATTGCATCAACATAAATCTTTGTGTCTAGTCCAGGTCTGGAATATCTGCATCTTGTTCTTGAGATTCCTACAATCATACAAAAACACAAGAATCAAGTAAACCATCAAGTCATGCTTTCAACAGCTTAGTTGTTTATTGTCCTGTTATATTAGCCTAATATTACTGATCATTAGGCTTACATACTACTTTCAGGTTTCTATTACATCGTTTGCAAATGAGCATCAATAATATCCAAAAAGATGAGGTATTTTTTACATAAAAAATGTTAAAATATATTTTAATTTGTATCAGTATTGGAATATTATCTAAGAGAAAAGTGTCACATTTCACTTCCTGTCCACTCAATAAAAAAATCAAGGTGTGGTTACAGTATCTATCTTTGATGTCACAGGCACTCACAGGTATCCTGTGGTAATCCAGGACTCGCAAGATGTGTGACATTTAGTGAGTTGTTGCACAAAAAGGAATAAAAAATGGCGGCTTTGCATCTAATCACTCTGGGCATCACAACAAACCAGAGAGCTTTAGGGCACCGATACATCTAATCTCCTGCTGAACCTTAAGAGCATTTTGAACTGATAATTCAAAGTTGTGGTATGCAGGCTAAATTTGACAACCACGTGGTATGAAAGTGTAGCTGACAGTAATATTTGCGTAAAAAAACTGTATAGAGTGAAGAGTGGCACATCCAGCAAAGTCACCATATTGTTATAAAATGGAATTACTGTATGAATTTAGAAAAGTCGTTTATAAAACAGACTCTCTGATTACGTTTGGCTCATAACCAGAAAAAATGCTTTTGCTTAATTCAAAAAAATCTCTACTGTTAATATTCTAAAAAAAATATTCTGTAATTGTCTTAAATTACATATCCAGGTATATCATTCCAGTTAAGACAGCAGTAGGTTGGTAGGGAAGCCCCCCCCCCAGCCCCCAGCCCTCTGTGCTTACTGTGCTCGTGTCATTCTTCTGCATGTTGATCTGAGTGAAGCGATCGTGGAGGTACTGGATCCCAAAGTCCACAATCCGGCAGAGAGCGTTGTTATAAAGGAGAGCCAACTTGGCGGTGAAGTCTAGGGTGAAGGCGAAGCGGACCAGGGCCGGGTCACCAGTGCCGGCAGGCAGCGGCTCCGGGGTTTCCCCTTCCACGTAACAATCAGCGAGCTGCTGGAAGTAGCCGTAACAGAGCATCTGGTAGAAGGTGTTCACATTGCTGTTCTTCGCCAGCTGAGGAGAGAACGAAAGATGCGTGTCATGTGCAATTCTTTGCATCACATGGGGGACCCACTTAGGTAAACCCAAAAAGGCCGTTTCCTTTTCCGCTGCTACCATCAACATTGTATGCTCAAGCATCACCCATATCGGCACAGAATGCTCAGATACTGTACAATCAAGGGTGTAGGTTTGGTTTCAACATTGGTGGAGATCAAACCAGCCCTAAACCCCGCCTCCTTTAACACATGTGGTACTCCCAACAGTACTTACAGGGACACGTCCCTAACCCAAATCTATGCACTTGGAAAGAATAGTCAATTTTGTCAAAAGAAGCCTGCTGGAACTAGAATTAATGTGCACTAATTCACCAGCCTGCCCGCAGACTGTAACAATATTCACATTGTCTTCTCCTTATTCATCTATGCATTTCTTTATCGTTCATGGGTCAGTTTGCTGCCGGGAGCCGGGAGGGAGCACAAACATGGACTGTCTAGGGCAGAGGTCTCTAACTCCAGTCCTGGGGGGCCGGAACCACGAATTACCACACAGCTCTTGAGCTGAATCATTTGTGGTGGAACAGGGAAAGAATTAAGCTACACTGGGCCCTTGCCCCCCAGGACTGCAGTTTGACACCCCTGGTCTAGGGGGTCTCCGAGGTCCAGATTGGGAAACTCTGCCCTAGATGAAATGCCAGTCCATTGCATACACACACACACACACACACACACACACACACACACATACACACACACAACCATACAGCCACTCACATTGAAATTCTTTGGGCAATATTTTGATACCAGTTCACCATACTGTATTTCATTACATGTGAAAAATGTGCAAAGTCTATCTGGACTAATTCACTAATACATTTAACTTCTGGTTTAGAAATTCTCTTAAGGTACTGCGTATGTGCAGTATGTATAGTCTTGTTTTTTTACTGTGTGTTCTCTCTTCTGTTTGCTGTTTTGTCTTTTGGGGCTTTTATGCTTTTATTTTATAATAACTTTAGGAAACAGGTGGCACAGATTTTATACATTATGACTGAACAACACTGACCTTTTCATCAATGTCATTTCCTTGTTCTTTTAAAAGTTCAACAATTTTCTTTATTATTTCTTCTTCTGAAAAAGAAAGCAGTCGAAATGATGAATTGTCTCTAGCGCAAAGTTGATCATTTCACTCTCTGCCGATTAACCTTTTTTATGTTTATAAACATTCAGACGTAGGCTCTGCACGTAACCAAATACATGTGAGCTGGTCACAGGCTACCAAAACGAGGACAGTATGCAAAAAATAAAAGAGACACTAGCTTATTTCAAATTTCTAAGAATAAAGCTAACCATTTCTGCAGAAAAGCATATCAGTATTTCCAAAGAAAGCACAGATTATAGATACGGAAAATTGTTCAGCAAATTTTGCCCTGAAAACCAATTTAACAGTTTATCTGGCTATTTGTGTAAAACCACAGTAGGCCTGGACTTGCCATCTGGGTCACTTTTCATGTAACTGTACATGTTATTGAGGCATATTTGGGGGCGGGGGGAACCAGAGTACACATGTGAAAGCCCATGATAACACAGGGAGAACATGCAAATTCCACATGCATGGAACCCTGGCAGACATTTGAACCCAGGTTCTGCAAGTGTGAGGTGACAGTGCTATCCACTGCGCCACCATGCCTCCCCTCCCCGCGCACAGTTCTATACCCAAATTGATAAATGGGTGAAACTGAACATTTTGCTGTGATCTCATTTTTGTTTCAGAGCTGCATACACCAGGGCTGCCAACTCTCATGCATCTAGCGTGACACTCACACTATCAGACTCTAATGCTCGTGCAAGAAATCTTGCGGGAAATTGATATTATTCCATTACAAACTTAAAATTAGCTACATCGAAAGTGTTGAGGCAGTCTGTAAACCCTACAGTCTATTTACAATGTGATGAAACTCTAACATACATGCAAATGTGTGTGTGTGTGCTTGTGTGTGTGTGTGTGTGTGTGCAGCATTGTCTCGAATTGAAAATCTAACTCCAGTCAGCTGATCAAACTGGCAACTCTGCTACTCACATGTACGTACTTCACCCCGTTGTGCATGAACCACAAAGACATAGTTTTTCTCTGTTCATCTAGTTTCAGACTGCAACTGAAAAGCTGGTTTTCGGTGTCAACTTTCTAAGCGTATTATCTAATTGTTTGTTTGCAGAAATGAAGCAAATCCACAGCAGAAGGTTCTTACCTGTAGCTGCTCTAATGCTCTTCTCAAAGACTTGTGCAACAGTCGTGTAACCTTCAGTCCTCGGACTCTCTTTGACCTCCTTCACGATGTTCGCTAGCTCCTCTGATACCGTCTCGTAGTATGCATTAGGGGGCTCCACACTTAAGACTGCAGGAAAACATCAAAATTTTATGTGAAGATTCTTATGGTTATTGTAAAATTCCTTATTTGAGAATGTATCAAACCTCTTTATCTAGCTACCGCCCCAGCTAGGATGTGTGCCATCACAGTAGGCACTACAGACTTATTTGTGACAACAGAAAAGCACCACTCACTGTTGAGCTTGTGGTCAGCGTCGTACCCTGCCAGAGGGAAGGGCCGGTTTACTGGGGTGAATTTGGCCTCTTGGTTGCCACTGCTCTTGAGGGAGTTTTTCCTCGTGCTCTTTTTTCTCCCTAATTTCTCCGGCTCAGACTCCACTTCCTGCTTTTTTCCGCTGGCATTCCTGGAGAATAGGCCAGCAATGCATTGCAAGATTTTCTTCCTCTTGCTGATCTTCTTGGGCTTCTGCTCTGGTTGGGCGACGGGTTCCAGCGGCTCATCTTCCTCGGCGGGATCTGGCTCGGTGGGCCCCACCTCCGCTGTGCCATGAGGTGGGCAAACAGTACAGAAACTATCGTGCCCCCCGATTCTGGTCTGCCTTGCGACCAGTGAGGACCATTTGCCGGGCTTGGCCCTGGGTGTCTCGAACCCAGGCGTCTCCGGAGTGAGGCTCAGGCTGCGCTTCACGTATGTCTCCAGAAGCCGCGTTGGGTGCTGTGACGGAAAGGACAGCACCTGAGGACGGGGGCCTTCATCACTCTCCATTAGCTGCAGGATGGGATGTTGGCAGCTGAAGAAAGCAGAGAGATCGTTCTCAGGACCCAGCTAGCAGATATAGCTGTCTCTCACTCTCTCTGTAATGAATAGTTTAAAATAACAGTTACAAATGTGCATAGTCCTGTGCCTTTAAATTTATATATAAATATATATAAATAAAATATATACAGTACTGTGCAAAAGTCTTAGGCAGTCAAATGAAATGTTTAAAGCTACAACTGTACGTGTCTTAGAGACATTATCTACTCTCCTGAGCAAAACAACAGGGTCAAACCCAGATTGCACGACATTAAGCTTTGGCCCATTTTTTGCCCAGGGGTGTATTTTACTCAAAATGTATAAATAATTCATAATGAATAATAATTAAACACTGGTGAATTAAATTATAGCCTAATTAAAGAATTTAAAAGTAAATTAAAGTTAATTAAGTCATGAGAGCACAGATAGAAATGATTGATTTGATTAATTAAAATAATAGTTGATAATGTAAATATTTTAATTTTTTATTTTAAAAATCCATTTCGATTAAGAAATCATTTTAATAAAGTGATCATTATCGGAATCAGTTCTATTGTCGTCGTTTACGACGAGGAGACTCACTCTTACAAGCGGGACCGTGTTCGTGTCGCGGTTCCCCAGCTGAAGTAGCAACGCAGATTCCTGACCTACAGGTTCTTCGTACTGCAGCAAGTCTTTTATAGTGCTAGTGAGGTTTTTCCCATTTGATGTAACATATATCCAGGAAGGAAACAGTAAAAGGGTGTGGTGTTTACGCACCTGATGGCTCACTGCTGTAATTAAACTATAATAACAATATTTATACTGATGCTGTAATTCATTATATCATAATGGTCAAATTTCAGTTCACCCCACATTTATCATTTATATATGATACAAAAAATACTTTTATGTGTATGAACTTCCTCGCGTGTACAAAGCTGTTTGGCCAATAAGGTGTCTTCTTCTCTGTTAGGTGTTGTCTGTTTTATTAGACTTTATGCCTACAGTGTGCTATGGATGGTGAAACTCTTAGGTGTGGCCAAATATATTGAAATTAGTTTCCATATATTTGAAACACCTGCTATTGCTGAATATAATGTCTACTGCCTTAAAATGATGACACTGTAGTTCTGGTTTAGCCAGTTGCCACAGTGCTTCAGGACAGGGCAGGTCGCAAGACTTGCAAAACGTTCACAGTGGCTGACACTGATTGAATGATGATTGAAAGAGAATTTTCAAGATAATGTAATGCTGCGCAATGTCTTTTGCTTTATACATGAAACAAAGATGTCAGTTTATAAATTTTTATGGGCAGAGTAAATAATAAGTAAATTATGGTAATTGGGCAGCTGGCCTGGGCGGCACGGTGGTTAGTACTGTTATCTCAAGCTTCTGGGATCTGGATTCAAGTCTCCATCTGGGTTCCATGTGTGTGGAGTTTGCATGTCCTCCCCATGTTGTTGTGGGGTTTCCTCTGGGTACTCTGGTTTCCCCCTACAGTCCAAAAACATGCTGAGACTTACTGGAATTACTAAACTGCCCATGTGTGTGAATGTCCCCTGTGACGGGTTGGCTCCCTGTCTTGCACCTTGTGATTATAGTTTTTTTTCAGCGGCAGTGATGTCAGTCAAAGAGCACAGAAAGTAATTGCCCATGACCTACGTATGCAAAGCCATTGTTGCTTGACTAGTTCCTCAAATTGCACCGACACATGAATAATAGTTCATAATCAATGTGTTGTTTTCATATTGCTCTTTTATTTTGTCCTGTGACAGTTTTCTTTTTTCTTCTTTAGATGCCCCCCTCATGCTGCCAACAAGCCCTCCTAAATTTCACATATTATTTGCTAGAAAAGACATTTATTGACTTTCACTACATAGCCTGAAACTGAGAACCTCGAAGAAGACCATCCATCCTGAATGCCAGGTCTTCCGTCCACTGGCCTCTGAGAACTTAAGGCAGCTCACTGCAGAAAACAGGTAACCAGTGGGGCTGGGGGCCACTCACTGGACAAAAAGCAGCCTTATCTGACTGGGACCCGGAAACCAAAAGTAAAGCTGAAACTCAGCAACTAAGACACGCACAGAAAACCCAAGAACAAGACAAGAGCTGCCCAGCACACCGGCTGTTGGACTCTCACTAATGAGGACCACGAGTCCAGCAGCAAGACACCGGCCAACCAGGGCGACAATATATAAAGCACTTTAAACAACCTGTACAGGACCAAAGTGCTGTACAGTAAATAAATTAAGAAAAATAGATAAAACAAAACAGCAACAAAAAAAATAAGAACAAAATAAAACACGTAATAAATAACAGATCTATATTAAAACAATAATTATATATATAAAAAAAATGACCAGGCTGTATTACCCGATTACTGATCTGGAACAGGTGTGACACACAGTTTACCAAAATCATACCCACAAAGCCTAAAATCACAGTCCCAAAACCTTAAAGGAAAAACTCACTGAAAAGAAATCATGACAGTGCTGGGGTAAGCTGTATTTGCATAATGCCACTCCAAAAATAATTTTGAAAACCACGGTTTGAATACATGGCAATGATTATAGCCAAAATCTAATTGTCACAGGAAGTGCTGTTAAAAATAACAATGCTGCAGTGCAGTAGGCCTATGGAGTACAACAAACTGTAAAATGCGGTATGAGAATCCAAAAAAAACATGCAGATACCTCAGGTATTATCATGCCGATCACGTGCTTTTGACCATCGTCTGCATCACAGCGGATGTGTTCCCTAACCCCACAGCGGAAGAAGTGACGGATCCATCCCCGACAAGCCTCGGCAGTGATGTCATCCTAGGCTGCTTTCAGTGCTTCAGGATGACTCACCTGGTCTTAAAGGTTCCCATCTTCTGTCATGTTTGCCAGCTTATGCTGTCAGTCCACTGCAAATGATGTGAAATGCGGCAGCATGTCTGGTATTTAATCAGCCAGAGTTCTCTAATGTTCCGCGCCTCCTTGTCTCTCTTCATTGGCCTCCTATAGGAACTCGCATCAAGTTCACGGTTTCGGTTCTGGCCTTCAGGTCCATTAATGAACAGGCACTCACCTCCTTCTTCAAGGGGCTCCTTAAGACCTACATCCAATTGGGCTTTTTTACCGGCAAGCCAACGCCATTTGGAAATTCCTTCAGCATGCGAGAAGTACCACTCCAGATGGTTCTCTTGTGTGGTTCCCCGATGATGGTGTCATCTGGTCATCAGACTGCCTCTCTACCTTCAAGAAAGGCCCATCTGTTCCAGGAATTCCTCCACTAACCAGTTATCTCCCTGTTTTCTCTAAATGTTCTTAACGTTGCACTTCTCATCATTGAGTTGTCTTAGGTTCTTGCTTTGTTGGAAGATGCTGTAGTACATTTGTACATTCATTGGAAGCTCAGCCTAGCCACACTTACGCCTAGTCAACTTTTCTATGGCACATATGTTTGTAATGTGCTATTTGCATGATTTGTATTTCACTTTGGACAAAAGCACCTGCTAAATAAATAAAATTGTTAAATGCAAATCATACAGCCCATTGAGGAATTACACAAGTAACACAGTGCTGCATAACGTAACATGGTGATGGAGCCCCATTGGCTAGAGCTCTTTGCCCAATAATATTCCTGCTTGTAAAAAGCCTTTTGGTCAAAAAAAAAAAAAAAAAAAAAAAAGCCTTTTGGTCAAATTGAATCTAGTGTCATATTCATCTGGTTCAGAATTCAAATCAAGCTGGAGTATTTTCTAGAAGATAAATGATTGAGTTACTGTTTGACAATACGTAGCTAACAACATCGTGAAATTGCAGAATGCTGTTAAGTGAAACTCACCTGTATGTACTGTATGAAGGTCACATATCTTTCACGTGGTCCATGTTCCAAACCTGTGTTTAATTAATCAACTTGATTGCTTCATTCATCATTGCATCAAAGCTGGATGTAGCGAAACGTCATATGTTATGGAAAATTAACTGTACCATGAGACTTAGCTGTTTTCATTGGGAAATATCCTTATTATAGGTTTACCAACTCAGATTCTCAAATAGTGATGGCATAGCTCATGACACTCTTTACCAAAATCACTCATCTCATTTGATATCTACTGTATCAGCTTCTTCCTTGTCCTCTGGATTTGCAGTGTCTGGGGGATCAATTGATTACGTGGTGAATGAATTCAATCAAGGTGTATAACTAGTTTCAAACATCATTTTTACTGTGTGATATTATCTATTATCATTTAACAAGCTTTGGCATGACTTTTCCTCTGCTGCCTAATACTGTGGGGCAGTCTGTGGCTCAGCCGTTACCAACAATCGCTCCAGGTGTCCTATGACTCTGCCTTCTCAGTTGTAGTTTACTTTGGATAAATCTGACTGCTAAATTAATAAAATGTAATATGTGCAACCAAACAGCCCTCCGCATTATTTTGAATAAGTACAAATGCATGATCAGTGTTCAGAAACAGATTGTTTGTAGTGTCTCTGTATGTTTTGCATGTTCTGTTCATTGTATGGGCTGTTTGTCCTGCAGAACAAAGACACAGAGTTAGACATTTGTTGACTAAATTGCCCACAGTGTATGATTGTGTATGTTTGAGTCAATGTTCCCTGCAATGGACTGCATGTAGCCCTGCCTTCTGCCCTTTGGTGCCTGGGATAGGTTATAGCCCGCCCGCCCAAGACCCCGCTCAGGTTCGAAGATTGATGGAGTGTGGATGCAGAATATTAGTTATGCATGATGATGATGCGCGGAGTACAATTTAAGATGGGAAGAAATGGCTCGATCTACACAGAGAGCTTCCCAGCGATTTTTGAGAATAAAATGAAATGAAATGTTGATGCAGCTATCTTCCCCAGAAAATTAATGTAAAATCCTACTGCAGTCTTGAGAAGTTTACTGAGTGTAATCTGAACTCTAATCTGCCAAGATCAGCAGTCTTGGGCGAACAGCAGGTGGCACTTCTGAGCACCTATGGCTCGGAATGTACCGCATTCTGTTTAAGGTTCCAAGGTCACTAGTACATTTAGAAAAGAGAGACCCAGAACTCAGTACCCAGTGTTCTTTATTTGTCATTTTTTTATTTCACCATTTTAATAATATAAATGGATTTTTTTATATGTCTTGTACATTTGGCCAATGTCTAGACCAATGTGTTTGCCCTTTAATTCCTTATTGGCTGCACACACAAATAAATGCCACTCATTTCCAGAATAAATCAAGTTCATCGGTTAATTAAATTCATTGCAGTTTAAGGATCAAAAACCTACCCGGTGTCAAATCATGCACAATACTGTGAAATTCAAGCAGATACATATCGGAATTATACTTTGCATATGACTTTGCAGAGATTTCAGATGAGCTCAGCACAATTGCTGTGAAACTTCACAGCAGTCATGTGACACTGACCGATGAGACAGCTCATATACGTCTGTTTATTCTCTCTGCTACTGAAACTCTTTATTTGTATTTATTTTATTTTTATCATCTTTGTGGAGCACTTTCATCATCATCATCACTTTCAGCTGCATTCATTTGTATAAAATTGCAATATATTATTATTATTACTATTATTATTATTGTTGTTTTTATTGCTATTATTATTATTACTCTCCATAAGTGATCACAAAAGTGAAAGAGAGAACTGAAGTTTCTTCAGCTCTTCTCTCTGTTTTCCCTGTTTTTGCCCCAGTACCTAATTA